TAAGGGACTGCCAAAAGAAGAGAGAGTCAATCTATTCTCCAAAGCACCTGAAGGCAGGACAAGAAGCAAGGGATGGAAACTTATCAAGAAGAGAAGCAACCTAGAACTAAGGAGGAATTTCCTGACAATTAGAACAATTAATCAGTAGAATGATTTGCTCCAGAAGTTGAGGGTGCTCCAACACAAAAGGTTTTAAAGAAGAGATTAAACAACCATTTCTCTGAAATGGTATAGTTTCCTGCTTGAGCAGGGGGTTGCCTAGAACAGGCATGTTAAACTGCTGGCCCGCGGGCTGGATGCATCATACTGAAACTGTGCCCACCTCATTGCCGGCAATGGAGAAAACTTCACGTGACGTCGCAAGTTGACATGCCTGGTCTAGAAGATCTCCAAGGTCCCTTCCAACTCTGTTATTCTGTTTAATGCTCTGGTTGCTGTCAGTTTGTGTTTTCTTTTAATGTTTGTATATGCTTTGTTTTAATGGTGTATTTGATATGGACAGCTATAGAAACTGAGCAAATAAAATAAACACTATTGTTCCAAATCTGTTATAATACTGGCAGAAATTAACTTTTCCTCAATATCCCTGACTACGACCTTCTCTAAAAGAAAGATACTTATCTGGTCTTTCTGACTGACATTGCTAGAAGAGTAATTTCTTTGACCTTGAGGGAAGCTGACCTTTTCTCCTAACTCATCCTTTGAGGTATGAAACTGAATCTAATTTTAATGTTGCACAACAATGGAAAAAGATAGTTGTGAGAAGAGAGGCAAAGTCTTTCTTAAGTTTATTTTAAACATGTATTCTACCTATTCAAACATCATAGAGGTTGCCACTGAAGGAGTTAGGGAAACTTTTAGTCTGGGCAGCTGTTAAAACTGTCCATTTTCCCTCTCCATTTGGCTGAAGGAGTAAATGTAGCACTAGCAAGATTGTGATTCTACACTACAGCTAGCAAATAAACACTTATCACCCTGGTATGTTTGTTGCCACATCTGCTTAAAGGATGGGATTAACTATCTGCTTAATGTCACACATCATTATCCTGCGTTTAAAAGATCCTTCCAGCCAAATTTGAGAAGGGAAACCAATTGCTAAGCATGAGATTTGTGAGAAGGGTGGCTTTCCTGAAATCTAATCGGAACAGAAATACCCCATGCATGGAAGGGACGGTAATAGCTTTTGTTACTGGCATGTAGGCAATATCAAGTTCCCCCAAGCCCCTTCAGATTAGAAAAACAGCTTATTTTCAATGATGGTAGAGATAGAGATCAAAAATGACCAGGATCTGAAGGATACAGGAAGGGGGGGTGTCATTTCCTGTAACTTTTAATACCGTCCGTAGTCTTTGTACAGGGTAGTTCAGGGCTCTGGTTTCCATTTAATCCTTCTGCACGTTTGGATCACATCCTCCCATATTAAGATTTATTAGGGGACTGAATTCACTTCAATTTACTATTTCTAAGTAAAAATTTTGTAGACAAGGTCTGGAAGGGAGGAGGAAGCTTCTACTGTGAAAACATGACAGTCTCAAAGGGTGGTACATTTTACCTCCCATTTTCAGTTCATTTGAGTCAGTAGTTATCAGAACTTCGTATACATAAGAATATTCCCTAAATGTATGTTCAGAGAAGGAAACATGATTCAGTGACATGCTGTGGAAATTGAAGATTTCAAACTCAGCCAGTAACATCTCAGAGGTATTTCTCATGGTGTCCAAAAAGGATCTGATAGCAGATAACAGGGCCTATTAGTTATGGAACTATTACCACTCTGAACAGGCAAATCAAATTTTGTGCCTTAAATGTGGCAAGCAACAGATCAATTGTGGCAAACCACTGCCATTTAAGAAAAGCTTAGCTGATACAATACAGCACATATAATACTCTAAATCAAACATTCAAATAGAAAATTATTTTTTGTGGGATAAATTTGAAAAAAGGGTTTTTAAAAATTTTCATCCTATAGCTGAGATCAAATAGATTCTAACCATCCTACCCTGTGAAAGACTTGCTTTAAGTGCCCTATTTAAAAATGATGTTGAAAAAAGTAAAGGCATTTTTATCTGACGTTTTTAGAACTGTGCTCTATCTATAAATGTCATTAATGTGGGATGGAACAGGAAGAGAAACGGAATATGCGTAACAATTTAATACCTTAAGATCAAACAAATTGAACCAAAAGAAACAGTAAGCTTTCAGGTTCTGTGGAACATGGAGATAAAGATACCAAAGCACTATGGTTTTAACATTTTAGATATTTTCCCCATCAACAAACATGGTTATGGTTGCTTTTAGTGATCACATATATTCACTTGTTTAATTATCAAAACACATGAAGATGTGGGTTTTTTTTTCTGAAGCTGCACTATTAGTTCACATTTAGCTAGCAGAGGGTTGCTGCTACTGTGACAGGTGGTTAAAATACATTTGCTCAGTCAGGAGAGGGGGGAGGGAGAGCGCACATAGGTCCATCTTCTGGCCTACTGAAATCTTATCAACTAAATGGACTAAACTTAAAAATTCCAATCCACAGAATGAACTACACAACCCTGAAAAGTATTGAACAATGAAGATTAACAAATGAACCCATTCATTGCTCTGGATTGTTTTCACATCAAATTTAAAGCAGTCATTGCCTCCCCATTTGTGGTGACTATGGCTTTCAAAGGTTACCTTAAAGTATTCATGTTCCCTTCTTCCCATTTATACTTAGAAATAAATGTTAACTTATGTTCTGGCTGTGGTAAAGAGATGATTGGTTACTGATTAAATTGTTAGTTGGCACTGTACTGAAGCCTAATATAGGCTTCTGGGCATCCTAAATCATGTATATTGTAAGACTTTCATTAAAGTTATACAAAATATATTGAGAACTGTACATACCTTACCTCCTCAGAATAAAGGTTGAAAACTACACATCAAAGCAAATTGATTCAGTAGCTCCTCTGAGAACATCTGTATCCAACTCACAACTGGCAGAACATGGCCAAAGGTAATTGTAAGCCCAGTACTTTTTGAGATTCTAAACTCTGCACTGATAACTTGAACATTCATGTGCTTGTTTGAAAACTACTTAGGATTAAAATTGGATGATTGCTGTACCAGATGGCCTATTTAGGAAGATGGTCCATTAACAAAAAGTAAATTCATTACCAATTAAAATGGGGGATTTCTGAATCCTTTGGTCCAGAATATGACTTTGCCTTGGTATTTACATAGAATAGATTGCTGAACTTTCAATCATTCAGAGGCTCTTAGCTATGTTTGATGATCATAATGGCTGAGCTTGTTGGAGGAGGGACATTACTAGGTAATGGAGCTTGTTATATTTAAGGATTTATGACAGCAGCAAATGTTAACTTCAAATGTTACTAAATAGTGTATGATAGACTTTTACCACAATAAAACGAAATCAGGCAACAAGGTGAGTGTATGAATTGCAAAAGGGGGATGTGCCTGAAATATGCATACCCAACTTGTCACTTGAACTGAAAGCTTCATAGATTTGCATTTACAAGGATAAGCAACTGTTCAATAGCCAGTTTGATGTAATGGTTAAGGCATTAGGTTAGAAACCTGGAAACTGTGAGCTCTATTCCCACCATAGGGCACAAAGCCAGCTGGATAACCATGGGTCAGTCATTCTCTCTCAGCCCTAGGAAGCAGGCAGTAGCAAACCACTTCTGAAATCATGTCAAGAAATTTGCAGGGATTTGTCTGGGCAATTGCTAGGAGTCAACACTGACTCAAAGGAACCAAAATCAAAAATCCCACCAAACAAGTGTTTTAGAATTTTTAACTTTATGTTCTTATTGCGTCTCTGTTCCAAATAGTTTATGCATATTGTGTACCCTTCCTATTTGTTTTTACAATACTTCTGTAAGACAGGTTAAGCTGGGAAATTAATAGTAACTAGTTTAAAGTTTGTTTTGATGGTTGTACTAGTCCTCACTTAACAACACTAATTGTCACTGGAAACTCCATCATTATATGACCCAATCATAAGTTGAAAAACCATGTGACAACAGGTTGGCAAAGGTTGATATATACTTCATGTGGTCCTGGTTGCTGTTGTTAAGTAAGGACCTCATGTAGCTTGCAACTTCCCGCTAGCTTCCCCATTGACTCTGCTTGTGGGAAACCACAAGATCAGTTCTGGATTTCTCCAAATTAACAAAAGATATCAAGTACAGAAAAGAACAAGATATAAAAGGACAACATCTAGAAAGGAAAGATTGGAGAATCTGTAATGTTTTGGTATTTAGACATATTAGTAAGAGAATATATGGCAAAGGAGGATAAAATCATACATACTACTTAGGGAGAAATTTAGACTTCCATTGCCATATTAAAACTTGGGGTCACCAAATAAAACTGACTGGGAGGCAATTCAAGGCAATATTGTATTTATATTACCTCATCCTGATTTCTATCTATCTAATAAAGATACCATCTATATTTTCCCGATGTGATTAATGCTAAGACAAGTATTCTCATATGAAAATACCTGCCTAGGAAGATGTTAACAGTGATATAGATACATAGTATGTTTTATTTTCATCAGCTATTTATTCTGTTTAGATAACTACCATTCAGAAAGATTTTCCATGCTTCCTAATCACAGGACCTCTTCACTTTAAAATAACAATGTTGCCACCTAATGGTCACTAATGCAAGAGCTTTGCCAAACCCTTTGGTAGAAAAGCATTGTCCTTGAATAGTAACACAAGGCCTTTAAACAAGTCAAAGAATATGGGGAATGTAGCATTTTCTCATCTGTCATATATAACGAAAGAAAAAAAAATGAGTTTTTTTCATCACGGTCTTGAAATATACCAATGTATAAAAACTACTCACAGACTACCTCTTTTACTGATTTTAGTACATAAAAATGAGTGCACTTTCACCATTCCAGGTGAATAAGTGAAACTGCCATGCCACATGGCATTTTAAATCAATTATCTAGCTTCAGATGAGCCATCTTTTTAGAACAGAAGTCTAGTTTCCAATTTTAATGAAAGAACCACCTCTTTACAGAGGCACAGATCTTACTCTCTGCTTTCATGTACAGTATCATAGAAGAATGTAAGTTGAAGTTCTAGGTAAAAGATACCTGAATTCCATTCATATTGTACTTACAAAAGCAAATATATACAAGACATTCTTCCTGTTAAATAAAGAACGATCTAGCCCAGTGGTGACCAACTATGGTAACTTTACGCATGTAGGCTCAGAAATTCTGGGAGTTAAAGTCCACAGGTTGCAGTGTTGTCATAGTTGCCCACCCTAATCTAGCCCAGTATTATCAACACTGATGAGTGATGGCACTCAGACCATTTGTCCAGTTTTGTTCTGGAGATGCTGGAGACTTAATATGGAGTTCTTCTGTACACATGACCTTTATTGCCAAGTTGCAGCCATGGCCATGCATTGTTTAGCTGCAATTAGCCAACAGCAGGTTGCTTATATCTACAGTCCTTAATAGATTACCAAAGGTGTCAAGCACCTTAATCTCATAATCAGAAGTTTGCTGATAACTTGCACAAAATATTTTGAAACAATTTCCAAGCCAGAGTGAGTGAGATACATAACACTGTACATGGAAATCTGAGAAGCGGAGGAAGAAAAGCAAATGAAGAAATACACACTGCAGTATCACAATGCAAAGTCTACTCCTTCCTTCCTTGCTTCATCACTAGCTTTCAAGTATGTAAGGGATGGAACTTGTTTTATGATGACATTATACAAGTTTCTTCACTTTGACAAAACCTTGGTTTTTCTGCAGACACCCGTGTCACTGTTGCTGAACTTTTTAACTAAACATTAGTAAACAATGTTTAAATAATTAACCTTAGGGGGGGGGAAACATTTTTTTTAAATCTTGCCCATGTGCCTAGAAGATATTTCATGGGAAGGACATGTGTATTAGAGATGTTAAAATATATTTTGAGCCAATCAAATACATTAACATATATTGCATTTATGCTATGTGGCATCATATGGTTGGTATCTATGCTTAGAAGCTAGTACTTAATTAGAAGCCCGGTAGGGAATTCCAGGACTTTAGCAAGGCAGTTAAAAAAAAAAAAATCCTCACTTCTACTGTATAATGCTGACAGGAAAATTACACATCGTCCATCTTTTTTTTTTTTATAATTGGTACCAAGAAATGTCAGTTCCTCAGCTGCTACTATTTCATTTTTTTTAAATGCATATTATATATAGATATGCATTTAACTTCATTCACATGGCTACTTTTAGGCAATGTAACTTCTAGAAATGTTGAAATTTCCAGAATCCCCAATCAGCTTGCCTATAGAAATGGAAAGGAATGAACCCTGGGATGTTTAAGAAATTCTTTGTATCCTGATTCAAATAATAAACTTTTAGATTGTACAAATGAATAGATTCTCTCCATAAGCTGAGGTCACATAACCCAAATTCTATTTGTAGAACATGTCATGAAACATTAAGCATGAAGCATCAATTTTTCCCCTTATTTTAATTTATCAGATGTTAACATGCTACCTGTAAACAATCTGCATAAAAATGACTGTTAGAGACCAAGCATTTTAACTGAATGGTGCAGTGATTAATCTCTTCTCAATGGAAAGCTTTCTTCTTTAATTCCATCTTTTGTGATAACGCAGATCTTTAGTGCATCTCCTGTATAAACATCTCTTTCTGCAGCAGAAATGAAGACATCCTTTACCAGCTGCAAAGCCTTTTCCAAGGACAAAGGCAATTGTTTCACACCCTGCATGTTCTTGAGGCCAACCTTTTAAAGATAAAAAAAACATTTTAAATAGTTTATAGCTTGGTAGAACAAATCTATTGTGTTGATTACAACAGCAACGATTCAGCATTACATTATAATAATTTCACCTGTTCAGATGCATTAATATAACTATCATCTGAAGGTAGCAAATCAACATCCTGCAAAAGCGAAGGTGTTCTTATCATTTAAATAAAAGTAGCATTCAGATCAATGAGTTGTATTAAGAGAATGAAGTTGCTTCATTCTTCGCTTAACACAGTTCATTAGACTGTAGCAGTTTTGTAGGAACACACACACATTCTACCAAACGACCCTGCAGAAATGATTCCCCTCTCACTTATTCAAAGAGAACCTATCAGGGAATTGCACAGCTGGGGTCCAAATGGAGTCAGAGACGCTGACAAGAATCAATTTTATATAAATAAATATATTTAGAGTAAACAAGGTAGGTAAACAGGAGCATCGTCAGGTAAATCAACACAGCAGGAACATCATGAGATAAATCAGAGAGCACACAAGGCACACAGAGGAAAAAAGCGGGGAAACAAGAAACTCCCCCTTTACACTCACAGTAATCAATCACAGTTCAGATTCCCTCATGCAGTGGCCAGTTCTCTTCAACCAATAAGCTATAATTGTGTGCTCTTATTCATTGACCAATCCTTCACTGCTCCAGCTATTAAATTTTAAATATCTTAACAAAACCTAAAGCTAGTAGTTGAGAAAGAAAAACCAGGTTGTGTAAAACTATTCAATCTAGGCTTATAGGCTCATTTTTAACTGCCATAAGCAGAGTGGAATAAAATGTCAGTGGTTAGAATTTATCTTTCTTATTTCTACTATTTTTCACAATATATAATCCAAAATGAACAAACCACATTATGGTTTAAAGTGCCGAATAAACCACATTATGGCTTAGGGCAGTGTTTCTCAACCTTGACAATTTTAAGACATGTGGACTTCAACTCCTAGAATTCCACAGCCAGCACTGCTGGCTGTGGAATTCTGGGAATTGAAGTCCATATGCCTTAAAATTGTCAAGGTTGAGAAACCCTGGCTTAGGGTGATGGATTCTTTCATCTTCTGAAAAATTATTTTGATGGCTCCCAAATAATATTTTAGAAAGAGTTAAGGGACCAAACATCGCTGCATTAATAGATGCACAACAATGGAAGAACACTTACCTGATTGTCCAGCAGAGGTTGCAGCATAGCACTAGCTGATCCACCAGCTTTGAAACTATCTCTCTGGTAAGATCCTACTGGATCAAAACTGTATACTGCACCTTTCCCTAGAAAAGTAAAATAGGTGTATAGGAATGTCACATGCTGGAACAAGGAACTTGACAGTTAAGTACAGTATAACAAACCAAAGATTTGCATTTCCTAAACAGAATTTTAGTTTAAACAGAACTTTAATTTAACCCTGCACTTTTAACAGGTATACCTGTTAATCAGGTATAACAAAACTGCACAGATATGATCACTAACTTGCGAAAAAGGCAGGCATACAAATCAGGGACTAAATAAAAATTTAACACTATGTAAAAGTATAATGTAAAGTCTGTATCAGGTAAAGTTCCCACATGCTTTTTGTCTCACAGAATTTATACTGCTAAATGGAGAAAATAAAACAATAAGAGATTGTTTGTTTGTTTTCTTAACACATTAGATCACAATGATTGATCTTCCCTGAATTTTTAAAATCAAAGACTCATAACAATAGTTAAGAGCACACTAGGTGCTTACAATTTAACGATAAATATTAAATATTTCTACCTGTTATTTTAGATCTTGTGCAAACTCTAGATTTTCTTGTTTACAAAATAATAAACTGGTTACAATGAAGAATCATCATACCTATAGAAAGAAAATTCTGCATCTATTCTTGTGAATGTATAACAATTCAAATGGAAATCTTTGTTCAGTGTTCTCCTTTGGGCCTGTTGTGCAGGGCATGACACTCCATGGAGTTCTTCAAACTTTGGAAGTTTTTAATCAGGCGAGAAAAGCCAGCTATGCTAACCTATTGCATGTTCATCTTTTGATCTCATATTTTGTTTGTGTGAACTGTATTTATTTCTAGTAAGATGAAATTCTCTTCAAGAAAACTAGAAACTCCTTCTTTTTGTGAACTGAACAGAAATATCCAAAGATATTGATTTTTTCCCCTTTTAAATTCCATAGAGTTTAATTCCACCTATGGAATAAGTACAAATGAACATCACAGGCTGTTTAAGTACCAGAGGATTGCATTTTAACCACCCAACTGTGATTCATACAACAGAAAACTATTACAGTGAAACCACATGCTCTACTAAAAATTCACACATTTATAAATACGCAATTACTATCCTGGGAATTACATGTTTGGAGAGGTGAAGCTGTCGTGTTATTTTAATGACTGTTTTTAACCAGGACCACCTTGTTTTATGTTTTTCATTGTTTTAATTTAATATTATATTTTGTAAGCCACTACAATCAATTTAAATAATCTTTATATTAGTATGTGTGCTAAACATATTGCTATATTCGTATTAAAAATACAGTCTACATCAGAAAGCTTTTACTTTTTAAACAGTAACTTCAGAATCATATTATAAGAACTGCTTTATTTTCCCAGTCAAAGCTATTGTCCAATATCTCTGGGCAAGTGATCTCCTTAACACATTTACAGGAATCCAAATGGAACTTACCTTCCTCATCCAATCCACCAATTATGTTGTAAACATAATAAGGGAAGAAGCGTCGCGAGTACAGGATTGTAGAAAGCATGGCTGCAATTGCTCCTGAACTCATGATCTTATTATTGGAATGCTTGTACATCTGGAATATATTTACAACAGAGGTAAGCAAAATGTTCTTGCTGAAATTGTCCCTAACATGAATTTCCAAGCAAGCAGATATCTACTGAAAAAACATATCAAAATAAAACAGGACTCATTTGCTCTAGCCAAGAAAAATAAATCAGAATTTGTTAATGAAAAAAATAAATTAGGCTGATAATTTACTTATCATATTACAGAAGATTAATTTTCCTCTTCTGCTACAAAAATAGGTTAGCACGGTACTTCTACTTTTGGTACAAATTCAGCTCTTATATACAAGTTTGCAATAAGCTTTTTTAACAGCCACAATCACTCATTATTAGATGTTTCCTATATCTCATTTATACAACTGAGATTAATGGTAAAGAGAAAATGAAGTAAATTCATGTTGTGACTTGCATTATCTTTTAACACTGTACAAGTGAAATATATCTTAGCAACTTCCTTAAACAGGCATATTCATTTGAATGCTACGTGTCACTTTGAAATGATATTCCAACAGTTTAAAGAATAATAAAACCAGACAGTTTACAAAAATATAAAAGATGAAGCTTGTAAAGAAAAGAACAGTAAGAAACCTTGGACATTTATTTTGAGTATTTTCTGTTTTTTAGAGCTTCCTGTGATGCAAATTATAAGTAAAATAGCACTTAGCAGAAAAAGTTGTAAAAATACTTATGTAACAACCTGAGCAAGCACAAATTAAACACTGAATTTATTATGTGTATAAAGAGGAAAAGGGGATTTAAGTGTCAACATATCAAATTAATGTAACAATTGAGTACAATTTCAATACTAAGTCATATACAATAACCTACTTTCAATCTTGCTTCGAGGATTTTAGTAAGGGTAAGACAGTCTCCATGAAATCCACTGCAGCCAATAACTGTTGTATCTGTCCTGTACAAACATAGTATTGATAAGATTGTAAGTAATCTTGACACACTACAACAATGTATTCTCCTAGGGTTATTTTATATATACTTCTTTCAACACTGCAGTAATCTATGTCAAATATAGAAAATAACACTTTCAACAAGTGCCAAATATACTAAGGAACTGATTTCAGGGAAGTTACAAAAGCCTCATTGTTTATATGCATGTGAAACACCCTCTCTCCCCGGTCCCTTCCACATCCAACAATTATGAATTATTCACCAAACAGTACAAGAAACACAATGCTATTTTTGTAAATTCAAGGGGTTTTAGATCTGTTTTTTCTTCAAACATTTACACTGTTACTTATAATGACTATCTCAACCAACAGAAGAAAAACAGGGTAAATTTTCAAAGGGCACATCCTAATCAAAATTAACAGATTTCAAAACTCCTTATGTAGTTAATCTTCAAGCACAGTCTAATGGATTTGAACTAGCAGTCACCCAAGCCAAACTGGGAAATGATTTAAACCAATGTTTCTCAACCTCAGTAACTTCAACTTCCAAAATTCCCCAGCCCATCAGCCAGTTAACGTTCATCTTAAAGTTGCTGAGTTTAAGAAACACTGGTCTAAATCCATCAACCTTTTCCGTTTTAGACTGAAAGACAATGAGTGATACTAAAATTCATGGCTGTATGGGAATATTACCCAAGGTACCTCTTATGCTAGACTTAAACTAGTGCACTACTACTCTACAACACTGGCAAATACTGAAGTTATTAAGATACATTTTCCTTCCCCCAAGCTAAATATTTCATTTACTTATAGTGAAGCATTTTACTTTTCCAAATGAAATTAAATCAGAGGAAAACTTATCCTGAGTGAATGAATTTTTTATCATTGTTACACTTTAAAGTGAGCACACATAACAATAAAAAGCTACATGTGCTCACTTTTGCCCAGGATGGAGCAAAAAAAAAAAAAAAAACTACATCAGAAAAGAATATTTGTAGCTCCGGGTTGAACTGTGGGGTCCTTGGTGCTCTCTGAGCTTGGTTGTTTTATTGCAGATGTTTCATTACCAAACTAGGTAACATCATCAGTGCACATTTCACAATCTTTTTGATATGCAATACTGGACGTGCAGGGTGTTGAAACCTGTAGTTCTCAAGCCCTCTGATAAAAGAATACACTATCTAGAGCAACTGAAAAATGTATTATCTTAGTACAAATATTAAGAACAGGCTAAGTCTTTTGATAATGCAACTGTTGTTCTATTTAATAGATAAATTAAAAAAGAAGTATATAACAGAACAGATTGTTTTAACACAGTTTTAGTAATTAAAACATAGATTACACTCAGTCATTCAGTCCCTGGTCATAGCATGATTGGGCTATTGTAATGCACTCTATATGGGGCTACCCTTGAAGAGCATCCAGAAGCTACAGCTGCTGCAGAATGGTGATCACCTTTAAAGCCCTTCCTGGCATGGATCCAGGCTACTGAGGGCCTGTCTCACCCCACTGGGATTGGCCCGACACACTTGTGCTGGCAAAGGAGATATGCTGTGGGTCCCGTTCTGGCTAGTGATATCCAAAAGAAGGGCCTTTTCTGCTGTTGCTTCTTTGGAAAATCTTGCCTCCTCCCATGGGAGGTTGGCCCCAACCCTCCTATCCTTTCATAAGCGCTTCAGGATTGGCTCTGCCAGTTGATTTGGGGTCCCAACAGGGGAACAACACAGCCGAGGTGGTTGATCAAATAACAACAGATCCCAACTCTCTCCCTCCACCCCCACCCTCCCTACATGTCACCAGATTCTAATATTTGGCTTTATGTTTTAATGTACTGTATAAATACATTTTTACGCTGCCCAGAGTTATCCTGTGATGAGTGGCCAATAAATTTTATAGATAAATCAAAATAAATGTTTTTTATGAGTATGTTCCAAATATCACTAAGCCTGGAACAAACTTACAGCTTGTAACATTTAGGGCTGTCCCGGCTATGAATTGCATAGTCTTCACTCAGTCGGGTGTCTGAAGCGACAACAACAAAGTCTTCACCAGCAATTGCCAATATGGTCCTGAAGGGGTTAAAAAAGAGAGAGAGAAAGAATTGATCTTTTTTTTGTAATTGTTTAGCCTTTGTTCATTTACATTTACTGTGGAACCTTCCATATCAGCATTTTAGTTTTACTTGTGCCCTTTAGACTTTTTTTTTTTTAAAGGTAAGAATTATACTCAGTTGCTCACACCCATAAAATGTAAAAATGTGTGGCATCAGTCGGGGTTCAATAGCTATGGGGAGCCGAAACAGCACTTTCCACTGATGATACATAGGGACACAATATGGGCTGGGAGAAGAGAGTTGTCTCAAGAAGTTTACTTTTTAGAAACATTATGGAAGTTCTCCAACATTCATTCTATTTAACTTTGCCTTAAAATGGCAAAGTTAAATAGAATAAAATTCCCACCTCAAATTGGCAGGAAACCATTCTTCCAATTTACCTTAAGTATGCATGGATGGAGGCTCTTTTTACCCTCTTTTTAGTTTAGATGCTATTTACTTGGAAGTTTTCCCTAATCTCTTTTTATCCACATTTAAAAATTATAGAAAGCAATAAGACGACAAGCTTTTAAGGAAAACAGTTGCCTTTCTTTTGAATTTTACGTTTAATATTTACTATATTTAAAAGGTCCCTAAATAAGCTGGATAAAGAATCAAACAAGTAGCAGTATATAAGGAAACTGAAAGTGACATCTGAAGCAAATAAAATCTGCTGTAAATAACATTTCAGGACCAGGAGTTAGCATGTCCATTGAGTATTGCTTAGTCAGTTTCCAAAAGGCAAACAGAAATTACTGTACACTCTTGCTTTGTGCATTAATATTTATGCCAAGGAAACTTCTCTTGGAGAGTACTAACTATTTAGGAATTTGTAAGTCAAAAGCAACACGTTGCACTGGGTTTAGAAAATCAATCCTGAACTATAGCCCTGGCACAAGATAATTTCAACCGGTTGCTACTGGTAATTCAGCCTTGCTTAAATTTCTGGGTTGCCTTTGGAAGAATCTCTATATTTAATGCATCACTAAATCCACATTGTTATGCTCTGCTGCTGCTTCTAAAGTCAAAGTATGGCCTTTGTGGCTGTAATGATCTTACTAAGTTTTACCACCCTTTATATACATTTAGTTAGAAATCACATCCAGGCCTTTAAGGGATTTACAGACGAGTTTTAAGTTATGAAAGAAACAAGAGCTTGAAGAAAAACAGAATTGCACATTCTCCTACTGCACAGGGGGATGAGGGGGCAGGGCGAGAAAAAGAAACTAACCTCACTCGGAGAAGCTTTGCTGAAAGGCAGGATCAGACTAAAGCAGTGTTTCTCAATCTTGGCAACTGGAAGAGGTATGGACTTCAACTCCCAGAATTCCCCAGCCAGCTATGCTGGCTGGGAAATTCTGGGAGTTGAAGTCCATACCTCTTCCAGTTGCCAAGGTTGAGAAACACTGGACTAAAGGGAGAGGAAGCGCCAAAGAAAAACACCAGCGCACAACAAACGAAGCACTTACCCGCCATTGAAAGTATACGGAGAGAAGCGACGTTGCACCGCAGAGCTCTCTCTAATTTCTCTGGGCAATCCGAATACAGGCTCAACGTAGCTAGCGGCCGACAGCATCGTTGCTCCAAATCCACCAGTTCCCTGCTTGCTGCTGTCTCACGGCAAGATGGTGGAAGCGGAAGCGGAAGCGGCTAATGTTGCCACCCGGCTCCGATCGTCCTCACTCATCACAGCGCCCCCTCTGACAAGACGGGATATGAAAAAGCTCAGGGGCACGAGGTGGGGGGAGAAGATCCGCCGAGATGCGGAATTTCTAACGCTAGGCAAGTCCCGTGAGAACTGGGTTTGTACAACATGCATGGCGTGGCTAAAGCGCGGTTGGATGCTAGTGTGAACACTTTGGGCAACTGGTACTCTCCGGAGATCTTGCTGGCTGAAAGTTGTCAAGGATCACGGTTTAGGGAGACGGGGTCAGCCTGGGTAAACTTTGAGCATAATTAGGGAAGAGAGTATTTTTGGAAAAGGAAGAGCACGCAGCTAGGAATCGCTTCCAATGTTTCCAGCAACGGTTGACTTGTGAATTAAAAACGATGCAATATCCTTCCAGGATAGAGATCAGGGCAAAGAGGGCTAGACTAGAAAACCTCCAAAGTCCCTTCCAACCATATTGTACTATGTTCTGTGACAGCGTTTCTCAACCTCGGCAAGTTTAAGCTATGTGTACTTCAACTCCCAGAATTCCACAGCCATCATTTACTGGTTGGGGAATTCTCCGGGTTGAAGTACACACATTTTCCAGCTGCCAAGGTTGAGAAACACTGTTCTAAGAATCTCAAAAGTATTTTTTTGGTACAGGCTTTAGTTAATTTAACAGACTTTGAAATCGTTGATAAGGTAAAATATTTGGGGGTTACATTATCTGCTTCTAATGTAAAATTGTATAAAAATAATTATGAAAAGCTGTGGATGGAGGTACAGAAGGATTTAAAAAACTGGAATAATTTACAGTTATCCCTTATGGGCAGAATTGCAGTTATTAAAATGAATGTCCTGCCAAAGTTTATTTTTTTGTTTCAAATGTTACCTATCTTAAAGAACGAACGTAATTTAGATGAATGGCAAAAAGGTATTAATAAATTTGTTTGGGCAGGGAAAAAACCAAGGGTGAAACTTAAAATAATGCAAGATTTTCGTGAGAGAGGTGGACTCAAGGTACCAAATATGAAATTGTATTATGATGCTGTAGTATTGACATTGATTAGCGACTGGGTGAATTTAACAAATACAGAAATACTTCATTTGGAAGGCTGGGACCTATTTTTTGGATGGCATGCCTATTTAATATTTAATAAAAAAGTGGATTGGGTTTTTAAGTCTCATATTATAAGAAACTCTTTGCTAAGAGTGTGGAGAAAGTATTATAAAAGTGACTTCAAAATACCATTATGGGCTATACCTCGGCATGCCATAGAAGGTATAAGGAAAGGGGTAAATATGGACAAGGTCTCTTACGTACAGTTACTAAGATGGGATGGCCAAGACTGGCAGTTAAAATCTTTGGAAGAATTAACACATGAAAATTTAACTTATTCATGGTTCCAATATAGACAAATAGTGGATAGATGGAAGATGGATTGTAAAACGGGCTGGCTTAGAGAAGATGAAATTTTTTTAAAACAAGTAAGAGATCAAAGGCCAACCCATATTAAGAGAGTTTATGGGGTTTTAGTGGAATTAGATTCAGAACCTGAACTAGTTAAAGATTGTATGATTAAATGGGCACAGAATATTGGTGAAACGATTTCAATGGATACTTGGGAACTTATTTGGATAAGAAATGTTAAATTCACACAAGCGCAAAATTTAAGAGAGAATTTTTATAAGATGTTTTATAGATGGCACCTTGACCCAAAGAAAATGTCCATTATGTACCCTAATCTACAGCCGAAATGCTGGAGATGTGGATATTTGGATGCTACCTATTACCATATTTGGTGGACGTGTAAGCATATAAAAGCTTTTTGGATTAAGATATGGTGGAATATTCAAAGAATTTTTAAAAGGAGGGTAAAATTTACTCCGCAATTATTTTTACTAGGTATTGTTATTGACTGTGATGCTAAGGAGGTTATATTGATGTTAAATTTGATTACAGCCGCTAGGTTGTTAATAGGACAATATTGGAAGAAGGAATCTTTGCCTACTTTACAAGAATGGTTTCATAAAGTTTCGTATTTGGCAGAAATGGCAAAGATTTCGGCTTTCTTAAAGGAGCAATCTCAAGAAAAATTTTTTGCGGTATGGGAAAAATGGATAAATTTTATACAACATAATTTGGATATGGAAAAATATTATTTAGCCTTTTTATAATTTGTAATGATTGTTTTTTCTTTCTTTCTTTCTTCTTTTTCTTTTTTATATATATACATTTTTTACGTATTATTATTCATATATATATTTTTTTTATATATATATGCTTTATTCTTCGTCTACTTTCTTCTTTCTTCTTTCTCTCTCTCTCTTCTTTTCTTATTTCTTTTTTTTCTTTTTTAGTATATATTATTCATTTTAAAGTTTATGTTATGTATATTATTATTATATATATTATTACTGTGATTTTTATTATTATTATTAATTATTTTATAAATTGCAAATGTTATTTTTAAAATATTTGTTAAATAATCCTATATTCAGTTCTGGGAAGTCGGGGGGGGGTGGGGTGGTTGGGGAGGGGGGGGTGGATTCTTATTTGTAAAACTTTTGAAAAATTTCAATAAAAAAAAAAAAAAGTATTTTTTTGGTTTTTTTTTAAAGGCAATTGGACTGTTTTTCCTTGAGGAAGAAGAAACTTCATCAGTTGTGGTGGTGGTGAAGGATGGAGGATAGATTCTGACCAGATGGTGGGGGGGGGGAGGAGGGTGGAAGAATTGTATTTCTTTGCAGTCATCTGATTCCCTAGAAGAGGGCTTTTCAACCTTTTCACCCATTGTGCCACTTTTAAGATATGGCAACATCCGAGTACCACCAGTCGTCTAGCAAGGTGTCAAAAACTTGATGACCCCCCCCCCAAAAGGAAAAAAGTGATAAAGTACAGGTAATCCTCGACTTACAACAGTTTGCTTAGTGACTATTCGCAGTTACAATGGCACTGAAAAAAGTGCCCCCCAAGCCACAGCTGCACTCTTCCTCCTGCCTGAGGTTTTCATTGTTGTGAGCATTTCTGTTGAGGATTGGCAACGGGGGTGGGGTGGGGTGGTGTTTGGTTTTTATCTCCCCCCCCCTCTGCTGGGTGGTTGCAGCAGGTTTTGGTCACTTCACATGACCCTGGGACACTGTGACCATCATAAATATGAATCAGTTGCCGGTTCAGCTCATTCCCCCTCCCCTGCTACCACTTTTCTAGGATGGTCGCCAGGTGCCAATGTACCACAGGTGGTACCCGTACCACTGGTTGAGAAGCCCTGCCCTAGAACTCTCTGTGAGGATTATCCCTCAGGATACAATTGGTTGTGGAATCTTCTTGGCACTGCTACAAACGCTGTATTGTAGACTAGAGATAGATGGTATCTAATCCCTCCCCCTCTATTGAGAGAGGGCTGCTCAGTGCTGACATGAATTGCCTCTTTTATACCTCTTTCAAGCCAATGATCCAATCTAACCAATCATAAATCCCAAAAAAACAAATCAAACAATGAGGTGGGCAGAGATGAAAAAAAGAGAAAAACTCAAACAACATTCAGGAGGTGCAGAAAACATACACAGGCACAAAAGCCTTAAATGCTTATATACAAATGCTCAACACTTGGGGAACAAACAGGGCGAACTAGAAGCAACAGTACACGAGGGAGAGTATGACATAGTTGGTATTACAGAAACCTGGTGGGACGAAACCAATGAACAGAATGGACTGATGGATGGATACAAATTGTTCAAAAGAAGGGGGAGTTGCACTATATGTAAGAAAACACTATATATCTACAGAATCACACATGATCAAAGATAAAATATCTCCAGAATGCATATGGGTCAATATAAAAGAGGAAAAAAGTGATATTACCATAGGTGTATATTACAGACCACCCAACCAATCAGAAGAAATAGATGAACGCTTTGCCAACCAGTTAACAAATGTATGTAGGAAGCATACCACAATAGTAATGGGAGACTTCAACTATCCAGATAGCAACTGGGAGATAAACTCTGCAGTGAGCAGGAGATCAAACAGATTCCTAACCAACCTAGCCGACAACTTTGTCATTCAAAAGGTGGAGGAGGGAATTAGACATAAAGCCATACTGGACTTAATTATAATAGAGAAGAAGTGATAGAGGGAGTTGAAGTTGCCGGAACCTTGGGCGAAAGTGACTATGTCATACTGGAATTTAATATAGCACAAACACTAGCAACAGAAAACAATCCAACCAATGTCTTGAACTTCAAAAGAGCTGACTTTAACAAACTCAGAGAAAACCTAGGAAAGATCCCATTGATGAAAATCCTAAAGCACAAAACAAACCAAGAAGCGTGAGAAACTCTCAAAAATGTGATCATAAAAGCCCAGACCAGCACAATACCACTGAAAAGGAAAAACAAAAAATTCAAGAAGAAACCAGCTGGCTGCACAAAGATCTCTCTGACAAACTGAAAGACAAAAAAAAAAAAAAAAAAAAATACAAAAAATGGAAAGAGGGGCACATAACTAAGGCCAATTATCAGTAGACAGCCAGAACATGTAAAGATGAAGTTAGAAAAGCAAAGGCTCAGAACAAACAAAGACTTGCAACAGAAATCATGGATAATAAAAAAAAGTTTCTTCCAACATATTAACAACAAGAAAAAAATCAAGGAAACTGTAAGTCCACTAAAGAGAGAAGATAGCAAGGAAATAACAGGCAACAGGGAGAAGGCAGAGCTGCTTAACTCATACTTTATGTCAGTCTTCACACAAAAAGAAACCATAGCCCAACATACCCCAAAAACCACTGCAAAAGACAAATTAGAAACAAAAATTAAAATAAGCAAGAAAATGGTAAGAGAATACCTATCCGACCTTGACAAATATAAATCACCGGGGCCTGACAGATTACATCCCAGAGTTCTGAAGGAGCTGGCAGATGTTATTTCAGAACCACTGCACCATATCTTTAAAAAATCCTAGAGCACAGGGGAAGTACTTGAGGATTGGAAAAGGGCTGATGTGGTTCCCATCTTCAAGAAATGGAGGGAAAAACGGACCCAGGAAATTACAGTTTAACATCAATACCTAGAAAAGATAATCAAAAAACAGATCTGCAAACAATTAGAAGCAAACAAAGTTATAACTAATAACCAGCACGGGTTTGTTAAAAACAGATCATACCAAACCAATCTTATTTCATTGTTCAACCAAGTGCCTAAACTAGTGGACCAATGAAATCCTGTGGACATAGTATACTTAGACTTCAGTAAGGCATTTGATAAAGTAGACCACAACCTACTCCTTGGTAAGCTAGAAAAAGGTGTAATAGACAACATCACCACCAGATGGAACTGTAGCTGGCTGGCAAACCGTACTCAATGAGTAGTCCTTAACGGCACTACATCCACATGGAGAGAAGTAAGCAGTGGGGGTACTACAAGGTTCCATCCTAGGCCCAGTACTCTTCAATATCTTTATCCATGACTTAGATGAGGGAATTGAAGGGGAACTCATTGAATTTGCAGATGACACCAAACTGGCAGGAGTAGCCAACACCCCAGAAGACCAAGTAAGGATCCAAAAAGATCTTGACAAACTTGAACAATGGGCCCTATCCAACAAAATGAGTTTCAATGTGGAGAAAAGCAAAGTTTTACATTTAGGTAGAAAAAATCAAAGGTACAAGTACAGATTGGGCAAGACCTGGCTTAAAAACAGTAACTGTGAGAGGGACCTTGGAGTCCTAGCAGACGATCACTTAACCATGAGCCAGTAGTGTGCAGCAGCCGCCAAGAAAGCTAATATAATCCTGGGTTGTATAAACAGAGGCATAGAATCAAGATCATGCGAGGTATTAGTACCACTTTATAAAACCCTAGTAAGACCACACTGGAATACTGCAGCCAATTTTGGTCACCATATCACAAAAAAGATGCTGAGAGTTTGGAAAAAATTCAGAGAAGAGCAACTAAGATGATCAAAGGCCTGGAGACTAAAACACATATGAAGAAGACTGCAGGACCTGGGTTTGGCTAGTCTAAAGAAAAGAAGAAATAAACAATCAGATAAAGATTTAGAAAGATGGAAAAATTTGCAACTCTCCTTCATGGGGAGAATTGCAGCAGTAAAGATGAACATTTTACCTAAATTACTCTTTCTATTTCAGAATGTCCCCATAAAATTAGAGAAAAAATATTTTGTAAATTTGAATAAAATAATATTGAAATTTATTTGGCAGGGAAAGAAACCTAGAATTAAATTAAAACTACTATAAGAAAAGAGAGGGGGATTCGGACTACCTGACTGGGAGCTGTACTACCAAGATGCAATACTCACTTGGGTGCGGGATTGGATAAATTTAAAAAACACTAGGCTATTAACTCTAGAGAGTCATGATTTACAATCTGGATAGCACACATTTTTGTGGGATGAGAGATATAACGTTCCTCAGTACTTCCAGAGACACCATATCAGAGCAGCATTACTAAATGTGTGGATTAAAGTTAAACAATAGAACTATATAGAAACACCGGTATGGCTCTCAACACTGGAAGCGCTAGTGCAGTGATGGCGAACCTTTTAGAGACTGAGTGCACAAACTGCAACCCAAAACCCACTTATGCATCGAGTGCCGGGTGGGTGTGGCCCATTGGCTGGGTGTTGCCAAATGGTTGGGCATGGCCAATTGGGTGGGCGTGGCTGCAGTGGTAATGGCAAACTGGGTGGGACTAAAAAGTTCAATCAATCAATTCCAACTTTGCAAGATCTTTTTTTTCCCATGAGAAGTTGAAATTGACTGATTGAATCTTTTTTTTTTTTTTTTTTTTGCACATGGTGGTGAAAAGGTTTTATAAAACCCAGCTGAAGGCCTATGACTGGGGCAATGGCGCGTGTGCCCACAGAGAAGGCTCTGAGGGCTGCCTCTAGCACCCGTGCCATAGGTTCGCCACCACTGCGCTAGTGTATCCAAATTTCATGAACTTGGGAAAAGTAGTTATGTACAGAGATATTCTAAATGACCAAGGGGAACTTAAATCTAGACAAGAATTAAAAGAAAATGGGGTACAATTGGAATGGTGGGTATACCTGCAAATTTAGTCACGTTATAAGAAAGACAAAAAGGAATGGGGTATACGGAGGGATCTGACAACACTAGATAAAATATTATTAGGAACGGAGGAGAAAGCAATCCAAAGAACATATTAATATTCATTGGAATATAAAATGGAAGAGGAGCAGGTAAAAGAAGTGATGATAACATGGGCCCAAAATTTCGGATATAATATCGATTTAGACAAATGGCAAATGTTATGGGAAAGAAATAGAAAGTTAACCTTGGCCACCTCATATAAAGAGAATTTGTACAAAATGTTTTACAGGTGGCACTTCTCCCCAACAAGACTGGCAAAGATGAGAAAAGATATGTCACCACATATCTTTTGTGTTGGAAGTGCAAGAAAGTGTTAGGGACTTACTATCATATGTGTTGGACTTGTTCCAAAGCCAAAGAATTTTGGTGGCTAATAAAGACTTGGTTGGAGGAAATGTTGGGACTGAAGATAGATCCCAGACCAGAACTGTTTTTACTAGGAATGATAGATGGGAAGTTTAACAAAGGAGAGACATATCTAGTATTGCATATTATAACAGCAGCAAGGTTGGTCTATGCCCAGAACTGGAAAAACGGAAATTCCCCGGTGGAGAGTGAACTAATTAAATTTTTTTTGATATATGCAGAGATGGATAGATTAATGTAAGAAATTAAAGACAAGGATGAAACAGAGTATTACGAAGTTTGGGATAAGATGTACTATTGGTTAGACTCGAGGAAAAAAAGTCAGAACAAAGAAAGCTTATCTAGAAGAGAGAAAGTGTAGATTTTCAACCTCAAAGTGAGCGTAAGAGAGAGATCAGAAAGAATATGAAATAAGAATGGAAATGGAAGTTATGCTGTAAATAGACATAAATATATATGTAAATATATAAATATGTAAATAGCATAAAATGCAATATGTAAATGGTATAAAAGATCAATGAATAGGGAGATATATGGTATATGGTATAGTATGTATGGCAAAATAACAGCCAGAAAAGCCACACTGTGTTCAACCTGTTTTTAAATGTTTATTCAATAAAGAGGAAAAGAAAAAAAAAGAAGAAATAGGGGAGACATGATAGCAATATTCTAATATTTGAGGGGCTGCCACAAAGAAGAGGGAGGTCACATTATTCACCAAAGCACCAGAGGGCAGGACAAGAAACAATGGTTGGAAGAAGCAACCTGGAATTAAGGAGAAACTTCCTGACAGTGAGGACAATTAACCAGTGGAATAGTTTGCTCCCAGAAATCGCGGGCACTCCATCACTGGATATTTTTTAAAAGTGGCTAGACAGTCGCTTGTCTGAGATGGTATAGGTTCTCCTGCTTGAGCAGAGGGTTGGACTAGAAGACGTCCAAGGTCCCTTCCAGCTCTATTCTACTCTATCCTCTATCCAAAATGTGGACTTTGCCATCTTCCAAAAAGTGACCTTTGTCTTTCAAATGCAGATAAGCAGTTGCATCTTGCCCTGATGGGTTTGATCTACTATGTCAGGGGTAGGCAACCTTGGCTCTTTTATGACTTGTGGACTTCAACTCCCAGAATTCCTGAGCCAGCAAGCTGGCTCAGGAATTCTGGGAGTTGAAGTCCACAAGTCATAAAAGAGCCAAGGTTGCCTACCCCTGTACTATGTTATCATGCACTTATGAAATGGTTTTGTTTCATCAATGTACAGATCTGCACATATCTCACTGCATTGCACAGCATATATCACTTTGCTCAGTTTTTGTCTGGCTGTTTTATCCTGGGGATGGACAAGCTTTTGCCTTAGTGTATTCTTGGGCTTAAAGTGTACATGTATGTTGTGCTGGTTGAAAATTTGTCTGAGCTTTTCAAATATTCCTGCAACGTATGGAATGACCTTGCTACATTTGTTGTTTTCTTGTCTGTAATGAACGAGCTCCTGCTGGATCTTTTTCTGGATTTGATGAAGGCTCAATTTCGATAATCACAAGTTCTGAGGGATTCCTTAACATATTTTAGTTCTTTTCCTTTTCCTTCTTTACTCTGGTAGGTAAACTACCAGTAAAACGACCATCCTGTCAGAACCTATCCTCCATCCCTCCCCCCCATCACAACTGATGAAGAAACGAAATGTTTTGTTCTTCTTCTTCAAGGAAAAAACCGTCCAGTTGCCTTAAAAAACAAAAGTACTTTTGAGACAATTATGACCTGGATGACTGAATATCTCCAGACTGTTCTAAGAGATGGCTCGCGTATAGGTGGCATTCCTTAATGCCTGTGGTAAGCCAGTGGAATAAAATGGGACCATTATCAAAAACCAGAAATTATCCTTGAAAAAAATTCAGCTACTGATATATATGCAGACTTCAACTGATTCATTACTTTTTCTAGAAATTCTTGGGATCCACATTTTGAAATTAGAAGATGGGAATCGCTGATAGAAAATTCATACAATAGGCAGAACCAAGTCGCACCATAGCTTCTCTGAACACTGAAAGTCAGCCTTCCTGAAATAAGTAGTACAGAGTACAGAGAGGAGCAATTCTACCTGCCTGACCCGGGATCTTTGCATGTTCTGTGCTCTCCTTCATCGAACCCTTAAAGTCTACTGCGTTTTAGCAGTCTGCCCACCTCGTTGCACATGGGCGCTTAGAAACTCGAGGGATGGGTCTGATGGGCTTTTCCCCCCCTCCATGTTTACCTTTTAGGTCTTCATATTTTTTAAAAAACTGATGCCTCCCACCCACCTACCCCTTGCATGAATTAATGTATTATTCCCATTAGACCCGTGCGCTGGCTGGGGCGCGGCGCTGCAAACGATTTCTTCCAGGCAGAACTTTGGAACGCAGCTTCGCACCGTCGCCCTCGCTCCCGCCCTTAAGAAATGTGGTGCCCGCAGTAACTGCTGGTGAAGGCTATCAGCGCCTGGCTTGATGACGTAGAAGAGGTGCGCCGCCGGATGAAGCGAGCGCGGGGGCACGGCTCAGGTCGGGAGAACTTCTGGGCGGTAAGTCGCCGGGCCCGGCAGCTTTTATTTCTCGTGGGTGCCTCTGTCTGCCGGCCCCGGGCCCCGGGAGAGAGTCTCTTTTTTAGGGGGCTTCTCAAGAGCGGAGGAGGTCTGGCCGAAAGCGGTTGCAAACCCTTAAGCACCCCACTCCCGGTCACTTCGGGACGTAGAGTTAGCGTGTCCGATGAGTGTTGCTTGGGCCCGCAGGGTTGAGCTCACGTTTGTCAAATGGAACCGCTGGAAGAGGCGCTTTGCTTTCTCTTCCCTCCCCCGCTTTTTCTTCTGCCAGGGTGGTTTCGCCAACCTTGAAGAATCAATGCTATTGGCGTTCCTGTAACTCCTGTATATTAACACAGACCGATCCTTGGGCATGTTTGTCTGGAAACATCTCATCCTCTGTCCAGTAGGACTGGTTTGCAAAGAAGTGGGCGCGCTCATCCGTGAAAGGAAAAAAAAAATATATCCCTGGGGTGAACAAAGAGGTGTAGAGTAGGTATGAATGTGTCTCTGAAACTCACTCGGTGTCATTTGAATTGACTTTCAGCTGCCTTGAGATGGTTGAAGGACTTTTGCTAACGGATCTATGACATGGGCTCTTACGAATGGAATCGTTTCGCAATTTTACACTTTGCACTTATGCAAAGTCACCCCATATTTAGATGGCAATGTAATTCGGTTTATTCAAAAATTGGTGAGACAATCCTATGTTTGGGAAATTTTCTGTTAAGTGGAGCTCTGGAATCTTGTTCCAAAATTCTTCCTTAATGGCCCCAGTAGCCATAAATCTGTTTTCAATGGATCTATAGTAGTTCAAGTACTTAACGTAAATAGATCAACCAAAGTAAGAAATCTGGTAATGTCTTTACGTTGTTGTTCTAAAGGTATTAATGGTAAAGGAATTTCAAGTTCAGTGTATCAGTCAAATCTGTTTGATGTCTTTGAGAACCCCCATTTGCAATTTCCCCCTAAATGTACTTCAAAGATGTAGTGCTATTTATAGGCATCATATTCCCTACTTAAGCTTATATTCAAGTTAGGATCTGTCTGGTGGCTGCTTATGTGTACTGGGGAGGAAAGCAAAATCCTATACCACTTCTATTGTGATCCATTTTAGGAATCTACTATACCAGTGATGGCGAACCTTTTAGAGACTGAGTGCCCAAACTGCAACCCAAAACCCACTTATGCATCATCGGGTGCTGGGTGGGTGTGGTCCATTGGGTGGGTGTGGCTGCAGTGGTAACGGCAGACTGGGTGGGACTAAAAAGTTCAATCAATCAATTCCAACTTTGCAAGATCTTTTTTTTTCCCTGCAAGCAGTTGAAATTAACTGATTGATTGAACCTTTTTTTTTTTTTTGCACACGGTGGAGCCCTAAAGCAAAAAGGTTTTATAAAACCAGCTGAAGGCCTAGGACTGGGGCCATGGCGCGTGTGCCCACAGTGAGGGCTCTGAGTGCTGCCTCTGACACCCGTGCCGTAGGTTCGCCACCACTGTACCATACATTAGAAGCATTCTTGTTATCTTATAGTATTTAGAAACCACTGCAGATAATTGGTCAAAATGTAGAGATTCTGTGGGAAATGAAGGGGTTAATTATCACCAGTGAGCTTAGTCATGCTTGGTTTTCTCATGAAACTGAGAATAAGAGAATAAATTTATATACTGTTTTAAATGTAAAACTGTAGACTTAATTGTGGCAGTTTAATATTTGCTTTGATTTTATTTGTGTTTGATAAAAATTAGAGAAATAGATGAGATTTCTTAATCCCATTTAAACTACAGACATATTAGTTTAAACATTAATGCCAGTACATACATTCTTCCAAATATTGATAAAATGTAACCAAAGTGTAACAGATCTTTTTATAATTTAGTCCGCTGCATGTATAAATTCTATGGTTAATGTTGCTTATAGACACAAAACCATACATAAACTACAAAACAAGAAATAAGTCCCTTTGAATTTAGAATATTTTGCTGATGGGTCGTTGGTTTTCTCTCAGCTTGGTTGTTTTCTTGCAGAGGTTTCCTTACCCAAACTAGTAACCTCAGTGCTTGCCCTATCTGTGTTGGTGGGAGTGGTCCTAGACCTAGAGGGTCTTTGGTTGAGCCCTTTACTGTTATCTTGTTTGGCAGTTCCTTGATTGGGGTATTGATTACTTCTTGATTGTTGGCCTGATGTTAATCCTGGTGTTAATCTATGCTCTTTGGGGTATTGATTGCTGATGGGCAGGTATTTTGGTTTTTTTGTTCCCTTTTTGCCTTGTAATTGGTTAAGACTTATTGTCATAGTTTCAACTGGCAAATTGACCATCCTAGACTAAGCCAAGTCCAAAAATTCTAGAGAATTCTTAGAAATTGGCCATCAATAGACATAAACAACATCTACATGCTGTGCAAAAGAAACAGTCAACAAGCCAAAAAGGGAACAAAAAAACCCAAACCATCTCCCCACCTGCAATCATCACTCTGATGAGCATAGATTAATACCAAGATTAACATCAGACCAACAATCAAGAAGTAAACAATACCCCAATCAAGGAAGTGCAAAACAAGATAACAGCGAAAAGCCCAGCCAAAGAATCTCCAAGACCACTCCCACCAGCAGGGCATGCCACCAGAATATACATTGAGAGCAAACTCCAGTTCTTACTAGCACTGATGATATTTGGTTTTGGTACTGAAACCTCTGCCAGAAAACAACCAAGGTCAGAGGTCACCAAAAGCCAGTCATTTCAAGCCTGAACTGGAAATATTCTCCTTTATTGGAATTTGCCGTTTGTCACACTTTCTTGTTCACTTTTTACAGGTAGGATATTTAGACCTTTCCATTCTGATTACATTTTTTGCACATAGAAATATTTATGGAAAGAGATTTTTAAAGTACTGATTTATTTATGGTTTTTAGCTAGATCATTATTGAAGTTATCCATCCAATTGAATAAGCATTAAATTTGATTTTTCATTTTCACTGCTGCACTATTAAATCATAATTAAAAAAATGACTTCTACCGGTAGTAGTGGAATGAATATTATTATAAATTGGCTGTTCTAGTGGGGATGACTAAAAAAACTACAGAATCTGTGATTTATTTAGTAGGTGCAAATAGAGAATTCTTGTGCTACCTTTGTAACAAATTAGAATTGATAACATAGTTCTTGATTTTTTATAACTTATCCTGGGTGGGAAAAAGTGACAAGGATCCTCTTTTCCATTTGTGCTAAATATGCAATGATAGATTTCTTGGATTCTTTATCACCTTCTGCTAAAACAGTGGTTCTCAACCTTTTTAATGCCGCGACCCCCAACCGGTCGTACGTCGAGGACTAAACTGGTCATAAGTCGAGGATTAAACCACTCGTAAGTCGAGGACTACCCTATCGGTCATAAGTCGAGGATTTTCCCTGCCCGGGAGCGCCATGCATGCGTGGTGCTGCCCCCTGCGCCGGCCGAGGCATAGCTGGCAAGCGGCAGAGACGGAGCAGGCCGACCACCGGCTGGGCCATCAACTGGCCCAGCCCAAGGGAGGTAAGGCACCCGCCGGAAAAGGGAAAAAAATGGCGGACAGCCTTGCCTGGCGACTCCCATGAAATGGTCAATCGACCCCAAATGGGGTTGCGACCCATAGGTTGAGAACCGCTGTGCTAAAAGGAACACCACAAAGAGACTGACTGAACTAGTCATGATAAGCTAGAATTCTTCAGAATATTAGCTAAGAGTGACATACAGATGAGTTATTTGATTGAACTATGTACAGTAATCCAAAGGCCTAGTTAATCGAGTCTTGTTTATTAAAATGGTGTTAGAATCTTAGACTAAGATGGAGCCACATAGTCCATTTATCAACTCATGATTTGTGTAGGAATTCAAATTTAATCATCTCCAATCATTGGTTATTTAGGCTTATCTTAAAATACATTTGGTGAAGCGAATCAGTTTCCCAGTTAAACTATTCTTTCTGTTAGGAAAAGATTTTGTAAGTCAAAATATGTCTTCCTGTAACTTAAATCTGTTATTCTATGTGCTATATTCTGGACTGTAAGTCTTAATTTTCTTCTCTGTGATATACTTTCAGGTTTTGAAGAGTGGTATTGCATTGTTTTGTAGTCCTCTCATGCTCTTTCAACCTTTCTTTATTGGTCTTAATTCTAGCCTTGAATCATCCTTATTATGCTTCTGTGAACCAATTTTTATCAGTCTAAATCATTCTTTAAGTGCGCTGTCCAGTATGGGTCACATAAATTCAAAGTGGAGTTTGCCTCATGGAGAATAAAGTATGTAGAACACTTCCCTATGGTTACTACATTTCTATAAATGCACACTCAATATTAGGCCTATTCAATCTGTGGCCCATGGGCTGCTTGCGGTGGCTCCACAAAATAATAAACTTTTAACATTATTATGTGATTTATATACATTAATTATATATTTTATATGTGGCCTGTGGCAATTCCTCTTCACTTAATGCAACCCAGGCAAGCCAAAAGGGTGGACACCATGTTCAATATTCATTTGCCCCTTTTGCTGCTATATTTATTCTTTCTGGAGTGAATCATTCCTGAGGTAATTCAGCAGTAGCAAAAAATACATCCTTTAGATCAGCACTGGTTCAGTGTGTTCTGGGAATGATCTCACCCCAAAGCAGACCTTTTGAGGCCAGAACACCACGTCTTGAAACAGTTACTGCTAAGAATATTTTGATATTTTGTTTTACTGAGCCTTTGCATTAGGTTTATCAATTACTTGGAGTAATCAGGCATTAACTTACTAGCCAGCGTTTCTTAATTATTTTGTAATTGAAAATCATCCAGTGAATCCAGCCCTCTCTATGTTTTTGTCTTTAAAGTCATTACACATATTTGGGAAGAAATCATTTTAGTTGCATGTATGCATATTTGCCATTTCCTTCATTTTTAGAGGCCTTTTAAACCAAATTGGGTACCAAATATAAAACATTAAACATTTATTTACTATTTCAATTATTTTATGGCATTACAAAAAAAAATTCTTTGCACTTTTTGTCAAATGCATTCTTCAGTAAACATGTTGAGGGGCTAAGGGTGGAGGAATGACTAGGTTCCCATTCCAATGAAGCCCTGTTTTTAGGTATTCATCATCCTATTTCCTATTTGCTCTTTTTTTTTTTTTTTTTTGGAACTGCTTGTGCAAAATCACAGTGCCACTTAACACAGCATATGTGGGCTCATTGTCAGGAACTGTGCTTGAGAGCTTTTTATTACGATCAGTTTTCCAAATGTTAATAAACCAGTTTTTAGCCACTAATCTGTTTTTGCAAGACAGTGACTAGTCCTCAAAATGGGAAAGTGAGAGCTGAGGTGATGAACACACTTTGGCTTGGGAAGCAATAAGTTGAGGCAACAATTTGAAACAATGCGCAGGCTGTGGCTGGTGAATTCAGGAAGGTTGCAGCAGACCACTCTATGAAACACGGTTCAAGAATCGCTGCTATTAAGTAGTTGGCACAAAATAAAAACTGTAACAGTATTTTGTTTTACCTTACTTTGGCGTGTTTACCTCACCTTTTCTAGCTAAATGTATGCAAAGAAAAATGGTTGTATGCATGATATAAGTGAAAGAACTGAGCAAGATGCTTTCTGCCTAGAAATTTGCTTCAAGAGAAGGTAGATGACAGTCGTGAAATAAAAAAATAGGACAAAACCAGTTTAAGTATTTTTAATTTACTCAGTAAGTTTTGTTTTTTTTTTCCTTTGGAAACAGTTTGGTAATAGTTAATAGAAATTTATTTCATCTTTTTTAGGTTACCGGTAGCTTGTTTGGTTTGTTCTCAGTAGTTACAATGGACTATAAAAGTAACAAGCTGTGACAAGCTGATTTGCTGTTGCTTGTTATGCTTCCAAACTGTAACTATATTCCTTAATTCAGGGCATTATTGAATTAAATGTTAAAAGTTATTTTTTTTAATGTGTATACCCTTTGTTTTCAAAGTTCAGTCTTGGGTAATGTAATTTTTTTTTTATTTTGCCCATTTTCTGGGAAAAAACCCTACCACAAACAGGTACTCTCCTTATGTACTTTTTGCTATGATTTTAAATGTTATATTGCACTAATACATTTATTTAAATGAAAGCTGCAAAGATTTATCTTTGCAGATTTTTAATTGACATTTTGTGATTAACAACTTATATAACTAATTACTGAATCCCATTCCTGTGGTGCTGGAAAGAACAAACTTGATAACATTACTTTGTCTGTGAAAAAATAGTTACTCCAGCACAGCAGTAATGTATGTTATGAATTTTACTTGAACACAGTAATCTGAGACTTTTTATCTTTTTCAGGTCTGGAATCTTTATTTTATATACTTGATATTTTATCAAATATGTCAATACAGACTGCAAACTAGTTTTTGGGATGCTTCAAGGAAAGCTACTTCCTTAAGGCAAATGTTGTGAAGCTTGATTTCTGGATTTAGTTTCTGGAAGTAATCCTCATTTGACTGGACACTTGATTGCTACAATGGATCAAAACAACAGTTTACCACCCTATGCTCAGGGCTTAGCATCCCCACAGGTAATATATATATATATATAAACTAATGAACATTGAAAATCAAAATTTTCAAAATAGTTTTTAGAGACCTGTAGTGTTGAATGGGTTGTGGATTCCACTTTCTTTTTTTTTTTTTTTACCTTTCTTTGCTGTTTCTTTTCCCTGAATTTTAAAACAGCCTTGTTTATAATCTCTTTATAGCTCAATATTTGATTGGTTGTTACTTGCCATGGTTACTGCAGGTTAGGACAAGTTTTTGTTAATTCTTATCTCTTATCTTTTCAATGACATCAGTGATGGATATGAAAGCAGTAAGAACTGTTTATTGTTGTACAATTTTCATTATTGAAACTCTTGGCCTGAACAGAACAATAATTGCTTGACAGCTAACTCTTCAGGTTTATCTGCCTGAGATATACATTTGGACATATTTCTTGATTTTTGTCCCTCTGTATTAAGGCTTTACAACCTTCTTATTGGAACCAGAACAAAAAGTATTCTCTCCTCCTTTATTCTTTGTATTTTTTTCTAATGGTTTTACTAAATATTATTTTGATCAAATAAAATTAATATAAAAATCTAATACAAACATATATTAAAAAAGAAAAAAGTGAAAGAAACTAAACAGTAAGAAAAGGAAACTTCCCCCTTCATTACCAGCAAGTATTATTCAGCATTAACAGCTTATCACTGTCTATTAAAATATAGTATAGTAACTGTGAGAGGGACCTCAAGAGTCCTAGTGGACAATCAGTTAAATATGAGCCAGCAGTGTGCTGCAGCTGCCAAAAAGGCCAACACAGTGCTGGGCTGCATTAACAGAGGGATAGATTCAAGATCACATGAAGTATTAATACCCCTTTACAATGCCTTGGTAAGGCCACACTTGGAATACTGCATCCAGTTTTGGTTACCACGATGTAAAAAAGATGTTGAGACTCTATAAAGAGTACAGAGAAGAGCAACAAAGATGATCAGGGGACTGGAGGCTAAAACACATAAGAAACGGTTGCTAGAATTGGGTATGTCTAGTTTAATGAAGAGAAGGATGAGGGGGGACATGATAGCAGTGTTCCAATAGCTCAAGGGCTGCCACAAAGAAGAAGGAGTCATGCTATTCTCCAAAGCGCCTGAAGGCAGGGGAAGAAGCAACGGATGGAAACTAATCAAGGAGAGAAGCAACCTAGAACTAAGGAAAAACTTCCTGACAGTTAGAACAATTAACCAGTGGAACCACCTGCCTCCAGAAGTGGTGAATGATCCAACACTGGAAGTTTTTAAGAAGAGACTGGACAGCCATTTGTCCAAAATGGAATAGGGCTTCCTGCCTGAACAGGGGGTTGGACTAGATGACCTCCAAGGACCCTTCCAATGTCGTTGTTATTATCAAATATATTTTCTTTCCATACCTCAACCCCTTTTCTATCAATTCATCTCTAAATCTTCAACCCTCATTCAATCAGCAGAGGTCCAGTAACAAATGCCCCAAATACCTAATAACATAAGTATATAATACCCCTTTCCACTTAGTCTGAATCCCCTAAAATCTATATTTTGCTTCATTCTGTGAGTTGAGTGTTCTCCTCCAATTGTAATTTTTAGTTCCCTCTAGTATCCAAGTTTTAAAGTTTTATGCTTTTTTAAAAAAAATATCAAAACTGAAGAAGCATTTTCCCACAGGAAGGATTCTTTATAATGGATTCCAAAATCTTTTTTGATCTTTTATCTGAAGCCTTAGTCCATTTGTAACTTTCTAAAATCAAAGTTTTAACTATATTTTTGTTGTTTGTCTCTCTCCCTCCCCCCGCAAAACAAAAAGTTCTTAAACCTGTAGTTAGCGCTTCTTCTGCTAACAATTGAAGGAAAATTATTTTGGTCTTTTAAAATGCGCTGCTCCAAGGATTCCCAATAGCTGAAAAAACAGTTAACAAACAATTTCCAGAAGCAATTAGAAAGGAAGTATGTGAGCCTATTATCTTACAAGGTGCTGAGCACAGTTTGAACAAGATGGCTATTCTCTCGAGATGGCTATTCTCTCATCTACCAGAGCTGTAAACCTGCTGGAGACTGCTGTCTTGTGGTTTCCTTGCAAGGAATTACTGTCTGGAGCACTTGTAGGTAATCTCACATTCTCTCCTTGTTTGGAGGGAAATATCAAAAGCCAGTTTGCTCACTGGCTCTTCATTCCACTGCAGTCATCTGATCCACTTTTTCCAGACCTGTCTTCAGTTCATTTCTTCCCCAGAAGTCCCTTTTATACTTCAGTTTTTGTGGCCCTATAGAATACAGGTAATCCCCGAGTTAACAAGCGTTCCCTTAGCAAATGTTTGAAATTATGCGGTAAGCTCCCCAGAGTGTTTATGAAAAAGTCCCGAAATTATGAATGTTGCCACATCACGGCAGTTGTTCACCCTTACAAACGACCGCAGAGGCACTGCAACATTCACCCTGGTTATTCCCTCGCCTCACCCCACTCCGAGTCTACCTAGGCACTAGGCCTTGGATACTCAACTTGCAAAGATCGAAATCCTTCGCTTTCTTGGCTGCTCCAGGCTTTCGGTGCATTCGCAGAGAATGGAGGCCTAAAGTAATGCAAGATCATGTGAAATCAGTGGTGTGAGATCTCATGCTACTGATTTCACGTGACCTCACGGTATTATAGGCCTCTGCAACAGATAACAGAGCGGAAGCCGGGGGAGGCTTCTGCCTGCCTCTGGAGGCCTGATCGAGGTGTTAGAGGCCTTTTCCGGGCCACTGCTGCCCAGAAAAGAGGCCGGGGGACACTTCCACAGACCTCTGGAGGCCTGATCCGGGCATCAGAGGCCTTTTTTAGGCTGCTGATGACTGGAAAAGAGGCTGGGGGACACTTCTTTGGACCTCCGGAGGTCCAATCTGAGCCTCAAGACGCCTTTTCCGGGTTGCTGCCGCCCAGAAAGGAGGCTGGAGGATGCTTCCATGGGCCTCCGGAGGTCTGTTCTGGGCCTTGGAGGCCTCCCTCTGCTCTTGCCAGGAGCAGGGAAAGAAACAGGCTGGAGAGGAGACAGATCTTCACAAGGTAAGTGACCTGGCACAGCAGGATTGGGCGGGGGAGCAATTGTGGGGATCCCAGGGGAGGGAGCATGAGGTAAAATGAGGACCCAGATAGTTGAGGGCAATATGGTGGTTCTGTAAGCGCTATGAAGTGATGTATAAGTGCTATTGCTATCGCAAGATATGCAGAATACAACAGCCCTTCTTTAAATAACTCTGCACATTCCTAATCTTGTTCATGATAGTTCATGTATGTTGTAGACTTTTGATTTTTTTTAAATTGTATTTATTTTGTAGAGTGCAATGACTCCAGGCATCCCTATTTTTAGTCCTATGATGCCCTACGGCACTGGGCTCACACCCCAACCTGCTCAGAGTACCAACAGTTTATCTATCCTGGAAGAACAACAGAGGCAGCAGCAGCAGCAAGCAGCAGCACAGCAGTCCACTTCACAACCGACACAAGCACCATCTGGTCAAACCCCACAGCTCTTCCACTCACAGACTCTCACGACTGCTCCTTTACCAGGAACCACACCTCTCTACCCCTCCCCAATGACTCCCATGACTCCTATAACGCCTGCCACCCCTGCTTCCGAAAGCTCCGGGATTGTACCGCAGCTCCAGTAAGTGCAGGTTCTACTCTGCTCACAGATCCTGTACTTTTAAATGATGGTACTTTTTAAGAGGGAATTTTATATTGCTATTTTTTTAGAGCAAGGTGGGCAACCTGCGTTCTGAGTTCATGCTGTCAAATGGCTATGTTTCAGTAGCATATGTTGCTATGTTGAATGCTTGGCAAAAAAAAAAAACACCTTTGAAAACAGGTTCTTTGCAGGCATTTATTCAGAACGCCAATGCATTAAGTTTGATTTAAAATTACTTTCTTTCAGTTTTTTAAAATTTATTTGATGCCTCTGAGTTTTTTTAGTTTAGATTTTGACGGGTATTGTGGCTTGTAACTAGTGCTCACATAGTTACTGTTGTAATAAGTTTTTGTTGTTATTGTTAGTTGCGAAGTCATGTCTGACCCATCTCGACCCCATGGACGACGTTCCTCCAGGCCTTCCTGTCCTCTACCATCTTCTGGAGTCCATTTAAGCTCATGCCTACTGTTTTAGTGACTCCATCCAGCCACCTCATTCTCTGTCATCCACTTCTTCTAATGCCCTCAATCTTTCCCAGCATTAGGCCCTTCTCCAGTGAGTCCTTCTTTCTCATTAGGTGGCCAAAGTAATTGAGTTTCAACTTCATGATCTGGCCTTCTAAAAAGCAGTCAGGGTTGATCTAGGGTGGCTTTATTTGAAGCTTTTAAGATGACCTAATATATCTGCAAATTCTCTCTAGGAATATTGTGTCTACAGTAAATCTTGGTTGCAAACTTGACCTAAAAACCATTGCCCTTCGTGCTCGAAATGCTGAATACAATCCCAAGGTAAGATATAATGGAGAGATAACAACTAATCTTAGATTAATCAATGATGATTGTTTGCTATTTTTGCTTCTGATAGCTCACGTGACTTGCTTCAGTTACTGCAAAGGAGATTTGAGTATGCTTTTTAAATGTAGCCAAGAAAAAGATCTTTGTGGCTGCAGTAATAGCCTTAAAGAACAATGCCACTATGTAGTCATGTTGTGTCAAGCCATTTTATACTAAAAACTTTGCAAATCTTTTTGCAAAGTATGAAATAACCTATTTCAATGCTTTGAAAGTATTTTAGATTTACTCTGTTTTGTTTGCAAAAGAGTTTTTGAGCTCCAAAATTCCCCTAGAATGGTCAGAGCTTCCCATTTTATATTGGAATTTCACGAGGGTTCATGCTTGAAATGGTTCATATTTTAAATTTTGTACACCACTACATACGTCCGGTTATTTTAAGGCTTGCTATGTAAGAATATAATCATTTGTTGTGATATATGGTAGTTTTGATAAAATAAAAGGTAACATTTGACAGCACTAGTAGATCCCATCTCTAGTTAGCCATAAAGAATGGTTTACAAAGCTGGCTGGGTTCATACCTCATGCCAAACAACCTACATTGTGACTTTGCCTTCTGGTAGTAATTGTGGGATGAAGATCTTGTTAACCCTTTTGTAAAAGAAGGCATAGGAACAAGGGCAAAGCTTTGCAATTAAACAAAAGTTTTGCAAAGAAATGAGGTATTACATGAAAACAAGAAGCAATTGTTTTCACTTAAGCATTCATAAAGCAGTCTCTTGTAGAATTAATTTGATGAAAAAGTACTGTCTATTCTATTTGAATTCATTTAGACATGACCCTCAAACCAAATTTATTCCAATGTTTTGGCTATCAAAGAAGTTTGATAAATGTCTTTTCCATAAACAAAGGTAATTAATATAATTATTATATGATACATTACATTGTATTTGTAATTGTAGATGTTTTAATATTTTTTTGAAGTGAAGAATGGAGACTAATGCAACTTCAACTTACTAATGTACATTTAGATATTTGTTGTTATTGTTGTTGTTATAAAAGAATTCTTCTTGTTTCAGCGTTTTGCTGCTGTAATTATGAGAATAAGAGAGCCACGTACCACAGCCCTCATATTCAGCTCTGGAAAAATGGTGTGCACGGGAGCTAAAAGGTATGCAAGCCCAAGCCGAAGCAATTATGTGCAGTCATTTAACTTATTAGCATTTGGCCCAACAGATATGGTCATTTGACACAGGTACTCTGATAAAAGCCAGCTAATAGGTATGTAATTTACAAACTGTGTGTATATCATTCAGAGTTTCTTTGATGAAATAACAACGCATCTTATACTTTTTCAGTGAAGAGCAGTCCAGACTGGCTGCGAGAAAGTATGCTAGAGTTGTACAGAAGTTGGGCTTTCCTGCAAAATTCTTGGATTTTAAAATTCAAAATATGGTTGGCAGTTGTGATGTAAAATTCCCTATCAGACTTGAGGGATTGGTTCTTACACATCAACAGTTTAGCAGGTAGGCCAAAAAATTGTGTTATCTTAAATGTGTAGTAAAAATACTTTTTTATTTTGTGTTTCTCAGTTTTATTTACTCATAGTTTTTTGGAGTCATTTATGTACTTTCTCTGAATGGAAAAGAGGGACAGCCATAGGCAATTCAAATGTATCTGTGATGTATAGGTAATTTCAAACTATTTTAAATCTGTATAGTTCTTTAATATTCTGTGTTTGATTCTTCAATACTGAAACAAAAAAGCTTTTTTATTTAAACAAAAATCGATTATCTGTTGGTATGTATTGGTGTAATTTAAATCCTTAAGAATAGTAAGATAAGATACATTGCTAATTGAGCAGCTCTAAAAGTGAAATCTGAATTTGACACTAGCCCAGCATCTTTAAAATGTTCTTGGCCTTACAGCAATGGTGGCGAACCTATGGCACGGGTGCCAGAGGCGACACTCAGAGCCCTCTCTGTGGGCACGCGCACCGTCACCCCAGTCCTAGGCCTTCAGCTGGGTTTTGTAAAACCTTTTCACTTTAGGCCGTGTGCAAAAAAAAAAAAAGATTCAATCAATCAGTTAATTTCAACTTCTCACGGGAAAAAAAGATCTTGCAAAGTTGGAATTGATTAATTGAACTTTTTAGTTCCACCCAGTCTGCCGTTACCACCGCAGCCACGCCCAGCCAATGGGCCATGCCCAGCCAATGGGCCACACCCAGCCAATGGGCCATGCCCACCCAGCACTCGATGATGCATAAGTTGGTTTTGGGTTGCAATTTTGGGCACTCGGTCTCTAAAAGGTTCGCCCTCACTGCCTTGCAGTATAGAATTGTTCAATAATTCTTATGTGCAGTCTTGTATATATTTTACCTGAAAGTTTTGTGTATATACCCACTTGAGGAATTAGCACTAACAATGAAAAGTACAGATAGGCCCTGGGAGTACATAAGACATGACTTAATATCATCTCAGCTTAATTAACGTATGGCAGAAGAAAAAATTCATGTATATTCCTGAGCAAATACTTTACATTTTACTTACACTGAACTTTTCTTTCAGTTATGAACCAGAATTGTTTCCTGGTTTAATCTACAGAATGATCAAACCAAGAATTGTACTGCTTATATTTGTTTCTGGAAAGGTAGTTTTAACTGGTAAGCCATATTTGAAATTACTGCACTGACTGTAGCAAACTGAAAAATACCCCAAAAATATTTCAAATAACAAATACAATTATATTGATGCATTGGTTTGTTCCTTTTTTGTACTTTATTATAATATACTGTTTGGGTGCATTTTATACCCAAATATTTTTATTTCTCCTGTAGTGTTAACATGTTGCAGCTATTAAATGTGTTAATGTGCCTTTAAAGCCCCCCAGAAAATACAGTTGGTACACAATGCAGCCTTGTCATGTGCTGCTGGATGCAGTGAACATACTATTCCTGTGCTGCAGGCCCATGGCTGCCTGTAAGTTTCCGGGTGCAATTTAGAATGCAAGTTTTGTCTGATGAAGTCCTATATCGCTTGGTGCTGCAGGACCTGTAGGACTGCCTCTTTCAACAGAATCCGATTGTTGGTAGCTCCCTGTTACTATGGAATGGAGGAGGAAATGCTTTTCTACTACGGCTTCTGTTTTGTCGAATAGACTTCCATTATCTGGTGGCCTTCGGGAAGCAGGTTAAAAACTCTTCCAGAAGGCTTTTTAACTAGTGCCATAGGAATTGTTCATATATTGCTCCAGTTTTAAATAAATAAAACTAACCAAAGAGAGAAGCAACCTAGAACTAAAGAGAAACTTCCTGACAGAACAATTAAGCAGTGGAACAACCTGCCTCCAGAAGCTGTGAATGCTCCAACAATGGAAGTCTTTAAGAAGAGATTGGACAGACATTTGTCTGAAATGGTATAGGGCAGGGGTAGGCAACCTTGGCTCTTTTATGACTCGTGGATTTCAACTCCCAGAATTCCTGAGCCAGCATGGCTCAGCTTGGAAACCTCTCCCTTTCCCCTCAACATGGCTGGCTCAGGAATTCTGGGAGTTGAAGTCCACAAGTCATAAAAGAGCCAAGGTTGCCTACCCCTGGTATAGGGTTTCCTGCCTGAGCAGGGGGGTGGACTAGATGACCTCCAAGGTCCCTTCCAACTTTATTATTATTAAATGTTAAGTATTGTTTTATCACCAGATAGTGATGACGAGAGCATGGGTTACTGCCAAAGGTTACTTTCACGAGGTCCTCCTATGGAGTCCAGATTAAGACTGGTCTACCAGCTGAGCAATAGCTCTATGAATTCAATGCACTGGTTTGAATTATGAGCAATTTCCACATACACAATTTGTTAACACTTTAAGAAAATTAGGAAACTAATGATATTGATAGCCACAGAATCTCTGTAGCATGTACATAGTGGTTAAATATATTCCTTTCTTTGTAGGTGCAAAAGTCAGAGGTGAAATTTATGAAGCATTTGAAAATATTTATCCTATTTTAAAAGGATTCAGAAAAACAACGTAACAGTTCCGTGTGCTTATTCATGAAGCTGGAGTACATTTTTAAAGGTATTAATTATGGCACAGTAATAACACACATCAGGACTTGGAATCCATCTTCCCAGATAGTGCCTCTTTCCCTGTTTTTCACGGGAAGGGAACATATCACTGTGTGTTTTGTCTGCACTAAATTACTGTGCATTGCTTTTCCGTGTTCTCACACAAGAAAAACAGTTTATTTATATTTCTGGCTCTTAAAACGGCTAATTTTTAAAATCTGAGAGTCTTATGCTGGCAAGCTGGCTAAACTGTATTATCCAACATTTAAAACCCTGGTGTTACAGTATTCTTTCAACCATGGATTTTATAATCAGAAATGTTAATTTTATGCTTTTAGACCTACTTCCACATTCCCTACATTTCCAGTGTTCAGCAGGACAGAAACTTTGCTAGTGAAGACAAATGGCTGTACATATTTCTCATTTTGTGAAGCAATTCTAAATGTATAATTACTTGACTAAATAATTTGAATAGTAAAATTTGAGGTCAATCTTTGCTTTTGCTGTTTTAATGTGCTAACTGCATGCATATAGCTAAAATAACTTGATTTTTTATAAGATTTTTATTAACAATCCCAGTATTAAAGTAATGTTATTTGAAATGTTCAAAGTTATTTTTGTGTTGTTTCTTAGTGTCTTAGTTTGAGGCCTTTATCTCAAAGAGGACCTACAGCTACAGTATAACAGTTTTTCCCTCCAGTATTAAGAGGAAGAATGTGTTAATGATAGAAATAGCTTTCTGTCTCCAATTGGTTCTTTCTACTATCAGAAAAAAAGAACATGAAGCAGACCAGGTGCTGTACTAAAAGGGAACATGAATTCTGTATATCCAAAGCCCTCATGTCAAATTATCCCACTCACACTACTGTATTCCTATTAGGTTGGAGTGGAAAGGGATTTATATATATTTAAGTGCCAAATAAAAAAGCATTTCTTCCTCATCCGTCCCTTATAAAACAAGTAGGCGAATTTCAGATATAATTTCTCTTCAAATTCCTTCCTTCCTTCCTTCCTTCCTTCCTTCCTTCCTTCCTTCCTTCCTTCCTTCCTTCCTTCCTATTTATGGTCAATTCCTGTAGAAGAGGTTGAGCCATTCAGTGCCAAAATGACAAGACTTTACCTCCATCCTATTGTTTTCAGTGTAAATTGATCTAAAATTTCAATAAACCATAATGAGTGATGTCAGACCACAGCCAATAAAAAGAATAGGAAATATTGTATTCAGAAATATACATAGCTTATTTTCTGTAGGAATCAGTGCTCAGTCATTGCAGGGTGCAAATATGGCTGACCGCCTTCGCAGCGTTTATTCTTTTATACAGTTTTCCAAGCAGCAAAAGTTCAACATGGCAATAGCATTTTATTGGTTAAACTCCTTACCAATCCTTAAGAATAGAAAGCAAGGAGGCCCAAAACAGGGAGCAGTTTGCTGCCACATCCTGTTGGTGTAAGCTAGCTGATATCAGGCAGGTGAGATCATTGTACCAGCCTGGTTTCCCACATTGCCATGGTGATGTGAATGGATGAGATCATGTAGAGAGAAGAGGCACGCAGGCGTTGGAAGGACAGTTTGCTGCTCATGACCTCTACCTGGCCCCCATCTGTACAATTTTCCATTTTTATTGAAATACATTGTAAATCATCGCTGAAACTTAGAACTCAAAATTAAAGCTTCCTATCTATTTGTACTTCAAGACTCATTCCATTGGTTTATTTGCACTGCAGTGATAAATAGCTATTATTCATTTTGTGAACTGTCAACTACAAACCAACCAATTTCTTAATGAAAACAACCTTTTCCAACAGGATGTGAAAATTCTAGATTCTTGAATGAGTGAACGTCTTCTCAGATATGAACGGCATATTCCAGCCAACATACTAAAGAGTATTTTTTAAAAATGTGCTTTGTTTGCCTTTTTACTAAACTGTTTCAAGGATGCTAATCTTTTACTTCAATTTCTCATCAAAGAAATTAAAGAATCGGTGCTTGGATGGGATGATCCCACTATAGTTCCATAGTTATGTAACAGAATAAACTATACATTCCGTGTTTCTAATTCCATTCCACACCTGGTTTTGCCAAAACTTTCCTGGTTTGTTAAATTATATTTCAAAGTAATTAGTCCTTTGAACCAGACTATAACCAAAATAAGCACAATGAAGAATAAGTGATGAAGATCTCTCCCATAAAGCAACCAATGGTAACACAAGCGCAAATTCACCTACAGCATATTCAGACAGGCTCTTAAGATCCTTTACCAAGGGTGGCAATGGGAATGGTTTCAGGAATGGGTGGAGGAAAATAAACAGTGGAAACAACAATTTATCACTTGATTCTTTACTGTAGTGAATCTATCATGTCTATCATGATTTGCTTTTTTTTTTTTCATTTCAAAGTTCTAGCAAAATAATCACCTCTCTGGTCTCAGATTGATTTTATATTCTTATTCTATAACTGATGTGAAAGTTCAAGCAATGGCGATCATTGTTGTCAGCTGAATATTAAAAGGTGAGAAAAATGTATGATAATGGAAGAAAATTATCTCACTGCTTAAGCTTTGCAGACATTAAACAGAACTGGAAATGCCCTGCTTCCAGATGAACTCTTCAACATAGTGGTTTCCTAGATCACAATTCACAGCACATGTGTAGATAGCCAGTGTTCCCCAGTCAATACTTTCTCCAAGACTGTCGACATTTAAGTGAGCTAGAAGTTGCGGCATCACCTTAAACAGACAAAATACTTTAAGTGAGCTTTTAAAACTAAGTGGTCAAATCACTTTAATCCATAACCAGAAAGAAATATATTACTGTATTATCAATTTTTTAAAACATCCAAGAGAAAAATAGGCAAACAGAGAAATTGTGTTAAAAAGAAGCTTTATGGTTTTTAATGTGCAGTTTTGCAAACATCCATACCTGGAATTCAAATACTCTTTTACTACCACACTGACAGTTAGGAATATCTGTGTCTCGCGGAATATTTAACCCTGAAATCCAGATGGGCCCTTCTCCATTTCTGCAGTATCTGATAACCTGAAATTCAAGAAGAATCAGAATTGAAAATAAAATTATGTAGATTTTGTAGGAGTATATATCATATGAACTAAGAGATTATTCTTCTCTCTTTCAATTGACAAAAGTATCTTTTATTAAATGCCCATTTCTATGTACCATGTCATTACTTACTTACGGTGCAGGTTTGTATGAAGCATGCTTCCACTAAAGCAGTGGTTCTCAACCTGTGGGTCGGGACCCCATTTGGGGTCGAACGACCATTTCACGGGGGTCGCCAAACAAGGCTGTCCGCCATTTCCCCCCCCCTCTTTTCTTTGGCCACGCCCCTGGCACCCGGTGATGTATAAGTGGTTGGGGGTCACCACAACATGGGGAACTGTATTATGGGGTCGCGGCATTAGAAAGTTGAGAACCACTGCACTAAAGTAATTATCGGTAGTCTTTCCCCAAACCTGCCCTAGTTTCTAAGCCATTGTAAAGGGTTAATAAGTGTATCACTCCCTTGCATTCTATCCATCTATGTGCATGGCTTAACAATCATATGAATATGGAACCTTTGCTATTTATCTATCTATAAAAGCCATACTTTGAAACCAACGCTTTTGGGCTTCAGAGTCCAATTTCGGTAAATGGAAATGACAACCAGCCCAAGATTGCATGATTCACATGACTTCCTTTCTTGGTTAAGATATAATTGAAGGATGAAGCACTCCTTTGTTGACTTTTTACATTGATTTAGCATGTTGTGAATATGGTCTTTGTCTTACTAGAATTTCCATGCAAAACAGTACTAATGGATCAATTCCGAACATCCAATTCTTTTAGTCAGGTTTCATTTAATTTGTTACTAATCTCCATCTAATTATTTTGGTAGCATGAAGTAGAAAATGAATTCAAAGTGACAAAATTCTGGGCTGGATTATTAATATCCCATTCTCATAGTAATAAACCAGTATAAAACATTAATGGACATGAAAAATACATTTAAAACACCTGTTCTGGTTCCAAAGATATCCTTTCTTTGAATATTTGAAAAATTCTGTCTTCCTGAGTTTCATGTTTTGCCATCATCTCCAAGGACATCTCATCTAATAATTCAGAAGCTTCATCTGGGGGGGGGGGGAGGAGAAACACACAGTAATTAAATTGCAAGACTGCAATTTGTAAAAAAGGGTTTTGGCTTAAGTCTCTCAGGGATGAATCAGTATTCATGAAATTTGATTTTAAAAATATCTATCAATGAAAAATATTGTGTCCATGTTAGAAGCCTGCAAAAAAAAAAGGGGGAGAGAATGAGATCTGCATTATGGAGGGCAAGACCGCAAATTGATGTTACAAGAGTTTCCTCTTTTTATCTGAATTGGGATAGGAGAATTTGGTGGTATATTTTTTTAAACAAATCCATCTTACAGCTTCTGTTACAGTGGTATGTACTTTCAATGTCAAAATGAGAGGAAAACCAACCAGATGTTTTTAGCAATTACACTCCAATACAGTTCTGATGCAACATACTTATATGTCTGAGACTAACTTACTTTCAAGCAAAGTCTAAGTTAAAAACTTCGGGAAAAAAGCTCTGTCATTTGGAAGCTAGGGGGCGGATCTATACATTCTTTAATGCAGGATATACTTCAATTTAAAATAAATGCTAATTTAAGAAACAGCCTTGAAATATGGGCATTCATTCATAATTCTTACCTAGATCACCTGTTGTTGTATCCTCATTTTTGTCTAAATCTTCGTGTTCTGTGTCACTGACAGCAGCAGAATCCAACTCCTCATGTTCTCTGACAATTTCATACTCGGGGAACAGAAATTTATGATCCGGAATTACATCTTCTGTAAAACAAGAAGCCAGTCTCTTCATTTACTTTCTCCTAGATTTTATTATTACACATTTGTCAGAGGGTGGAGAAAAGGCAGGAACTTTCCAGACAATCCCCATTCTCTATTTACAATAATATTGACTATATACTGTGGCTTTATTTTAACTGCACAGTTACAGCCTTAGATAAAAAATTTCAAATGGAATTTTTCACATTATATATTCCATTCCCTCTCCCAGCTACTTTTTATGCTTTCACTTATAGGCTCATTTGTATCTCAGGGAAGTTAATGAGAACAGGGGGAAAAAACCTTGATTCTAGCATCTTTATCAAGCTGTCCTTGCTGGCAACTAATCTGTTCTCCAAAAATGACAATCCTTTTCAACAAATAAGTTTGTTTCTCAGTTCTCTCTGAGTCCTGCTTACTCCTGCTGGATCTCCTCCTTCCTGATATGTACAAAATTGTCAGTCCACACCATGTTCAACAATATCCTCCTCCTCTACTGAATACTTCTGCTCTTTTATTTAGTTAGAATTAGGAGACAGATGTCTTAATTAAGCATGATGTTTCTTGATGACTGTGGTGGTGGAGAAACCCTTTAACTTTGAGACCACTGCATTATCTCACATCCATCAGCGCAACTCTCCCTGACACAAATATGCCTTTGTGGGGTTGTGAAACAAATCTTAAAAGCAAATATGGATTACATTCAAAACTGTACTAAGCCAAATGTGGTTTATTTGCCTCCAATATGGTACATATGACTCTTATATCTTAAAAATGATGACTTCTGACCTAGAATGATGTATGAGCCAAATCAAGTAACCCAGTGGTTCTCAACCTTTCTAATGCCGCGACCCCATAATACAGTTCCCCATGTTGTGGTGACCCGCAACCACTTATACATCACCGGGTGCCAGGGGCATGGCCAAAGAAAAGGGGGAAAAAATGGCGGACAGCCTTGTTTGGCGACCCCCATGAAATGGTCGTTCGACCCCAAATGGGGTCCCGACCCACAGGTTGAGAACCACTGAAGTAACCTAAAAAAGCCCCACAGTATATATATTTAATTGAAAATGGATTTATGTTTTAAAGAGTGAAGATAGGTCCAAAAAAAAACTTCACAGCAAACTACCACTTTGGCTAAAGTTCCCAAATGAACAACCAGAGGGCATAATTGGGGCAGCAGAAAATAGGGCCCTATAGCATAGCAGGGCCAACTGGAGTTGACAATGCTAAAACTAGCATTTTTGCTTTTTTTAAGAAAAAATAAAACATGTTACTATAAACAAAATATTTATAAAACCACTAGTTAAGCCGTTAGCTAGAAATGTAGATAACTCTTCATTATTTTTCTCCAGAAATCTTTATTTTAGAGAACTTGGTGCTTATTCTAAGAAAGATACCAACAGATGGTATTAAAAAGACATTGCCATATAAAATTATTAATCCACTTCCAATTCTTTACAATTAGCATAGAAAATAAACTGTTTTAGAATCAAGAGTGCTAATGCACACAAATCAAAGGACTATATATCGTCCAACATACATTCTTATATTTATTATATTCTATAATATTATTTTGGTGAGCTCTTACAATTCATGGGTATGTCTAGCTACCTACCAGGCTGCAAGCATGATACGTTATGTCCTGCCTTCCAATCTTTGATCTGATGGTCTTTGCTACAATAATGAGCCTTATGACACTTGGAACATGTGCTGGGTCCCAAGCAACCACAGACTCTGCAAAGCATAGCTCCACATTTTAGCTGCAGATTCACAGAAGGTAATTCTTCCAAAGGTGGTTCTTCAGGTGGTGGATTATAAGAGTAAGTATCATTCTTTCTTGGAAGCTGATTCCTAAAAACTTAAATGAGAAAAAAATATTATCTAACAAATGAATACAGTACGACATACTACTCTTATGTCATTCTAGTTTAGTCTCTGCCCACACTGTACCAAAACAACACTGAGGTGCCATGGGGTTAACATTTGTGCATTCTAAGTCCATTTAATTTTTGAAGGCTCTAGAAAAAACGTCAAGAGTATAGTATAATAGAATAGGCAGCATATAAATGAAATGTTTCAAAGGCAAGATCTGTATCATGGCTGGTGAAAACCTGGGGAGAGCCATTTGGATAAGAGAAGCTGTGCATTCTTTGAGGAGCTGGCCAAAATTCTTGGTAAACAATCAAAGGAAGCAAGTTGTGGATGCTCCACTGCTTAAGAAAGTCTGGGCAACTCACAGGACATGTGATCATGTTCCTTTATAAAGGCAGGGCTTTTTTTCTCATAGAACGCCCAGAACGGAGTTCCAGCACCTTTTTTGGCTGGAACCTTGTAGGATAGGCAAGGCGGGTTGTATGACGTGTGTGAGTTCCAGCACTTTTTTTTTTTTTTTAGAACTTCAAAGAACTCCTTTAAAACTTAGACGTATCAGCTGCTCTTTTTTTGCTCTTTCAGATGTTCAATATATAACCAAGATATACTTTCACACAATTATTTAAAGTATTTATATATTGGTCTCTGCAGAGTAGTTATATTCCAAGGCAACAGTTTTATGGGTGCTTAACTTTTAATATCATGACCTGTGTCCCGTTCCAGACAATTCATTTCTGGGAAGGCAGGCAAAGTGAAATGGTCTGGGAGAAAAATCAATGATCCATAGTGTTTAGAAATCCCCTCTATAATGGGCTCATTTCTATAAACCTGAATTAGTAAACATTTATGAATTAACCCCAAAAGAGATCATGATAATAAACTGTTGCACCTGAGGAGTTGCAGTAGTCTCCTTTAATATGCTCATATTGATCTACATCAGTAGGCTACACTGGAGTTCAGAAAAAGCCATGTTTTATTAGAAAAAAAGGCCATAAGTGATAGAAATGCGTTGCATATAAAAGGTCCGCTGTTAATCTCTGAGCACAGAAGGTGCGAGTCCCCAATGTGAGGAGTGCTCCATCAGTGGAGATTTTTTTAAAAAGAGGTTGAATCACCTTCTGTCTGAAATGGTATAGGGCAGGGGTAGGCAACCTTGGCTCTTTTATGACTCGTGCTGGCTCAGGAATTCTGGGAGTTGAAGTCCACAAGTCATAAAAGAGCCAAGGTTGCGTACCTCTGATATAGGGTCTCCTACTTGAACTATAAGATTGAAGAAGATAGAAATTACAAGTTAGACTAGAAGATCTCCAAGGTTCCCTTCAACTCTGTTATTCTGTACAGTATTCTGAAAACTGGTTCAGCAAAACCAAAACAGTCTTTTTGCATTTTGAAACCTAACTAACTCGATTTTATTACCACCTATGTACAAGCCACTTCCGGACAGCTGTTTCCTTCTCAGGAGGCAGCCCCGCTGCACACTCCCTCGGATGTTAAGTTACTTCCAAGTGAACACGCAAAAAAGATGTTTCGGCTGCCTCCTCCGCCTGCGCGTGAGACGCTCGAACTGTGTCGTCATAATCGGACAAACGCGGAGACGGTTGCGCCCCCGACTCTTCCCCGGGTCGCAGCTGCCGCTTCTCGCAGAGGACGATCCCCACCCACGTGCAGCGCCCCCTCACCTCTCAGGCTGCCCGGGGCTGGGCCGGCGGGGCGGTAGCAAGAAGGCTGGCGGCAGCCGAAGAGGAAGAGAGTCCTGTGGAAGGCCTCGGGCCGCTCTTGCACCGGCGCGTAGAGCTGCAAGAGGAACGCGCACGGCTGCCCGCACACGCCGCACCGCAGCTCAGAGGGCCCCGGCAAGCCGGCCTCGCCTAGCCAAGCCGGCCTGCCCCCGACCTTGCAAGGGAACTGGTCACTGCGCAGCCGCCAAGGTGCCGCTTCTTCCACAAAGCCCAGCTCGACCGGTTGCGAGCACATTTTCCTTTTCAGCAATCGGTAACAGCCGCCTCTAAAAGCGGCGGAAGATGTCAGTAGCCGGGCAAGGCTGCGGCGAGAGGAGCGAGCGCCTCCAGCGGAGCGGCGGATTCTCTGACCAGTCCGGGTCCCCGCTGCACTTCGCAGTCTGTTCTGGGTTCAGGATAGAGGAGGTGTGGGCAACTATGACCATTTTACGATCTGTGGACTTTTAAGTCCCAGAATTCCTGAGTCAGCACGGCTTGGCTCAGGAATTCTGGGACTTTATAAGTCCACAGATCGTAAAGTTGCCCTGGTATAAAGGAAGGCTCCGCTCTGTACTGAGAGCAGTTTCCAAATCAAGTCTGAAGGACGACGGCATGTCCTATAGAAGGGGTAATCAACCTTGGCTCTTTTATGACTCGTGGACTTCAATTCCCAGAATTCCTGAGCCAGCTAAGCTGGCTCAGGAATTCTGGGAGTTGAAGTCCACGAGTCATAAAAGAGCCAAGGTTGACTACCCCTGTCCTATAGATCGGACGTGAATTGCGCAATCAGTTCGATACAGGGACTTTTGCTTTCTGATTCTATCTTCCAACTTGGATAGTTTTTGGAGGGGGAAGGAAGACAGTCTCATCTCTGCGAAAGCACATGGTCTTCCGTTCATGCAGAGTGGATTCTGCGATCACTGAGTCTTGATTCAGAGTTTTTGGGATCATGATGTTGCCTAGTCGGGTAATGAAAGGTCTGCAAGAAAACAACCAAAGAGAGAGAGAGCACTCAGGATCCCGCAGTTGTTAAGACCATCCTAACACCAACTGTGCGATTTAATCAGTGTGAATTCTTTTGCAGTTCTATTTACATCCCATTTTTTTTAAAGCATAAAATTTTACAGTCAGAGGTAGCCCCGCCCAAAAAACAGGAAGCAACACTTTTTAGCATAGTAAAAGGCGTACAGTAGGTTTTCATGAGCTACAGTTCACTTCATCAGACACCTTGCTTAAGTTATAAAAACTATTATCAGAGTCCTTCTAAAAAATATAGTTTTCAAATTCCTGAGTGTAGATGTTGCCCTTATATCTGTAGGTATGGGAAATAAAGGTAGTACAGTAGCAAAGGTGGCCGTTTGTTTGTCTTTTGAATAGAAGTAAAATAACGTTTATTTACCGTTCGAATAAAATGGGGCTAAAATAATGTTCCAAGATGAGCAACAGCTCAGAGGCAGGAGCCTGACAGGCCTTTTACATTTGTCTCGTTACCAGTTGGGATAGCTAAGTATTGATGCTGCAGACTGCCCTGCTCAGTCTTCAGCATTTCAAGCCCCATTCTAGGAAAGCTTCGCTGTAATTCTGTGTCAATTTTAAATTGTTTATGAGGACTGGAGTGAGAAACTGGGGAACTGAAACAGCATGGAACTTTTTGGGCTTGTAGTATTTTTTTCACAAAGGGCCTGGAATGTGCTACTTCCCCCCCCTCTCCCTATATTTAGAATTCTGTTTACTCAGGCTTATAGTGTGGGGTCCTTGGTGATTTCTGAACATGGTTGTTTTCTTGCAGACATTTCATTACCCAACCAGGTAACATCATCAGTACTAGAAGAGAATGAGGTTTGTTCTCTATATACGTGTGTAGCCTGCCCTGTTCAGTGTTGGTGGGATTGTTTTTGGTGGTTCCTTGATTAAGCTGTTGTTTACAGTTTGATTCTTTGTGTTGGTAGTTTCTTTCTTGGGATGTTGTTTACTGCTTGATTGTTGGTCTAGTATTGATCTTGGTGTTCATCTCTGCTAATCTGGGTGTTGTTTGCTGCCAAGGAGATGTTGTGGTCTTTTAACTTTTTGATTGCTTTAAATGGTATGCAGGTGTTTATCTGTGTGTGCCTGTTGATAAGTGGCAGGCATCCAGGAATTCTCTAGTGTTTTTGGACCTAATTTAGTCTAGGATGCTCATGGTTTCCCAGTTGAAACTACGGTGAAGTCTACCAATTTCTTGTGCAATTAAGGAGTTTTCATCATGTCTTCTGCCAGTTGGTATTCATGGATGTGCTCAGCTGATCTATCTTACATAATTGTTGTAATAGCCCTTATATTGTATGTTGTAGATGACTCCTGTTTTTATTTTTGAAGCTCCTGAGTCTTTTGGTTTACTTAAGACATTTTAGGGGACTTTAGCTGGTTTGTGTACTATGGTTGTAATACTCTGTTGGTTGTTTCTGAGATGTTTTTGATGTATGGCAGTGATATCCTTTTCATGGCTTCTGTTGGTTGTGCTGTAGTGGGCTAAGGGGTCAGGCATGTTTTGGTAAGTTGCGTGGGTATTTATTTTGTTGGAAGGTGTTATATAGATGAGCTGTTTTCTTTTTCTGACGTCCAGGGTTGCTGCAGTGTGTTTATGCTTGTCTGAATAATGTCCTTACACAGCTTCTCTTGTGGGAGGTTGGATTGTTATTTTCTAGTGGCACACTTGCTTAGTGTGGGTGGTTTTATGATAGACTTATGTTTCTAATTTGCAGTTACTGATGGCAATATCCAGAAGGGTAGTCCATTGTATTCTTCTTTCTTTTGTAAATTTTAGTCCTGTGAAGATGTTGCTGATAGCTTCATGTGTCTTCTCTAATTGTCCCTTTTTTTATGACAAAGGGGTCATCTAGTTCTGCCATGGATTCTTTCACTAATTCTGGGTCTATGGATATAAAGAGTGTGGTGACATTGAATAAAAGCATGATCTCATCTTCTTCAAATATCAGGTTTTTGATTTTTTTGGAGACACCGCAATGGGGAGTTGATAGAACATTTGCTCCCCTCTGTGAAATATCCTTTATCATAGCCACTCTCAATATAAGTATTTTAGGTTACCCATGGAGCTGATTTCCTGATCTGCATTACACAGTGATATTAAACATACTGTATGTTTAATACATGACCTGTCCAAATTATGTTGTGTAACATTGGAAAACATCAAATATATGAAGAGGCTGGTTCTGTCAAAAGCACCCAAGATTATGACATTAAGCATCTAAGCACATACACAGAGAGATGCACTGTAGCAGCAAGCAACGCACACTCACATTACAACATAGTCTATGGTACAACTCTGCCTCCACCTCTGCATAAAAGGATTTAAGAGTTACAGGAGGCATGATGGTTCTAAGCAGAAATTGAACAGGAGAGGACAGCTGATAAGTGATCTGACCTACCATTGTGATGTGTTCCACTTTTGAAATCTAACAGCAAGGAAAGAAAAAAAAAAATGCCATGCACATTTAAGACTATGTGCAACAACCGAGAACAGCAAGTAGCACACATTCCTCCTGTGTTAGTTTTTAATATTCCAAGAGATGCAAATACCACCTTTTTAAAATCAGTTACATCATTAACATTTTGTCGGAATTAATTTCCATGAAACAGATTAATCTCTTCATAAATACAATGGCAATAATATTTTTCTTTAAATATTGCTTTCAACTTTATATAACCTTGGCTTACTTTTTTTTCACAGCCACAAAAGTACATATAAAAACAATCATTTTGTTATCATGACAAACATTTCAGATATCACCTTACTAATCAAATATTAGTATCTGGCTGAAAGAGGGAGTCAGATGATATTTGCTGAAGGGAATTTGAATGTACAAAGACTCCTAAGCATTAACGCTGATAAAGTTCCTTAAGTGGTGGTGTAAACAGTTTGACTTCTGGAATTCTTCCCCACCACTGTGTAGTAGCAAAAACATGTCAAGGTGGAAAGGGTATTTTGTAGTCTTCAATAACATTTTCCCCACTTGCGCCTCATTTCCAACCGGGCTCCACCATTAATAGTGGATGTAAGACAAGCCATTCTAGCCTTCTCCAGTTAAAGCCTTGCAGCCACTGCGTTCCTTACAGGTATCCTAGATTCTAAAAAAGAAGGAATATAGTCTGCCAACAATTCTGAGCACAGAGAAAGAAAGATCGCAAGAAACATTCCAAAGCTTTTATAGAAATAGTGCACATTGTTAAGTATGCATCTGAGAGAGACAGAAATATTTAATAAACTGAAATAAATTTGTCAGAAGTGGTGACATTTTAGGTATCCAGTCTGATAAATTATGGGGAATCACAAATAATCATGAACAAATACACTTTTGTCTAGGACAGTGGTTCTCAACCTGTGGGTCGGGACCCCATTTGGAGTCGAACGACCATTTCACGGGGGTCGCCAAACAACGCAGTCTGCCATTTTTTTCCCCCTTTTCCTTAGCTGTGCTACTCCCTTTTATTCTATTGGCTTTTGAAAGCCAATAGAATAGACTCTCTTGAATAGAGCCTAATTCTATTGGCTTTCAAAAGCCAATAGGAATTGTCCAGGCTGTCTCTGCCCTGCTGAGCCCGCCAAAAGTCCCATTCTGCAAACAGTGCTGCACCAGTTGAGTAGTCCTTGACTTACGACCGGTTGGGGGTCGTGGCATTAAAAAGGTTGAGAACCACTGGTCTAGGAGAATGTATTTTCTTTACTCTTGTCTTTAACTGTTTCTGTTAATAATGGTTGATTTAATAACATCCACTGAAACCACAAAAAAGCTCCATTTCATTACAACTACTGAAAACAGATTATTTTAATACTGTACTTTGAGAACTGTAAAAATACAAAAATATAATACATTCTGCTTCCTGCTTTGAAAAACATAAGAGGCATACATAAGTTCCTTTACTCTATAGGATCAAATATTAATCCACTGTGAACAGTGTACAATAAGAAGCTAACTTTTACTGAACCAGAAAGTATTAGTTCATTTAAATTAGTATTCTGCCTGCACTGATAGGAAGTAGATTTCCAAGACTTTATTTGGACTTTTCCCAGCTAAGACAAAAGCTTACAATTAAAAAAAAAACAAACATTCATAGCATGTAAATCCTCTATAGCTGGACAGAGACCTAAAAGTTCCTCCAGAATTTCTAGAATTCTTGATCACTGCTAAGATCATTAGCATTTTTTAATTGTTATCCGTTACTACCATTATCAAGTCTATGAACTGTTTACCTGTTTTATCATGGAAGTCAAGTACTAATATAAAAATGGAATTATCTACCCAAATTTTGAATTGTAATAAGTAGCCAATGTAGACAGAGAGGATGTTTAGCTCACACAATTGTCTCTCTCAAGGAGAAGTCTAACTTCGACTGATCTTAAATTTCCATAATGGACAGTCCCAGTTCCTTAGTAGCTTGTCTGTTAGAATCAAAGTAATCAAGCAGCCAAAGGTGAACATACAGTATATCTAAAGATATTTCACAGAGTACTACTAGATCTGGGCTAAAGAAGCTTTGTCAATATAGATAACACATCTCTTAACAATAGTCAAAGTGCCTCGTGCCACATTCATTCTATCTGTAGCATGCCAGGCTACCACAGGAACCCACTAGAGAAAGATTATTCCCTGCTTTCTGCCACCAGTTTGACAAATGGGAGTAGTAGGTTTATTACATTTTTTTAAAAAAAAAAACAACCCAGCACAAATTGAGCAAATAAGCCATTTAATGAAATATGCAGGTAATATCCATTCCCCTGCCCCAAATTCTCTGTAATTCAGTATCTCCTACTGCATTCCTTTTCAAATTGTACTATAATTTCTAACTTGCAGTATTGTTTTTATCAACAGCAAAACAAAAGTTTAAAAATCTAGACATAAAATTATCTTATGTCAAGGTTCCCATCCCCAGATTCTTATATATTAGATATGCAGATTAATTTATCAGGTCTTAAAATATGACCATCCCAAACTACAGGAATGCGTGCAAAATACATCCTGTCAATTAGATGATGGTAAATTCCACCCATCATCTAATTGACAGGAAAGGAAAAAACAGGAAGAACAAACTAATGTTAGAATGTGAATAGTATAGTAGGTCTGTGCCTACATACAGATAAGAATGTTGGACACTGGCAATTGCCACCCTAATTTATGTGAGTGACATGATAACAATTCAGTTAAAACTGGTTTTATTTGCATGGAATAAAATGAACCATCTATATAAACAGAGTGATGCAATGAAAGGCTCTTCATTTAATTGGGGAGAGGGAAGATTTTATCATTTATTCAGATGCACACTTACCAAACATTCCTGCAGTCTTAGTCAGAGACTCTTTGTTTACTCTGTAAGTGAATCCATCCATCCTGGGGGTGGAGGTGAGAAGGGGAAGAGAAAGATTTTGAATGAGATTCTGTAATATCCAGTGGTTATTGGGGGGGGGGGAAGACTATGAAATGAATTCTCTATTCTGAGCATGTAAATATTAAAATTATTAATCTTCTTGCTATCAGTGCAAACATTTTCAAACATTAAATGCTGAAGTACAGCATTTAGCACATTGATCAAGCTGGCAACGCTTTTTACTGTTTAAAACGTAGAGCTTTAGTGTCTTTTAAAAAGAAAAAATAATAACAACCATAACTGTTCATTGTAATCTGGGGGATAGTTAATCTATTATCTAAAGTACAAACAGCATAAAACATTTAACCTCTCAACCGTTTTATGAAGTCATCAGAATCCCTGCCATACTTGTTGGTTCAGGTCAAGTATTTATGTTGTCATTAGTTTAACTGTGCAAAATAATTAGATCAATGTATTTTATTTATCTGTTAATTTTATTTATTAAATGTTTATGCTCCCATTTTCCCTATAAAGTGGTTCTGGGCAGCTTACAAATTGTAAACATCATACACTGGCAACTTTGAAGACCAACAGATTTTATTATAAGACTTACATTAATGCCATATAATAACATTTGTTAGTCTTAAAAAATGAAGTATGAGGTTTTTGTGTCACTATAGATCAGGGTTCTTCAAACTTGGCCCTTTTATGATTTGTGGACTTCAACTCCCAGAATTCCTCAGCCAGCCACGCTGGCTGAGGAATTCTGGGAGTTGAAGTCCACAAGTCATAAAAGGGCCAAGTTTGAAGACCCCTGCCGTAGATTAATATAACTTTCCTACAATGTGGTGCTATTTACACTTGTTCCAGACATGTATTTGGCTAGAATACTTTGTAAATACAGCTTAGCCTGCGAAAGGCACTTGTTTCTCCACAGGCAACATTTGCTACCTGATTTAAAGCTTTGGAATACTCCATCTGTTGTGCGGGTCATTTTGATATTGCCTGTCAAGGCTCATCTACGATATGGCCCCAAAATCTGTGAAGGATAAACACATCAACTCTCCGAATTTTGTCCTTCATGACATCATTATATATCTGTCAAATAATGGACATTTGTTCTCATACCGTGAGTCATGCAATACGTATTTAAGCATTTGTTCTGGCCTTCAAATTAGAACCACTGAAGAGAGTTGTCACATTTACTGACATGGAATTGCCAGATTCTCTACATCAGGTATTCCAGATTGTGGTAGCATCAGTTGTGGTAGAGTTCGCAAGAACCTTCCAGCAGTTCTCTTAAATATTTCCATTTCAGTCCAATCTATTAGATATGCAGCCATATTTACTTATATGCAGTGCCTACTCCTCCTACATACCCAAGTCATAAGAATGGATGTTGCCATGGATTTGCATTTAGTGTCAAAAAATGATTGTGTCTTTTTTTCTATGAAACAAACCATGCTATAGGACAATTTGTCAGGAGAAGAAGTGAGCCCCTCCTTACCATAGTTTAAGATGGGGCTAAAAACCTTATTTACACAGTCTTTTAATGTTTTATTGTAATTTTTATATTTTTTGTTAAAATTTGAATCATCATTTTCATGAATACTTGACTGTGCAGTACACACTAAGAATCACAAAGAGAACAAATGAATATAAATCTTTACAAAAAAATATATACAAATTTGCTACCTAAGCTCCTATATGATCGGTATATTGTACTGTAAACTATAATGTCTCCAAAACTGGGTGGAAAATGAGAACAGGGCAAGGAAAGCTCCCTTCATGGGCAAAAAATGCTCATGATTTTACCTACATAGTAGAGTTCTTTTATGTTTGTATTTAGCACTGGATGCTCTGTAGAATGGTAATAACATCACAGTCCTTCTTCTGAATATTTTCTACTGTTAGGAGATTGATAGTAATTCAGCTTCTTCATTGAGTTCCAGATATTCACAACTTGCCTCCAGAATTGTGAATGCTCCAACACTGGAAGTTTATAAGAAGAGATCGGACAACCATTTGTCTGAAATGGTATAGGGCAGGGGTAGGCAACCTTGGCTTCGTGGCCAGCCATGCTGACTCAGGAATTCTGGGAGTTGAAGTCCACGAGTCATAAAAGAGCCAAGATTGCCTACCCCTGGTATAGGGTTTCCTGTTTCAGCAGCGGGTTGGACTAGAAGACCTCCAAGGTCCCTTCCAACTCTGTTATTCTATTATATATACTCACGTTTTCATTCTGGCCACCATGCCTAGTCGCACAAAAGCAGCCAAAGCATTTTTCTGCATATCCGAAGACAGGATCTCATAACACTGCGTGCTCCCTAAACAGGAGGAATGGGAGCAATGAAAAATGCAATCCTTCTATTTCAGAGCTAACATCAGTATAACATTGTAATGTCCAAATCCCACACCTGTCTCCAGAAGCTGGGAAGCAAGGCGTCGGACTCCAAATACAAAATGCTTCTCAGTAAAGGCTTCATTTGTTTCATTAAAAAGGTATTTGCAGATTATCTAAGAAAAACATTTAAACTGATGTTACAAAATAGTCACAGTTCTTTTTACGGTAAGGTAGGCATACAACAAAACTGAAAACATTTCAGCTGAAAGATACTTCTCAATATTTGAAAGAATTGAAGCTGATGATTAAGAGCTATTTTTTTTTAAAAAAAAAAAATTCAGTATTCCCAGTAAAAATATATTTTTTTCTTTCTTTTTTGAATGGAAATTTTCCCGTACTATGTACCTCAATCTGTTTCTGGAAATTTTACATTACAAAGCACTTTGTAAACAAGAACTGGAACTGTCTGTTTCATGAGTGATATAAAGATAAGTAAAAAGTCAGAAAGAACGATAGGAAGAGGCTTGGTAAGAAAATTTCAGCCCTTCCATTCAATATTCATTTCACTGGATCATGAATGCACTATAATCCTATAACATAATAATACTCAATTATATCTAAAATAACAGCTTAGTGAGGTGATGCAACCTTATGTAAAAGGCTGGGTGTGTTTCCTTTTCCTCCGAACATATCTGTGCTAATCCATTAGAGCACATTGGTAATACTAAAGTTGCCTTGCTTAAATTAGAAAGATGATGATGGAAGGAAGAGGTTATAATTCAATGAATCAACTTAAAATTTAACCTTTAAAGCCCTAAACAGCTTCAAATATAGCCAGGATAGGCCAATGGTAGCTCCCTGGTAGTATTGGGAGTTAAGCTCCAAACCTAGGCAGCACAGCATGAAATTGTGGAAATTAAAGAGCCAACCATCTGAAAAGTAACAAAACTACCTGCTCTCATTTGAATATATTGTAAATCAAGGTTGTTAATTGGGGGCCCTTCTTCAGATGCCTTGGCCATCATAAATTAGGTAGAAGGAAAGGAAACCGAAGGCTTTTTTCATGGCATTGCCCTCAACTCTTCCCCAGGAAAATTCTTTCCTAACATGATGAACTGTAATTGCTGGGCAAAGACCTCTTTACTTGACAGACATCTAACCCAATACTAGATAATATTTGCACTCAGTAATTTTTGTTCATTTCTTGCTTATCCATAAAACACTGCAATTTTGTTTTATGATGGACTTTGAGAATCTTCTTCATTTTTATGCTCAGAAAGCGTATGTGTATTACAGACACAAAAATTATTGGAATTAGGAGACAATATATTTACAATAAGCAGCACTGGCATATAATAGTTATTATCATTCCCAACAAAAGGATGGCCACTAATGAAAAGAATATTGAAAAACTCATACCTGATAACCTTCTACAAATGGCTTAAACATCACACTCAAGAAAGTAATTACTGTACTTCCTTTCTCTGTGACAAAAATCTGCTGTGGTGTGTCTTGAATGGCTCCACATTTTGTAAGCAAGAAACAACCTTCTTCAAAATCCTAGAGATTAAATAAATCTCTGTTATTTTTTTAATGGCTGTAAACCAAATGTAACATCCACAATTCGTTCTAAAGTCAACCAATATGCGCAAAAGAGTAAAAAACAAATCTACAGATCATGTTAACATCTCAATATTCTTTTATTAAAGTCCAGTAATATGACAGCGAGATGGATGATGAGATAGATAGATAGATAGATAGATAGTTAGATAATTACTTTAATACAAAGACAAAACCTTCCAATCAAAATGAATATGAACTACTTTCCAAAGTGGGCTGACAACAAAAAGAGAAATAGTTTGCAGACAGATATGACCATGACATTTCTGGCCTCAGTGGCGCCTTCACCATTCATGCCCTTGAGAGGGGAAGAAGAAAGAGAGAGAGAGAACGCCTATGTGCCTGCTAACCAAAAATAGAAGACTTTCTGTAACTTATGAGCAAGGTCTGGCTCAGAAAACTTGCTGGTAAATAATCAGTTGCAAGTTCAGATATCAAACTACATCTTCCAACAGACTTCACCACTGGCTAACTTGAGCTGCTGAGAGTTATAATGCAACACAAGTTCTCAACTCCTATTTAAATGATAAATAATGTACATCTCTCAGAATCCTCCAAGTATTTATTTTTTAGCTACAATGGTAGCTGCAACTGTTTTACATCCAATTATTTATACTGTAACCTTCAATCAGACTATTGCGCTACAACATTCTTCTTTCCCAGATAACACTGATTGAAGAATTATAAGCTAGAATGCACCTGACCTAATTGGAACGACCTGCTTTATGGGGCAGAAATCAGCTCCAGAAGAAGGGGAACTCATATGCCCTACCCTTTCCAATACAACTTCAAGATAGTTACTGAGAGCTTTTCCTGCGGCTTTGATTGGCTGCAGATTATCAGCTCAGCAAAATATTATCTGAAATAACTCCTTTTAATCCAAAATATAACCAATGAAAGTACTTTCCTATAAATACCTAGCTGCAATTAAGAATATTCACAATTTGTGTTTGGATGTAGTAGAGGATTAACTTTTCATTTCCTCCATAATTTCATTGATACTCTTTCTGTGTCCGTTGCAGTCATTATGTAAATAGTCTGGATTTAATCAGATTATTCGTCAATCTTTTTACATATAATTTCTGTAGCCCCCTCAAGGCAGAAAGGGTGTAGTAGGTAGCCTTTTTTTAATTTGTTTTGGGGATGGGAGGGAGCTAAAGGAACAAAGTATGTATACTAAATCTTCTGGAAGCTTAATCATCCTATTTTATATGTTTATTTTTCTAAAAATTGTGGAAAAAATCATAGCTAAAAATCAGCAGCGTGATCAAGGAATGCTTTGGAATCATGCTTGTTATCAGATCACTTGTTCTCCTCCCCCCTACACCCCCCGAATTCCTAGAATTCTAGGTCTTGCATTGGGAGTTTTGCTCCCAACTGCTCTGTCAAAAAAGCACAGCTTTTCCAGTGCAGAAGAGAAAGAGTTTGTCAAGAGTTTTCCGTATCAAAATTAGAAAAAAAAGGGGGGGCACAGAACTTGAAATGAACTTGAACGTTTTAGAACTGAGCACTCTGTACTGCTTTGAGGATTCTTGAACTATTATATTGAGGCAAGAAGAAGTGCCTTTTCAACCTGAAGAGGCAGAGTAACTGAATTCACCACAATGCCTGTAGCAAACAGTTGTGACTTGGCTTACACAAAAGCAAAGTGAAAGACTTTTATGGCCCAGTAACCACACTTGGGAGAAAACGTGGGCTGAAGCAACTTCTCCTTTAAGAAAGCAATTAAATTCAATTAAGTGGCTGTGTACATACTTTTGCGCCAACCTATTCATTATGGATTTCCTCTGGGTCAAAATGGGTATGAATTAAATGCGGCAAAGCCTCAAATCCAAGCAGTGGGAAGAAGAGGCAACACCCATAGGATAAGAGCAACTGTAGTAGAAATGAATAGGGGCAGTGGAAGCTCCCCAGAATTGGGACAAAAATGAAGAAAAAGAGCACAGACTGTTACATAAGAAACGAGAAAATTACAAAACTAAAAGGCTATATAGAGATGGTTGAGGGCATGTAAGAAGGAGCTCATGGGGGACCAGAACGTTACTCCACCCATTTAAAATGATCCCGCAAACTGATGACCTCTTGGTTCTTTTTTGTCTCCATTCTCCAATCTTTTAAATATTTTCCTATTTAAAACTATTATTATAAGTGGAGCAATTAGGTTACCTTAAAAACACTCACTCATAATTGGGGTATCAGTGTAAGCAAAAATAATTTGGGGATGACTGAACAGAGGTTTATTTAATCCAAAGACAGTTTGAAAAACTTTTGAGTATTGTTTACCAATGGATAATGATTTTTTTTCAGGTGATTCAAATAAAGGAGAAGATATTTGGATGGTGGTTGCGATGTGCAAAAGGTTACCTTCTGACTGTTTTGAGTCTGAAATTTCATGAAACGTCCCATCTGTAGAACTGCTGGTTCAACTAAGAAATGAGAAACTCTTAGTGCTCTGGAAATGCTTTGAGCTTGAAATCCAGTTTTTTAAAGCTTGGATCAGCTTTCTTTCAAACTCAAAATACTCAAAATAGGGGGATTTTTTTGTTGTTTATATTTTGTTTTCATAGAAAAGAATATCAAGAAGTTAAAAAGAACCCAAATCCCCAATGTAGAAAACTGCCTGTAGTCTTTTGTTTTTATTTTTTGTTTTATTTTTTGTTTTCATAGAAAAAAATATCAAAAAGAAAAGTTAAAAAAAACCCAAACCCTCAATGTAGAAAACTGCCCCTAGTCTTAAACTCAATTAAGTCACGACAAATTCCCTCAGATATTAAGAGCTCAAAACTTAACAGTTTACCTTCAGGGATATTCCAGGAAAGAAGATAAATTCTTCAGAAAAAACATCACGCCAGAATGAAAAATGGTTATAGACTTCCTCTGGAAAACAATTTTATTTATGAGTAAGACCTTTCTTCAAAGAATTATTCTATTAAAAGACAACATGTGAAAGATGCCTTTTAATGTACACACACACACACACACACACACACACACACACACACTGAAACCATTGTTAGATAAATGAGAAAATGTAAACATTATGGACATAATTTGGAAATACATTCTGAGGCTTCTCTTGCATGAACTGCTAAAATGATTCATAATTGCAGAGAAACAAGATGATTGTTCCAATGGCAAACAATGAAAATAGCATTTCTAGCTATCTACTATCTCCAGCCAACAGTTGTTGCAGAATTATGCTTTGATGAGTAAAATCTGGAATCATGGCTACAGATGCACAGGAATTATTCCAACTGAATCCACAAGGCTTAGAAGTACTTCAGTCCACAGCCCCAATTAGTCAGGCCATGGGAAAGTACATGTGGAAAGCATATCGATACTACTTTCGTGAAATTCAAACTTACCCAAGCTTCACATCTTACTTATGCTAAACTAATGTGCGTGCATAACGGATGCTAAGGCTTGCTGAACTGGTTTACTGGACACAATTGATTTAATACCACTTATTCACTTGCAGAATAAACAGAACAAAAAGACGACAGAAAAAAGAAAGATGATTGATTGGTTGTATCTCACTGTACTGATCTCTACTATTGGAATTAATACAACTGATAACATTTATTTCCCCTTCTTCCTACAAATCTCCCATCTGCTACAGAGGATTCAAGAGTCCCACCAAAGAAGATCTAAGGTGAAAAACAAAGTTTGCTCAGAAAAAAAAACGTTGCCCTGCATGAGCTCAAATCCATTTTCAAAGTGTTGGTTAGCTCATATGCCTAAAACCTAGCCCAACAAAGATTTCTGTGTTAAAAAGCTTCTTTATAGCTATTCACAAAACATACTTACCTGAGTGTACCTGTATTCTCACCATGCTTTGAGCTCTTGGGCCCAAGGAGAGCACTAAAATTCAACATTTGTCTACTTAGTGACTTAGGTAACTGAACAATGGGGTTTATCTATGATTTAGATTTTAGCTTTGTAATTACAATAGAGAAGTGAAATTACCTTTTCTGGAACTGTGTGTGTTTTGCAGTGCAATTGCTACAAGAGCTGGTCGCACAAAGACATTAAGCAACTGATTCCTATAGGAGCCACACAGGAGGCTGGAGAAGGCTCGCCTAAACACTGGGTCCTCTGTAGCAACAAATCCCATTTCTTTGTCATTGAGGATCACTTGCCCATTGGTCAAGCTTGCAATGTTGGAATGCAGCGTCAAGGCAGATTTTACAGCTTCGCTGGCACAAAGATTATCTAACAATAACAACAACAATGAACAAATGCAAAGGAGTATCAGTACCTACAAAGGTATGCTTTTTGTCTCTGTTTTAATATGAAAATAAATTGGAGGGGGGAGGTTTCTCACAATTAACGTATTTTCACATTTGGAATGGACTGAGACTTTCTGAGCTTTGGGGGGACGTTCTCAGAGAAAGAAAAATCGTTTTGAAAAAAATGTTCAAAAGACGCAGCTTGAAGGAGCTAATCTGTTGTTATTTGCCTTAAAAAAAAAATTACTAAACTTACCAAAGAATGAAGAAATAAAGGAGAAACAGCATCCAAGGCTTCTAGTTTTTTTTTTTTCCTAAAGTTTCCAAACTTTAAAAATGAGGACTTATCCAAAATATATTCTTTGCTGTTGCTGGCACGCTGGCACATCGCTGGCACATTTACAACTCAACTGGTCAATGTGTAAGGAGATTTTTAAAAATCTTTTTTTTAAAAAAAAAAAAAAAATCCCAGACTTTATATTAGTTAATACTAGAACTACTTGGAAGCAGCTAAATCGCCTCTTGTGAAATCTACGAAAGTGCAAGGAGGAAAATCAAAGGCAAATGTAACACAAAACCTCTAACAAATAGAGGCAAAACTGGGAAGGAGAACCACACTTTTGTACATGGGAGAAAGATGTCTGAACTGGGAACTTGCTCATAAAATACTGATGATTTCCCCTTACTACCCCAAACAACCAGCAAGTACAACAGTATTCTATTTCCTGCCCTCAGCAGCTAGCAAAAATATCTATAATACTGTATGGCAAACTAGCAAAAACGAACAAAAAAAAACCCCTAAAAGGACTGCAGCTAAGCATCAGGAAAAAGGAGAACTGAGGAAGATTTGTCCTCCTCCCCAAGTAATATTGATTCTGACTTTCAGAACCTTACCGTAATAACAAATAAAATGGGCTTATGGAGGGGAAGGATTTTGCTTAATTTTGCCAGAACACTTTTAAAAAATGATTTATGTGTCTTCTACTCTTAAATGATAATATTTTTAGACATAATTGAAAGTCAAATCAGCTCCTGAACAAGGGTTGGATAAATTCATCAAATCTTATCTCTACTGGGATTTTCACTAGGACAATTAAACTCACAGGGTTGTGGGGAAAATAAGACGAGGGTACACTGCTTTGAATTGTACCATATAAAGGTAGGATTTAAATCTAACATTTTTTTTAAAAAAATGCAAAAAGTTCCTTATTCTCCACGATAATCAGACAATCAGAATAGTCTTAGAGCCCTAAAATAGGGGTTCTCAATCTTGGCAACTTTAAGACTTGTGGACTTCAATTCCCAGAATTCCTCAGCCAGCAAAGCTGGCTGAGGAATTCTGGGAGTTGAAGCCACAAGTCTTAAAGTTGCCAAGGTTGAGAACCCCTGCCCTAAAAGAATATTTTTCAGCAGTAATTCTAGGCTTTGACTATCCTAAAATAGAAACAAAGAATAATATAAATTCTACTGCTTTCAGAAAAAGAAAGTATATGCAAGTGTGCTTGCATACCAGGCCAGTCTAGGAATCCGCCAAATAGCTGAGTTAAATTTTTCAACCAAAGTGTCTTTTCGACCAGAAGTTCAAAATCTATGGCTGGAAAATTCTGAAGCAGGATAGCAGAAATCAACATCCATGGATTCAGTACCATATTTTCTATTTGTAAGAGCTCTATTTTGTAGGCTACATCCATGACAAATTTCTGTATTTCTTCAGATGGCTTTTGGGGAATATGCCTAGAAGAAAATGTACAATGAGCAAAGCATTTATAATGGCTCTCTTGCAATCCTTTTCAGCTTTAACTGAAGAATAGAAAAGTCCTTTATTTTTTTGCAAAGAATCTTTCATCCCTTCCAATAAAGCCTTTTCCAAGTTTCTATTACACATACACACACACACACACACACACTTTTCTTACATTCCAGTTATGCAGTGATTTCAGTAACAAAACAAAGCTACCAGATCTGGTTGCAGGCATCTGAACAATCACAATGAAGAGACAAGAGTTTCTTTACATTGCCATTCAATGGTTATTGTTGCAGATACTATAAGAGCTCTATGAAAGACAGATACCAAAGCTTTTTTTCCTTGCAAACTATTAAAAATACTCAACCATGAAATGTATACCTTGGAACTAAGTTAAATGGATATTTAGTTATTCTCCCAGCTTCCAATGTTCTAAGTGATACAGGCTGCCCAAAATGCACGTGTATGCTTCCAAAATCTTCATTCAGAATTTTTCTGGCTTTGAAGAGTCCCTAAAGAATAAACATGAAGTAAAAAATAAATGTAACATAAATACCTACAATTCTGAAGAGTGATCGATTTTACATATTTCACAAGTGTGACTCTGGACAACATACAATAAAAACAAAACAAAAATGTATCTTAAAATAGCCAAAAAAAAGCAGGAAATAGAAAAGAACCACGGAAGAGCGTTTAAAATCCATACATAATAAAGCCGCTTTGCAGGCCCCTGTCCCTAAGGGATCCCTAGGCCTGCTGAAAAAAAAGCACGTTGTAAAAGATGTGTAAAATCTGTAATATAATTATGTATATAATATAATACACACAGATCTAATACATTTATCTTCTCATTTCTGCAGTACAGGTAGTCCTCGACTTACAACCATTCCCATTTACTGACCATTCGAGGTTACAAAGGCACTGGAAGAAAAAGTGAGTTATGACTGTTTTTCACATTCACAACCGTTGCAAGATCCCTATGGTCACATGATCAAAAATTGGGAGCTTGGCAATTGGCATGCATTTAGGAAAGTTACACTGTCCCAGGGTCATATGATCCCTACTGACCTTCCCAGCCAGCTTCCAACAAGTAAAGTCAATAAGGGAAGCCAGATTGGCTTAATGACCACATGGTTCATTTAACTGTGGTGATTTGCTTAACAACTGTGGTAAAAAAAAAAAAAGGTCGTAACATGAGCCACAACTCACTTAACAACTTAGCAACAAATTTTGGGCTCAATTGTGGTCGTAAGTGAAGGACAATCTGCGCTACTTCTGAAGTTTGTATAGCTTTATGATTCTTACCTCTTTCATCCTGACAAAACATCTATAAAGTATAATGCTATTGTTTTTATTATTTTACAGAAGTAAAGCTAAAGCGACCCATGAAGAGTGATACCTTAAAGAGAGTAACCAATTACAATTTAGCATAGCAGGAATTAAAAGAGAAAGCAATGCATTCACTTTTTTCCCCTCTTTCTTTTCTTCTCAAGCATAACTATAAGGAGTGGGAAGCTTCCGCCTCCATTTTAGATTAACCAGTTTTGTGTACTGTTCTGTCTCCTAATTATGCCTAGTTGAAATAAGCGAATATTATGAACTATGGTTTAAAATTGGCTGCAATTTAATCTAAATTTTCAATTTGCCTTCCCTTGTCAAAGAAAAGGGAAAGTGTGGTGATACTTAAACTCACTCCAGCTTATTTTATTTTCATAATACTGATTTACACTTTAGTATTATAATCACCCTAGACCAGGGGTAGGCAACCTCGGCTCTTTTATGATTCATGGACTTCAACTCCCAGAATTCCTGAGTCATCTATGCTGACTCAGGAATTCTGGGGGTTGAGATCCATGAGTCATAAAAGAGCCGAGGTTGCCTACCCCTGCCTTAGACAACATGACAAGACAATATCCAACATTTCCCCTACAAGTATATTAATTTGAATCCTTACCGATGTAGACTCTTTTGGTTTAGGGACTCCCAAAAGTTCATATGTATAAAGCAATTCTTCCAACACCCTCTCATAACTTATACTGATGGGGACAAGATATATATCAAAAATCTCCTTTTTAAGAAAAGGATCCATCACAATATTGAGAAGACCTGCAAGTACAAAGAAGACTTTTTAAAAAATAAAAAATAAAAAGCACAAAAAGCCTTTTTAAAAGAAAACTAAATTAATACCAAATCTTCAGGTAGGAATTCAACTCTAGATTTTAGGGCTGGGCAAAAGATCCTGCGTATGAATCATTTCATGAACAGAATAGGAAGGTCCTATCAGCCCACATCCAGAGAAGTCTTCTTTTTTTAACATGATATATGTGTTTGATCCAGAGACAGAATTGGAATATACCTATGTTAGACAAGATGTTCCAGAACAAATAAAAACAGCAAGTGCTACGCAGGATTAGGAGAGAGGTTAAAACAAAGTAAGAGAAAAAAAGAAGTAAGAAGAGAGTATCTGAGTATCTGGAGCAGGGGTAAATTAGTTCCCAACTAAAGGGAAATAAGGCAAAAGGAACTTGGGAAGATTGACGCAGGCAGTTGGCAGTTGCAATATATGGTGGGATGACAGCCAATGGCTATGGGAAGATGGAGAGGAGGTGAGCATGTGCAGAAGAAAAGAGGGGCAGGTGAGGTGCACAGACTTAGCTTTACTCAACCTGATGTCCCTACCAGACACGTCTTTACGCAAACTAGCAAGCAATATGCTCTGAGTTTCAGTTTGACTAGACAACAGACCAGACTGGAATAGCTTGGATAAGCATCCAAGCCACAGTGTGTTTGTTCCAGGCAGAGAATTTAACACATCTTTCATTTCAGATACACGTGTCAGTCCCTAGCAGTTGTTCACAGTAAGGTTAGATTCTCCCAAAACTTATGAGCTAGAGTTAATAAAAAGGAAACTAGTCTGAGGTTTTGTAAATTCGAAGCCTAAATGTTCTTCACCATTTCATTACCACTATATTCATTATGGGAAGAGTTCATTGCTCGTAATGCTGATTGCCTCCTGAAGCAGGGAGAATTTGCAACTCACTTCCCCGATATGGGAAGAATGTGCACACACTGAGGTCCTGTAATCATGTGGAATCTTCCAGCTCTAAGAAGTCCACTAAAAGCTCCTATAAGATTTTGAATATAACTTTAAGTGTTCACAGCTACATTGCACAAAGAATAAATCATCTGCACCTACAGAAACTATAGCATTTTGACCAACATACCAAACTTTGGAGACAATGTCTTTGCAGTACGGCTTCTAGTACCTTCAAGGTAAAACTCAACAGGAGCATATCCATTCTTTAGTAAACGAGGGGGGGGGGAAGAGAGGGAGAGAGAAAGAGGGAAGGAAGGAGGGAGAGAGAAGTCAACAATTAGTAAAACAAGTGAGATATATACATTTTTCAAATAACCCATAAAATTGAGAAATAATCTGAAACAGCAATAACCATAACATTTAATTAAGAGGAAAACATGTAGCTCAAAATCTAAAATTAAAAAGGAATCCCTTGTTCCACAGAAATGTATTTACATGTTGCAGATGAGGTATCTACCATTAGCAAAAAAACAACACAAAATTACTGACAATTTTAAAGTTATTCACCTTTAAAATACACTTGACATATTCAGCAAACACTGCCCAGTACAGCTTGTTTCCACCAAACGTGCGTCGCATAAAAAAGGCACCTGATTTTCGTAGCAGTTCACCAACTATTTTCATTCCAATGAAATCTAGCAAAAGCAGAGAGTATAGTTGAATCAAGTTAATCACTGTCAGCTTTGCAAGATAGTCCAGTGAGTCTAGAAGTGCTAGTTCTAACTTTATTATAAAATTACACTAAACAGAATCTTGCAGGTCTGAAAGTACATCTCTTCCACCTCACTTTTATAATCCAAGAAATGATGGAAGGTCCCTTCTGAGACTTTTTTTTTTGTTACACCTCCATTCCTTTTGCTGATTCAGCTGTTGCTTTTAGTTTAATCTGGGTCTCCTCCTCCTGTCTCCCAAGCTCATTCCCATGTACTATTACTTCCAGTTTTCCTAAAGTAGAATTTAGCTCTAAGCAGAATGAAAAATAGCTCACAATTTTGAGAAAAATTCAGGTGTGGATCTTTTAAAGAGAAATATATATAAATTATACTAAGAAGCCATATCTACACTGCTACTGTACAACTTCTAGGTCATCAAAGAAAGTTTATGCGAGACTCACTTGCTAGATCTTAATACTATTTCCTAGATACTTTGCATGGCTTAATTAGACATAGACATAAGACATAGCATGGCTAATAAAAATCCCCTTTTTATATCCATTATGGTTTCCCCCATTTTTCTTACTTATCTCACTATTATGTGGTCATTTGCATCTCATGTTTACTAATGTTTCAAGCTCATGTATATTAGAAGCTGTTTTGAAGTTTGAAGTAATTTCTGAGTATAGATTACTTTCAGTCATAAATTTCAATTATGAAATCCCATGATAATTACCTTAAGACAAGTTCTGTTTTCTATGATGAGAGCAGGGGGAGGGCTGTGAATTCAGCCATTTTGAATTTTTTTTTCAGCAACATTTTTTTTCCTCAGAAGTATAATGATTTACCATAAACACCCAAAAATCGCAAAGAAGAAATATTTCAATCCAGTTTTGTAACAGTCAGGTCAAGCCAGCTTTGAACTAACATAAAATTCTGGGAACTAAAAGCAAATTCTAAGAAAATTAAAATGTTTACCTATTCCCGCTGCAATGACAGGCAAAGCCAAGTCATAGTTATATAACACATAGGACAGTAAGAGAAAATCAATGTAGCTTCGATGGCTGGGCAACAGGACAACGGGATGTTCTTGGATTGCCTGTTGTAACTAACAGAAAACAACATGTTATTTATTAATAACAGAGAATAAGAGAGATTTTGAATTACCTTTTGTTTAAAAAGAAAAAGTTTTACTAAAACGCATATTACAACTATGCGTTTTTTTCCTGCAAGCTAAAATACTAATTTTGCATTGAAGTCCATGAGCTGCATCTACTGGTACCTGCAACTTTCTACCATAATGATGGCAACAGATTACATTTCCTATGGCTAGCCTGCAACCTTCCCCTTAACGTATAATTTATTCTGGAAGACTAGAATTCAGAAGGCATATTTATTTTATTTATATTTATAAAATTTATTGACTACCCATCTTACTACAGGGCAATTCTGGACGTCTTACAACCAATTGCTTTATAGGAAATATATATGCAAAACCATGCAAAAACCAGGAGTTAGCCCTGTACTTTGACAAGAAAACAGTTGTGGGGTGTTTATAACTCACAACTCTTTTCTGTTAAGTAATTCCCAATCATTTCTATCTGGAAAAAATGGTGACTGAAATTCAGTTGCTACCATAATATAAGCAAAGAAATTATCCAAGTTAGTACTCAGATCATTACCAAGGATTGTCTTGTAGCTCCTTGATTTTAAGAAATATATCTCAGTATGAAAAATATACCAAGAGAAATAGGCAAAAGCAGCAAATAGAATAGCTAGCTATAAAATAGCAAAATTTTTACAGACATATAGATGCACTTTATTCAGGACATACCCAGAACTTTTAGTTTATAATCTAAAACAGGGATCTTCAAACTTGGCCCTTTTATGACTTGTGGACTTCAACTCCCAGAATCAGTTTCATATCCCAACTTATTTTGACAAAAATACAAGATCAGATAAATAAATGGGCTTGGAAAAGGATCTATTTGGCAAAGCATAATGGTTTCCATCTTCCTCCTCAATATCATCTATTAGTTGATTAATCTTCCACATGCAAATACTCAAATCCTCCCCAGCTAATTTTTTGATGGAGGTGGGGAGAGAATAGGAAATTGAGAAATGGAGTAGTTCTATTAAAGACATAACCTTACAGCACTCCAAAATTAAGCCCTCTTGAATAAATACCCGCTTACTTTATAGATCTGATACAACTGCAACCAAATTTTGCAATACTTCTAAGGAGAAATCCTCATCACATATTTCTAACTATGAATTTGGTTAATTCTAGGTTTATTTTTTGATAGGCTAGGTGTGGTTAAATAGAAGAGACACACCTGATCATTTTATTTTGATACTATGACAAATCAATTTACCCATATAGTGCTGAACACTAGCTTATTTTAGAAAGCAGCAAAGAGAAAGCAAAAGAAAAAAGAAAAAAAATAGAAAATGAGATTATGTTCAACATGTGTCTTAAGAAAGCAAAAAAAAAAAAAACACAAACAAACCACAACTTTTCTATGAAAAAGTTGACTGTTAGAGGAAGCACTCCTTAAGTATCAATTTTTACATTAAGGCACATTTCCACATAATATTAGCATTGCTTCAGTCATATAGCTTATGAGGCAAGCATGGCATAATTACATACTTCCAGAATAGACCTATCCATTGCAATGACTGGAGTAAGGTGACAGAGCAGTCTACAGGCTCTTAAATGGTAACTACTCTCACTAACTCCATCCCATCTTTACAGTTGTCTTCATTTGCCAACCTAATTCTTGCTTTTTTAAAAGTTTTTTTTCCTACCTTAGAATACCTACTGTTTTGCTGTTGCTCTGCATATAGAGAAAAACTGTAGGAACTTTGATACCATCTATCTAAAGTAATACCATACAAGAAAAAATTGTTTGCATAATTGTTCCTTCTTCTTCACCTACTCTACCCATTCCTATATGCCCCACAAAGTAATCTACAGTCCCTTAATGTTAAGCACAATTGCGATACTACTAATATATCTAGCATAGTGGAAAATTACAGTTTTTCAGCACAGAATTGAGTCACATAATAGGTTACTGAGATTCTCTCTCATTGAGCTAATATTCTACCAGCTGGGTAAATCTTCCAAGTATTTACCAACTAGTTACACAACAATAAGCAAACAAAGACCTACCTCCCAAAAGCTATTATACTTGGTTGTGGGAGTCTGGTTTGTTTATACCTTGAGACTTCCCCTGTTTGGGATAAAGAAATCCTTTTTAAGAATCATCTCTGCTAAGGCATCTGTTATGGGCAGAGACTATACTGCACTAAAATGGAAATGTGCTGGAGTAAAAAATAATTCAATATTTCACTTCTCAACTATCATTTCTGAAGATAGGAAAAGAAGTAACAACTTGATTTCTAGTAACTTACAAAGTCTCATCTACAGTGAGGAAAAAAATTATTTGATCCCCTAATGATTTTGTATGTTTGCCCTATGACAAAGAGATGATCAGTCTATAACAGTGGTGGCGAACCTATGGCAAGGGTGCCAGAAGCGGCACTCAGAGCCCTCTCTGTGGGCACGCACACACGCCAGTGCCCCAGTCCTAGGCCTTTTCACTTTAGGCCTCCGCCGCCATGTGCCCCCCCCCAAAAAGGTTCAATCAACGAGTCAATTTCAACTTCTTGTGGGAAAAAAAAAGATCTTGCAAAGTTGGAACTGATTGATTGAACTTTTTAGTCCCACCCAGTCTGCCGTTACCACCGCAGCCACACCCACCCAATGTGCCATGCCCACCCAATTGGCCACACTCAGCCATAGGGCCACAACCAGCCAATGGGCCACACCCACCCGGCACCCAACAATGCATAAGTGGGTTTGGGGTTGCAGTTTGGGCACTCGGTTTCTAAAAGGTTTGTCATCACTGGTCTATAATTTTAATGGTAGTTTTTTTTTAACAGTGAGAGACAGAATAACAACAAAAAATCCAGAAAAATACATTTCAAAAAAGGTATAAATTGATTTGCATTTTAATGAGTGAAAGAAGCATTTGATCCCCTATCAATCAGCAAGATTTCTGGCTCTCAGGTGTCTTTTATACATCAACTCAACTCGCCATGTTTGGAGGAGGAGGAATGCTGCTTTTGACTCTAAGAACACCATCCCCACCAGCAAACATGAAGGTGGAAATATTATGCTTTGGGGGTGTTTTTCTGTTAAGGGGACAGAACAACTTCACCACATCAAAGGGATAATGGATGTGGCCATGTACCTTCAAATCTTGGATGAGAACCTCCTTCCCTCTGCCAGGGCATTGGAAATGGGTCGTGAATGGGGTATTTGAGCATGGCAATGACACATGGCCAAGGCAACAAAGGAGTGGCTCAAGAAGAAGCACATTAAGGTCCTGGAGTGACTTAGCCAATCTCCAGACCTTAATTCCATAGAAAATCTGTGGAGGGAGCTGAAGGTTTGAGCTACCAAACATCAGCCTCGAAACCTTAATGACTTAGAGAGGATCTGCAAAGAGGAATGAGACAAAATCCCTCCTGAGATGTTTGCAAACCTGGTGGCCAACTACAAGAAACATCTGACCTCTGTGATTGCCAGCAAGGGTTTTGCCACCAAGAACTAAATCATCTTTTGTAAAGGGGTCAAATACTTCTTTCGCTCATTAAAATGCAAATCAATTTATCACTTTTTTGAAATGCATTTTTCTGGATTTTTTGTCGTTATTATTTTGTCTCTCACTGTTAAAATAAACCTACCATTAAAATTATATGTCAAAGCATGCACAGTCTTATTGCGCAAAATAACCCAGGAGTAAACGCAGTAAACGATGGTCTATATTAAATGGCGGTTTATCTTACACTATCTACAATATCATACACCAGGAACAATATACATACACGTGCTAATACAGCAAGATCCAACACACCACAGTTACAGCAAGAAACAGAAGAGAGAGAACACATCAGCAGAGCCTTCCCTTTTATACAGAGGCTCTTAAAGAGACACAGACCCAGTTGGTTCTTCAAGAGACACAGACCCTGCTGAGTGATTCCCATCATTACATCTTACATTACATAAGCTGATTAGCTGTTAAATCATTTCCTTGACATTATAGACTGATTTCTTTGTCAATGGGCAAACATACAACATCAGCAGGGGATCAAATAATTTTTCCCCTCACTGTATATATTTTCTGGCACAACAAAGAAGTGGTTTACTATCACTTACTGGAATTTTGTTTTGTTTTGTTTTGGCCACCTGGTCTCACCTAAAGTCCCAAATATCCCATCAAAGTCCTCATCCTTCAAAGCTAAGTCTATTTAACTTTCTAAATCAAAGTTAGTAGGCCTCATCTTGTAGCTGGGCAATGGTAAGAAAGAATTAATCAAAACAGGATCTCAATCTTTCTGGGGCATGTTTAAGAAGAGCAGGAAAAGATGTTGGCATTTTGGAATTTTACTGATAGCTAATAATGTCTAGCAAACAAACCAATAATAGGTTTCTACTTTTCATGCCTTTACATTTGTCAGTAGTGAGATACACATTTTAAAGCAATAAAAGACCCTTGGAATTATTTTGCAGTTTACTCCAATCCCATATTAAGAACTGCATATAATTTTTGTAAAAATTAATATTTATTATTGCATATGGACATCTGCAGTCACATTTGTTTCATTTCCATGTTCTGCACTCTGGCATGACAATCCACAACAATTAACAACTTTCAGTGAAGAGTATGTTAATGGGACAACAAATGCACAATACAAGGAATTTGGAACATTTACTGTAACTAGCAATTCTTGCATTAATTCGCCCTGATTGCATAAAATTTGCATAAAATGTTATTTTATCAGGAAGTATGTATAGATACTTACTTTTTGCATACCATCTTCATTTACATACACGCTCTTGAAAAGGCATTTAAAGAGTTTGCTCAGAGTGAAAGCAAAAAAACGAATAGCTCCCATATGCAAGCTGTGTCCCATCTCATCCAGAATTTCTGCTGCCTCTTCTTGTATAATATCAAGGGATTCACCAGTCTCTCTTGATAGCTAAGCACAGAAATCAAGAGCCTTAATTAATAAAAACATCCCTCAGACATTCTGAATTTCTGGACTTGCTGAATCAGAGCAAAACTTAGAACCCTAGAATTTTGCCCCATGGAGGCCCACCAAATGTCTGTTAAAACCCATAAGAAGGATATCAGAGTTAACAGTGCTTTCTGCTTGTTTTCCCCAACAACTAGCCCTGAAGGACAAATAGATACATAATCACTATAAAAGGCAGCCATTAATAAGCTTAACTTCTATTACAGATAGTCCTTGACTTACAACAGTTCGTTTAGTGACCATTCAAAGTTACAATGGCATTGAAAAAAGTGATTTATGACCATTTTTCACACTTGGCACCACTGTAGCATCCCCAGAGTCACGTGATTTACATTCGGATGCTTGACAACTGGTTCACATTTATGATGGTTGCAGTGTCCAGGGGTCATGTGACCACCTTTTGCAAGCTTCTGACAAGCAAAGTCAATGGGGTAACCAGATTCATTTAACAACCGTGTTACTAATTTAACAACTGCAGTGATTCACTCCACAAATGTGGCAAGAAAAGTTGTAAAATGGGACAAAATTCACTTAACCAATTTCTCACTTAGCAACATAAGTTCTAGGCTCAATTGTGTTCATAAGCCAAGGACTACCTATAATTGATTAAACAGTAAAGCCTTTTTAATGCATTTATTTGTGAATGCACAAATTGCTTAAACCAACTGAAAATGGAGTATAAAAACTACCATTTATGCAAAAACAACTATAAAATTCAATCACACATGAGAAGTATGGTACATAATTATAGTAAATTCCTGGCAATAGGATCTGAACAGTACTCATGTACAACAGGTACTCTCTTTTTATTAACAGCTGTATGGATGGATGTATCCCACCTAACAGAAGAATTGGGACAACCTTCATCAGATTACCAAAATATTAGAACTATATGTCCTTGAGTGATATATCTCCAAACAACTTTTAACAAAACTAATAAATTACAATCAGCACAAATCAAACAAATCTCCCTGATTTGGAAATATGTCTTTAGGGAGCTTCAAAACTATAAGGAAAAAGCACAACTATTTCACGGAAGATTTTTATCACAAAACTTGAAGAGAATAAGGATAAGACTTCATAATTAGCATATTGGTGGGTAACAAAGTTACTGGTCAAATCATTATAAACAGCAGCAGACAAATAAACAACTGAAAGGGGAGCAGATAAAAGGTTGACACACCTGCCTGATGACATACTGAACCTGTTCAGACTGTAGAACAATACTTTTAATGGCACTTGGCTTGCAGGGAGAAAGATCTTTATAAACAACAGGGGTAAAACATTTCATTGCGTATCTGAGATCACTGGACTGCCGTCGCTCTTCCAAAATATCTTCGAATTCATATTTTTTCTTTGATGTGAGATTTTTCTGCTGGGAATAATACAAATGGAGAATTAGACACTGCCCACATTAGAGCACTCTTTTAAGTAAAACGCTCTTAACTTATTACATTTTTATATGTAAAAACACATTGTTCAAGCTTTTGCAGTCACTCCCACCTACATGAGTGAGCAGCCAAATAAAGCAGAGAGAAGTAAACATTATGTTTTGTTTTGTTTCCTCCCTTCCTTATTTCCCTCCCTTCGAGTCTGTGTTGACTCTTGGTGACAGTCTGGACAAGTCCTGTAGCTTTCTTGGCACCATTTTTGGAAATGATTTGACCCCTGCCTTTCTCCTAGGATTGAGAGAGGGTGACTGGCCACAAGTTACATAGCAGGAATTTGTACCTAAGGAGGGATTAAAACACAGAGTGTCTTGGTTTCTAATCTGCTACCTCAAATCATTACACCAAACTGGGCCTTATGTTCTAATATAGATACAATAATTTATTGTATCTCCCCAGAATCTATAAACCTGAATTTACAGAATTACCCTACATTCAAGAAGACAAGCAAGCAGAACACAGGTTTTAAGTCATTTAGGCACATCAAATAAACCCTAGCAACCGCAACAGATTTATTCCCAGGTAGACATGACAGCTTTCATGACTTTGTTCAGTTTTTAGATTCATACTGATAAATATTATGTAATATTTTTGTAATATTTGCAAAAATGCAAATTTGAAAGATGCAATCAGTCCACGCAAATAAGCCACAAGGGATTATTACTGGCATCTACATGTTCTAGCAAACATAGCCTACTAATACTGACAGGTCTTTCTTCCTTCATCTGAAGCTACGTTAAACCTGGCTAGTTCTGTAACTATATAGTCCTGCTTGCATCCTACTCACACATTTGAAGAACTCCAACTTTAAAAGTTCTTAGGATGCTAAAATCCTAATGTGAGCCTAGCAGAAATGGAAAACCTTTATACAAGCTTCAGGTTCTGGCATTCTGCTCTGAAGAATACTATCACACTCAGGGGGTCATGTGGGGGGGAAGGAAGCACAGGATGTGACACAAATTATGCTCGGAACCAAGTATAGGTACTCCCCAAATTACAAGCGTTCACTTAGCGCCCATTTGAAGTTACGTGATAAGGGCCCCCTAATGTTTACAAGCAAGTCCCAAAATTACAAATGTTGCAGCACCACGGCAGTTGTTCGCCCTTACGCAGAGGCTCTGAAACATTCATCCTATTCCCCCCCATGCTCCCCACAACTGCTTTCCCCTCCCATCCTGCTGCACTGGATTCACTTACCTTGCAAAGACCTGTTTCCTCTCTGCCGTGGTCTTTTACAGAGAATGGGTGCCTGAACTCTCACGAGATCACGGATCCCAGAAACTTTCATTCTTGACGCAAAAAGTGTTTGCAGTGCTTCCTCTGCGTGCAAATGTGGCGCTTGGAAGCAGAGTGAATCGCTCCATTTCCAAGCATCCCATAGGAGCTCAAATACTTTTTGCACGGACAGAGACCTGATGGAGACTGGAAGCCTCGTTTATGTGCAAATGTGAAACATTTTTCGCCTGGATGGAGACCTGACAGAGGCTGGAAGCTTCATCTGCGTGCAAATGGGATGCTTGGAAATGGAGCGATTCGCTCCGTTTCCAAGTACCCCATTTGCATGCAGACAAAGCTTCCAGTCTCCATCAGTTCTCCATCCCATTGAAAAGTGTTTGAGCGCCTATGGGATGCTTGGAAATGAAGCGAATCACTCCGTTTTCAAGCTCCCCATTTGCACATAGACAAAGCTTCCAGTCTCCGTCAGGTCTCTGTCCGTGCAAAAAGTGTTTGAGCATCTAAGGGACACTTGGAAATGGAGCAATTTACTGTTTCCAAGTGCCCCATTTGCACGCAAAGCACCGCAAACACTTTTCACGCTGAGAATGAAAGTTTCTGGGATCCGTGATCTCGTGAGAGTTCAGGCACCCATTCTCTGCAAAAGAGGATTACGGCACCCAGGAGCTTCCATTGACTCTCCTCTCCCTCAAAGGCAAAGAAACCAGGGCAGAAAGGAGACTGATCTTTGCAAGATGAGTCTGGTGCAACAGGAAGGGAAGGGGAAACATGAAGTATCTTAGAGGGTCAGGGAGGCCTTGAGGGCCTGTTCCATCACTAGGTCTCCCATGACCTTCCCCACCCTGAGATTCCTCATGTGTACTTAATGAACCACGTATTCGATTAGCGAATGTGAGGCCGAAAGCAGGGAGTGATCGCACTGAAGGTATGAAATTCACTCCTACGAATCCTCAACTTAAGAATGGAATGGGCAGGCTCCATTACATTCATAACTCGAGGATTACTTGTACTTCTGGGATCATAATCATATCTTCACTTACCGACAGTATTATTGAACTTAATGGAACTTATAATGTATGTATGTACATAAAAGTGTACATAGAAGATTGCATTAAAAGAGTCTAGGCAAAATTCCTAACATTAACAGAGTTCCTTAAAAGTGTTAAAATAGGAACAAAGGCGATAAAAGTGTGAAAATGAGAACTCGGAAATGATCGGGCAAGTCTACTGTAATTTATTTAATATATCTGTATCTTTCAAACAATCATTGCCTCCTAAATCAGTCAACAAAGGCATGGGACACACCCTTAGATTTAAAATATCATCTGACAAGACACATGAAAGAACTGGATTTAGAGATTAGTTTTTAAACAGTAAAAAGACTAGTGAGAAGATGTTGGTATTTACATAAACTTGAGAGTTTGGGTGTTCTTCTATTATTTTGCTTTTAAAAGCCTAAGCCTAGCTCCCCCCAAAAAAGTCAAAGAATCATCTTACCGCACTGCCTTTACAAGCAGTCCTCAATGTATGACCAAATTTACAAGTTACTCCAAAAATGGGACTTACAACCTGGTTTTGAAGTTACATCTCACACACACACACAGACACACACACACACACACACACACAGCCATTTGACTGCATTTTGGGTCCTTGGCAACCAGCTCACATTTACAGCAGCTTTCTGTGGTCACATGATTGTGATTTACAACATTTTTGCTGGCAATCAGCATTTTTCTGTTTACTGGCAAAACCCGCTGCATTGCACCTAACAGCAGCAGCAGCAGCAGCAGCAGCAGCAGCAGCAGCAGCAGCGTTTGCTTTACAGCGGCCGTAAAAAAGCTCATAAAATCAGGTCAGATCGCATGGTGAGCCGCTTTGCAACTATCATGACTTAAGACCATAATTGTGGGCTCAATTATATTCCTAACCGGAGGACTACCTATACTTCTAACAGATTTTATCCTTTTTTCAATAAAAAATAATTCCAAAGCAGGATTGAATATAACAAACTGATATACAGATTGTTTCTTGGCATCACAGAGTTTAATGGCACACCAATTTAACTGACCATTGGAAAGAATGGGCGTCTATTAAATAATCGCAACATTCATATATCTGTGGTTCACATAACATATATCATTCATGCTATTATGTAATTAGCACTTTTAATCCTTTGTTCAGACCTATTTCCTACATCTTGGTAACAGAATACACAGCAAGACATGGAAAGTATCTTTGTTCAAACACAGACATTCCCAGTTTCAAATACTACAGAAAGGGTAAGAAAGAACTGCTGCACAAAACTTTGAAGAGCCATTCTTAATCAGAATAGAGAGCAAGATGATGCAATACTGTGACTCCATATAAAAGGAAGCTTGATAACTTCCTTAGATATATTTTCCCACAAATGAGATGCATATATGGTTAAAATATTTGCATTTGTCACTGTACTGCTCTGCCCAGAGAAACTTTAGTTTTGTATTAATGAATATCCAAAGAGGTGCATGATTCTGTTTCCTTCAGTGGCATTATTAAAATCTTCCTGTTGTATGACAAGAGTAGTGTTTTACAAGAAACTGGGAGGATGTAATATGCTACAGTATAGTACAACATTCACTTCTTCAGAGGAAAAAGAAAAAGGAAAGGAAAGGAGGCATATTAATAATATGTGAAAATGAAGGATTGCACAAGTCAGTCTAGAAAAACCAGTCAGTTAAAGCACAATCATATTCCCTTTAGTGTTGAGAAGAGCAAGGGGGACTCTGTGGAAGTATTTATACGTTTTCCAGTTTGCAGCAGTACGACACTTACAAAATGTATTTAGCTTCCCTGTTCTGCAGGGACGATAAGATTATTTTTTTCTTCTGTTCAACCATGTCCAATTCTCGGAGGCTGCCTGGACAAATCCCTGTAGTTTTGTTGGCAAGGTTTTTCAGAAGAAGTTTGCCACTGCCTTCTTCCTAGGACTAAGAGAAAATGACTGGCCCGAGGTGACCCAGCTAGTTTTGTACTTAAAGTAGGACTAGAACTCAGTTTCTAGCTTGATGCCTTAACCTTAACACACCAAACTGGCTCTCTCTATATATCATATACAGATTATTAAAGATACTCTAGATAAACTTATTATGTAATCTTTAAAAAATATCTCTAAAGATACTGAAGCAATTGTCAGGACTTCTTTTTGGTTGCTAGAGATTCTTCCAAGACCAAGTGGATATATCAGTTTTGTGATGTCATTCCTTACTCCTACTGTAATTAATTTTGAGATGTGGTTATTAAATGTTATTTAAAGTATTTCTGAATCATAAGCATCATTATTTACAGATACTAATCCCTCCTACATTTTGATAATCAGCAATCAATTAATTTTGATAAGCATTTTGATAAATCTCATATTATTCTAACGAGATCACACATACTGAAATGCTGAATAGACAATAGACTATTACAAAACAATATCTCTGCCCTGATGATTTGTTTTTGATGGCAATATAAAGAAGTACAAAGTAAAATGTATTTGTCAGATTTATTTCTCACCTTTTCTTCAGTAGTTGAAAGCAGCATACTAACAGCTCTGTGAACTAGTTGGTCTAAGAAATAGTGATTGACCCAAAGTCACCCAATGATCTTTCATGGCCAAGGGTAGATTTTAGCCTGATCTTCCTGTCTAACATCTTAACTACCACAATAAACATTGCATTCTAAGTTATTATTCCCTATATGCCTTTAAAAAAAAGAACATTCAGCAGCTTATGGATTTTGAACCTTTAGGATCACAGAGGAAGTCTTGATGACCATTTTTATCAATCACAGTAATATCTGGGATTAAAGCATTAGACAAATCAACTATATCTAAACTGTTCAAATTTATGTGTGGAATAAGATTATACATTGCTCAGGAATCAGAATGCATACATACTATTTTCACACTGACAACTTATTTTCATATTTTATATGGTAAAAATCGTAACTTTTTAAAGCCCCTATTACATTTTCAAAGCAAAGGTTGTCTTTTAATGTGATAATTCTGATAAAGGGTGCTCCATTACTCCAGAACAAGAACATGGGTATAAAGAAATCCAAACAAGCAGGTTTGATTCTTGAATCATGCATGTGAGAAGCAACTAATCACACGGACTACGGGTGCATGATAGCCTTCTCTGGCCTGATGCTTGTCTGCATTGGGAAGCGGTACTCCCATTATTCCCAGCCAGAACGCAAAAAATGTGGTTCAACACAGCTGCAATAGAAGATATCAGAACATGCTTTAAATAGTGCCAGAGAACAATGGTCGCCGGGGAAGGAGGCCGCTATTACTGTAAACGGCTCAGCGCCAGGCAACCATTGCAGTACAGTACCCACTTTTTCTAGCCCAAAAAGGAAGCGGCTGTAACGTTATTACACGCGCAATGATGCCCATGAAGGGATGGGGGAAAAGCGAGGCCCGCCCAGCCTCTGCCTTCTCCCAGTCCCCCCCTTCAGCCTGCGCGAAGCAATCCCGCCTCGGCTAGTGCCGCGCACCCCCTCCCCCCCCAAAGCAGGAGGCAGCTACTTACCGAGTACACAGGGGAGGCCCGCCAAGCTGTGGCCCCGGGCGTTGCGGCCATCTCCAGGCTACTTTCTCCTGCCGGGGTGCCCGGCTGCACTCACTCACTCCTGGCTGGCTGGCTCCCTCCGCCGCTTACCGGTAGCACCCATCAAAACGCCCCTGCTTGCCGACGCCCTCGCCTCCCTGCTCTGGGAGCCCAGCCGAAGGAGGGAATCTGTCACTCGGGAAAGAAGGGCGGAAGTCCCCGCCGGGCGCCGCCATCTTGACCGCGACGGTATTCGCGCGGGGCCAAACCTCCTCTGGGGCGGGTGATCGCCTTTGGGGAAGAGAAGGGCAGGTAAAGACGCGCCATGGTGGGATTCGCGGGCGGGCAGAGCCCGTCGCCCAAAGAGGACCAGAGGGAGGACTCCGCTTTTGCAGAACGGCTGCTGGACACCGTCCTCAGTTCCCTGTATGACTTCGGTGGGTGAGGAGCTGTGCGATCTTGAATCTGACTTTTCCCCGGGACCATAGGTTTCGGTTTTGGTAAGGATACCGAAAGAGTCCTTACTCTTGTCGTGGGATCCCTGCTCCCCTTCTTTCCCATTCCGGATTCCTAGCCATCTTCTGCTCCCCATACTGTACTAACAATATTTATACGGGGCAAGGGCCTGGTGCAGTGAGATGGATGCTGGAAACAAGGTAAAAATGAAATCTTGAAGAGGTGGGAAGGCTTCACGTGTTATAGTTGTATTGATGGTTTTAGTTCTTTAAGTCAAGGTGAAGGGATCCGAAACGCCCACTTTCCGGCCATTGAAACCAACCAGTCTTGATTAAACCCATAAATCCTAGTGGGCTTTCAAGCAACAAGATATTTTATGGGATCTATCTTTTACTCATTCAGGGCAGAAACCCTGAATACTTAGCAATACTTCCAATATTGGTTCCAATACTTACTTACCCCAAGATCCTAATTTCGGCTTCTTGGCAGTTCTACATATGCAAATTATTTTTGAAGAAGCCAAACATACCATTACTGTTTTCATGTTTAGTACTCAGTGATCTGTGGATAGATAATAATGGGATACAGTAGGTAAATTGTTCAGCATATTTAGCTCTGTATAGATCCCCTTTAAGTTCTTATGGAAAGTTCTGTGCTCTTCATTGTTCCAATGTTGCATCTAGGCTCTAAAATATTTTTAAACAAATGAAAATGTTCAACTGTAGAATAAGTCTGTTAAGGTATTTAGCTAAAATTTAAACACAATAACATAAATACAAAATTATACATATTTAAATATGTATAAATAAAAAGTCTCATTGAGTTCAATTTTTATTTTATTTATTAAATTTATATGCCTCCCATCTCGCTATTCAGAGCAACTCTGGGTGGTTTATAATATAATTTTAAAACAATTTTAAATATAAGAATTAAATACAGATTCCCAATACATCAGTTCCTAGCGAGTACAGAAAAATGCTTCGGCTTTTATGGCAACAGTACGGAGTTGCTTTCCATTGTGTTCTTTCAGGATGCTTTTTAATTTAGCCTAGAAATTTCCTGATATTCTCTCATAAAAATAATAACCAGGTCCAAGTTCGCTTAGCTTAAAAAAGTTCAGCCAAGGACAACAAGATGGCATCTGCTATGATTTATGTATTTATGAGTTCATACTGGTACAAATGTGTGAAATGTAAACATCAGTATACATGGCATCCATGATAGTACTTGTGAAAACATTCTGCATAAAAGTAAAATCTATCACCTGTGCTATCCAGATCAATCTGCCAAATTGTTCCCAGTAGATAACTTAAACGTTATCTTACCAGAATCAAGAATTTTCTAACAATATGTAAGAGCTTATAAGAAGTATATTTAAAAAGAAAACAAAATGATTTAGCATGATTTGTGAAAAAAATGTGTTGGAAAAGATACAAAAATAGAAAATTATTAAATCATAGAACAAATCAGTCCCAAATTCTTATTTGAGTGCAAATGATGAGGCTCAAACTATAATTCTCTGGGCGCATTATGTGAAGACTCGGTTCCCTTCAGAAGTCTATATGGGAAAAGTGAAAAGAAAGAAAGAAAAAAGAGACAGACAGGCAACAAGGTGATGGACTTGATTACTGCACCAAAGAATGCACCAGTATAAGATCTAACGAGCTAGACTGAGGACAGATCATTGTAGAGAAAATCTTACTTACGTGGTTGATAACACTTGAAGTTATACTGGTAGCACTTAATACTCTAATTTTGTGAATATGAACATTGAATTCTGATGCTGCCCAGTTCTGAGCATAAGATAAAGTGTGTACATTGCTACCCATTTAAGTGAGAGATGTTTTGTATGATTTTTATTTGTTAAAAGTAAAGCATCCAGTATAATTTAAATTTCCAAAAAATAGGATATTTAGATCCTTCTGGGTTGAATGGAACAAAGAGATGAACATATTTGCTTTTGACCTATAGGTGAATCACCACCAGAGAAATGCAAAAAGAAAAGGAACAAGAAAAGACACTCTCAACAGATAACATCAACCCATACTGTATCACTTGTCAATCCTGAACTTGGTACATCTTCTTTGGGCAAGAGAAAAAATGTGTCCAACTTCTTTGACAATCTAAAAGATGAACTGGCAAGTGTTGATCAGAAAAAATGTGTCTCGGGTTCCAGTTCCCCTAATCCACTCCCATTCGAAAGTACCCAAGAAGAAAAGGCAACACAGGTTGAAGTTGTGACATTCCACGGTCGACACAAAAAGAAGATAGCTAAACTTGAAATTCCTGGAAGTGATGACTTAAAGGTAAGGCATTCATATTTAATTCCCTCATGTTTGGAAGCAGAACATTCAGTTCATAAAAGAGATTTCTCAAAAATAATTGCAAATTACCTTGAAAACATTACTGGTCTGCCTACCTACATTATCACCATATGACTAAAGAGAAAGAGAAGACTTTTCATTTTGTGAATTAACTCTGGTCATTTAGGAATTAATTTAGTTGGCTAAGTAAATTAATATTTACAAGCTTCTTTTAATGAATAGGAATTCTTCATAACAAAATGTTCTTAAATATATTCAGTATTAAAATTATATCACGTTTAATTGCAAGGTGAGATAGGAATAAGCATTTTGCCACAACACACACGGACTCTTTGCTCTTCTCTTTGTAAGATGAGTAGTGATATCAGGATGGGTAAAGGTAAAGGTTTCCCCTGTCCAATTGTGCCCAACTTTATTCATCTCCATATCTTAGCTTGAAAGAGCCAGTGTTGTCCGAAGACATTTCCATGAGGTACCTGGAACATTGTTATCTTCCCACCTAAATGATACTTATTTATCTGCTCACATTTGCATGCTTTTAAACTTCTAGGTAGGGGCAAGTAAAGGTAGCTCACCCTGTTGTGTGGCACTTGGGTATTGATCCCGGCTGTCAGTTCAGCACTCCCCGACATAAAAATACTCCTGATTAATTCATAGCTTTTCATTTTATTTGAGCTTGAGATGTTGTACAAGGGAAATAAGAGGTCCATATATTAATTCAACTTTGACTTGACCTACCCAGACTAATCTATGGAAATCCACATGACCACCCAGACAGTAACAAAATGTTTATGAATCTTTTTGCTACCATTTCTTGACTAAATGAATTTTTGCAGCCTAGATCTGGTAGCCCTAAATAATTCTAAATAATTTTCTTTAGAAAAAGCTCAGTTACTAGAAATAAATTTCCACATTAGACAAAGTAGGAGACTATGATTAGCTTGTGCTTTCAAATAAGATGCCTAAGTGGATGAAACCATACTCAAATTTCAAACAAAATTTGTTCAAACCAGACCATTCAGCAGAGCTTACTGGACTTATGCAGAAAATAGCAGTTGTGGAAAACTGAAATAAAATTTAATTGGAATTCTATAATAGTCTTCTTTTATATTTTGTGATCACTATCCTGGAACCGTGTTCAGATGATGGAAATTATAATTGGGTCAGGTTAATGTGGTTCTACTTCATTTCTCACTGTTTCTAGCCTATTCTTTCCCAGTATCTATTTTAAATCTAGAACTACTACATGGAATTCACCTGTTACAAAACTGGTTTGGGACTGACTCACAAAGAGATAGTTCAGTAGAATTTCAAGGCTACTGTTGTTGCCAAATACCAGTATTTCAAAAGAATTAAGCAAGAGCCAAATGATTTAATTACCAAATTTTAATATCAGCTTCTAAGGTTCAGACAAGTTTTTAAAATTATATTTATTAAGAATTTTACATTGAATAAAACTGAATAAAAGACTAATCAAAAGAAGAAAATAAAAAAAAGTAAGTGCAAAATATGAAAAAGAAAGAAAATCCAAATTTTAGAAATATAATGTATGAATGACTTCTGACCTTTTTGACAGATAATTACAATTTTATTATCGAGTTTTATACTCAGGTGTTTAAGGCTTTGGAGCACTAATTCACATTATATAAATATTCCAAAAAGGATTATAAAAAGAATAGAATTTAGAGGGAATAATAATTAAAATCCTATAGACAAATATATTTCTCCATTGCGATGGCTGTTAAAGATTTGTTTAATCCATGTCAATTTACTGACTATAGAATCACATGTTTAATAATTTATATAACATGTTGACAATCATTAGAGGTTTACACGATAAAACAATAGTCTTATCTTAAGACCATAGAAGTAAGTAGGTGTTAATGATGAGTATGACTTAGTACCTATCCTGATGCAAAACTGATCAAGGTAATTAGTCTTGTTTTAAAATAAATAAACGCATTTCTATAGCCAACAAGAAACACTGATTAGGAACACTTAAACACAGCCTGTATGAACAACAACAGAACTGAGGCCAGCAATACATTCCGTTCAACGATACAATAAGAGCGACAAAAAAAGAAAAATCAACCCTCCTTCCTCCGCAGTATATTGCACCATCGTAATAACACTTGCACAATGCACACGTTTGCATTTGGCAATCTTTTGAAAAAGAAGCACAACACGATCACAGTTTTTTTCATTCGCACCCAAGAAATGTAACCTCTCTAAAGCAAACAGTTTAAATACACTAAAATCTATCCTTTCAGTCTATCAGACCGAAAGGAAACAGTTTTCTTCTTAAATCCAAAATCATCCTCAGTCTTACTTACTCTTACTTACATAGCACTCGCCAGCTTTCTCTTGCTTTGAGTGCTGTGGCTAATGGCAAAAAGATTGAAAGTATTGCCTGTTTTATTGCCTAACATGCTACGTCTTTGTGGCTTAGAGCAGGGGTTCCCAACCCCCGGTCCGTGGACCGCAGCATGCCAGCAACCGGTCCGCACAAACAAGCAAAGCCCCATCTGCGAGATGCAGGCAGCACATAAAACCACGCACCCTCCGCTCTGCGGAAAAACCTCCCCAGAACCGGTCCCTGGTGCCCAAAAGGTTGAGGACCTCTGGCTTAGAGAACTTAAAAAGAAGCCACCATAAGCCAGTCCAAACATGTGAAACAACATGATATTAAATGCCCCATGTTCTGAGTTATGGGCATCTGCTTCCCCCTCAGATATTTAGGGTGGTCAGGAGGAGGCAATTCAGTTGATTTTGTTCCTTTTTAGTTTAACTCTGGTACCTTGTTACGTCCAAACAAAGGGCAACAGTTTGTCTTCAGTGCAATTACAGGTGATCCTCACCTTAGAACCATTCATTCGGTGACTATTTGAAGTTACAATGGTACTCAAAGAAGTGACTTACAACTGTTCCTCACACTTACGATCGTCACAGCTTCCCCAGGACCATGTGATCAAAATTTGGGGCAGCGGCAACCAGCATGTATTTAATGATGGTTGCAGCATCCTGGGGAGGGGGGGTGGCATGTGATCACCCTTTGCAATCTTCCTAGCTGGCTTCTGACCAGCAAAATCAATGGGGGAAGCCAGACTCACTTAACGACCACATGATTCACTTAACAACTGCAGTGATTCCCTTAACAACCCCAGCAAAAAAAAAATGGGGCCTGGCTCACTTAACCACTGCCTTGCTTAGCAATCAAAATTCTGACCTCAATTGTCCTAACTCAAGGATCACCTGCAGTTTTTTTAAATTGAAAAAAAAATGGTTTGAAAAAAAAAAGCCCCTCAGCTGAATGCATTTTTGTTGTTCCAATAGTTCACCCCGCAAAAAGCCTGCAGTTCAGTCAAAATGTTCCCATCATGGAAAAGCCATTTTTCGCAGATTTTTCTGCGTATCTCCCATGTACTGGAGAGGAAATTGATCTTGAGGTATATTTTCTTTTTTCTCTGTTCTACCAGCAGAAACAGCCTGCTGTATCGGAAGTTTTCCTGCAGTTTTCTCTAAGAAGGGTTTATTCTAGATCCAGCTTGTATAGCATGATACTGCTATGTTTGAAGTGACAAAGTTAAGACTAGTTATTTACTCGGAAGACTAAACCTCTGGTTCCGGTGTCCGATCCAGATTGGATCCTGCAAGATTAGTTATGGTTATATTGTCCTCACAGTATCTGTTATAGTTATATAGTCCTCAGAGTATCTCTGAGAAAGGGAAATGAGCACGTGCTAATGAATATTTTATTGATAATGCTGATAAAGTGATGAAATACTAACACTTTAAATGCTAATACCAGATTTCTGGATGTAATTAGGGCCAGTATCTGTGTTCTCATCCTGTTTGGTGTCACATCATAATTGCTAAACAAGTTGCCTCTTTTTGATCAGATTTGGCATAGGCTGGGTCTGTACCAGCTATTTAGTACACTTGAGATTTCCTTTAGTTTGGGGCATAGCTAATTGAATAGCTATCACCTGAACTGAGCATTGTGCAAAGATTTTGATAAGAGTAAGGCTCTCCTCCAACATTCAGAGATCTAGTTAGTTCATTTTTTCACACCGTGCTGTACAACTCTCAGTTATAATAAGATGTTGCTAAAAGTGGATGCCTTCAAATCAGTCTTGATTCCTGGGGAATGGCTGGACAAGTCCCTGAAATTTTCTCAGCAGCATTTATCAGAAGTGGTTAGATATTGTCTCCTTCCTGGGGCTGAGAGAGAATGACTGGCTTTGTGCTTAAGGTGGAATTAGAATTCAAATTTCCCATTTCTTGCCTAGTGGTTAATTGTTACACCAAGCTGATTTACGTAATGAGAATAAAACGGAATCTATATCAGGATTGTTAATCTCTCCATTTTTTTCTTTAGGTCCACACTCTTAAATTCTATTTACATGATGTGTAAGTTTTCATGGGGAAAATCAAGGCTTTTGCATACATAATTGCATATTAGTTTCTTCATTTTTCAGCAGACAAGCTAATATTTTTAGTTTTCCGAGTGGCAGGTGTTAAAAGGCATAGTTCTACAAATTTAACAGCATGTACTTTTCCAGTTCATTAAAATAAAATTTATGGCCGTGTTTCCACGAAAATAAGACCTATCCCCAAAATAAGCTCTAGCGTGATTTTTATGCATGCGTCTAATATAAGCCCAAAATAAGCCCTAATTAAGAGCCTGCCTACTCCATCCCACCAGCTGGTTGCTTGCTGAAGCAACAGAACAGGAAAGTGGGCATCGCACCCGTGCCACTGCCACACTTCCACTTACCTTAGGGTTCCCACAGCCAGGCCACTCCCTGCTCAGTGACCTGGCTGCCCGCCCGCCTCTTCCCTTTCACTCCCCTCTTGAGCTGGACTGCCATGCTACAGAGAATGGGTTGGGGAGGCTCAGTCCCCTTACCTGGTACCCCTCCGCTGTTTTAGAGCCAGGGGAGAATGACGGTGAAAGGCTCTGCCACTGCTGTCAACAGCCATATCTGCTGCGGGAGAGGCTTTCTTCAGTCCTGGTTGCCCCCGCTTCTCTTCGCAGATCACCTGCCCAGCAGCAGCCTCCTCCTTCTCCTCCGCCAACTCTCCCTTGACTTGCATATTTCTCTGGCAGCACTCCATCACCGTTACCGGGGAAAACAGGGAGAGGGGGCAGCTTTTGCTGTGGGGCTGACTGAAGTTTTTACACCAGATAAATGCGGGTCTCCGGAGATAGACCCCAAAGAGCGACTTAAGGACACCTAAAGGCACTGACTTCCCTAAAAGTAAAGGGGAGGGCGGAGTAAGCCGCCTGAGGCAGAGGCAGAGGTGGAAAACTGCTGCAGGGTGGTCGGTTTCACCCATCACCATCCAGGAACAAAATTTCTCCAGCAGCCCTAAGAAGCGTCGGTTGCCAGGGTCGCGCTTACTTGCACGAAGCTTCCTCCGTCCAAGCGGGAAAGGGAGAAAGGCAGCTTACGGTAGATTCCTTCACCTCCCTGGGTGTCCTGAAGTCTTCCTCCCTCCCTCCCTCCCTCCCTCCCTCCCTCCCTCCCTCGCCTCCTTCTGCCTGCCACACTCTTTCCTTTTGTAAGCAGACAAATCTTCCAGTCTCCCTCTGGGCAAAAAGTGTTTGGGTGCCTATGGGACGCTTGGAAACAGAGCCATTCGCTTCATTTACAAGTGCCCCATAGATGCCCAAACACTTTTCACCCAAATAGAGAACTGACAGTGACTGGAAGTTTCATCTGCTTGCAATAGGAAAAAGTTGGCAGGAGGAGGGAGATGGCAGGGAAGGCTTGCACCACCCAGTCTTTCGGCTTCCCCCACCTGTCTGCGCCGTTCTCCTCCTCGCCTGAAGGCATGTTCCCCAGCACTATCCTCACCTCCCGGGGGTCTGCCCTGGGAAGTCCTGTAAGCCATAGTGGCTGTGGGCAAACAGACGGTGGAAGGGAGTAGGCAGGCAGCCACAAAACAAGACAACCCCTGAAAATAAGCCCTAATTAATCTTTTGGTCCAAAAAATATATATAAGACCTGGTCTTATTTTTGGCAAACATGGTACATGCTTTACAACCTTCTTGTTTAAATTCTTAAGTTCTATAAGCTTAAATTCTTACTCTTCATGTAAGGGTTACAACTTTTTATCGGGAAAATTTAGCATACAAGAGGTACCAAACAAAGTATTAAAAGTAATATTTGTGGACACCCTATTTAAATTTTTAAGATCCATAGTAAGTCTATTGTGCATGTTCAAAAGTCTCATTAAATTCATTGAGATTTATTGTCAGAGATAAATCTATAATAGTAGCATTGATGAGTTTCTTTAAATAATGTAGTTTTCTATCTTAAGAGTTCTGTAACTATCATTATATTCAAAACATCTTGCTCTAACAACATTATACATTATACTTATTTGAAAAATCTTATTTAATAGCAAAACATACTATTTTATGTTTTAAATTGTATCTAGGCAAAAATGACTGCTGAAGAACCATGTATGGATAGCCAAGAATTTAACTTGGAAAAAGTAAGTTGATGTATGTTTAAAGGTATGCATGCAACATGAAGTCTGATGGAGAGAAATAGAATTGTCCCGTGATCATAAGATCATTAACCAGGTCCTAAACCCACCAGGTTTCCCCCCCCCCATAAACCAGACTTTCTACAACTATTTAGAAAGGTTTGCAATATTTTAAGACTGAAATCAGAGCTATATGCTCAGGGACTTCTTATTAAATCCTTGACATTAGAGAGTTTCCCAATGGCAAATCTATCACATGCTTCTACTTTCTTAACATTCCCCAAATGAACAAAGATAGGGACACCTATCTGTATCTGAAATGGATGAACTGTCATGTCAAAAAATCTGGATAGAAACCAGAAATTCTGCAAAGAATACTCCAGAAAAAGGAATTCTAATCCCTGCTGGACCGCCATGTGGCCTGTCTTCACATCCAATATCTATCCAATACACAGAAAGTTCCTGAGCTTCAAATATCAGGATGCCCACTAGTAAAAGGACCTTTCATTCAACCTGTCATCCCTTCCCAGGGTGTTCAGGTGATGATTACCATGATTTTATAACGAAAACTCAATTTGTGGTTTTTTTTGGTGGGGGGGAAGCAAGGAATTCTGGGAGTTGAAGTCCACAAGTCATAAAGTGGCCAAGGTTGTGGATCCCTGATCTAAGTAACTTAAATAATGCAAATGATATAAAAAGGGCTATCATGCAGAATATACACTATGTCCATATTGTATCAGTTTGTCGATTGTTCGGGACTGAAGTCTGAAATAACGTTTTGTCAGTTAACATGAATCTGACGACTGTTGACTAACAAAAATCCGTCAAGTTTCACTTGTCTGTGAAAATAGGTACAGAACACTTCTGTTTATGCAACATGATGACATGATGTGTTATGCAATTCCTCAGATGCATTTCTTATGAAACATCAGCTTGTATGCTTATGTTTCTTGGAAAGCAGAATTATAAAAGACCCCCCAAAATATTTAATTTTATTTGCAATATTTTAGGCCCGGTTGGAAGTACACCGGCTTGGAATTACAGGATTTACAAAGAAAGAACAGAGAGCTTTGGAGCAAGAACGTGCTATCATGTTGGGGGCAAAGGTATGATACTTTTTTTGTGAGTCGAGAGGTGATTTACAAAAGAGGAGATTTTATCCTTAAAGCTTTCCCTCTGCCAAACCCTTTGGCTGTTTTTTTTTTTCCAAATGGAGGGAAAATGGCAGGGTTAACGTGTGGGAGAGCGTTGAAATTTCAGAAGTAAATTGTAAATGAACAATGTAGCTATTCTTCATCCAGAATTTCTGTATTAAATTCCTTTTAAATTTCAAAACTGGTACTACTGAATATACTTGAGTATAAGCCAACTCTTGAATTTTTAATCGAAGTATGAAAAATGTATCACTCATAGGTAAAGCAACACACATTTTTCATGGTATTTTAGTTAACAATCTAAGGGTTGGCTTATTTATTATGGTACTTTAAATTATGGTACTTTAAAATACTTTTTAGAAGTATTGCCATATATACCTGACAGTTAGAACAATTAACCAGTGGAACAACCTGCCTCCAGAAGCGGTGAATGCTCCAACACTGGAGGTTTTTAAGAAAAGACTGGACAGCCAGGCAGGGTTTCTTGCGTGAGCAGGGGGTTGGACTAGATGACCTCCAAGGTCCCTTCCAACTTTACTATTATTATTATAAGCTGATCCACAGATTTCAAACCTGAATTTTAGGGGTGTATTGCACTTGAAATTTTTGCCTTATACACTAATATATATGGTAACTCCTAATAGGTAAATGTGAGTTGTTGTATAATTGTTCAAAAATGTTGCTTTTGTATTGAACATATTTAGAAATCTTATGTAATACAGCTTTTTGCTTTTTGAATTTGTACTGCCAGCAATGCAGTCACATCAAGAGTTAAGAAATAAGGAATGTGGTCTTTGCTTTTCTGTCAAACATTGTCTACATAAATGTTGTCTCAAAGCTACTGAAAGAAATGAGAATAGTGATTATGAATCACTAATCAGTTCATAAATAGTCATACTCCCAAAGAACATAGGCTATATCATTGAAAAGGTTTATTTTAACCACATTTCTATTGAAAGAATCAAATTAAATTATGTTAGCATTTAAAGAACCATCATTATACACGAGTGTGTTATCACTATGAACTTTTCTCTCTCTTTTTGGTGTATTTTTCACAAATTTCTGAAATGAGTTATTAAACTCTTATTGCAGCCTTCAAAAAAGGAATATGTGAACTACAAAATTCTTCAAGAGCAAATCAAAGAAAAACAAGCAGCAAAGAAGAAAGAAAATATGACGGTTTGTGTGTAATATTTCATATAAAAATAAAATGTAAAATCAAGTAGGAAAGCTCTGTTATAATGGTTTCCAGTAAGACCTGGCTGTACAAGAAATTAGAACAACAGATTGAAGTCAGTCTCCATTGCATGTGGGAAATGTATTTGATTTATGTAAAATGTGATATATGTCCAATTAGAATATTCCTGGTCCTATTCCTATTTTCATTAACAGGAAAATAAATCTGATTCTCTCAAGAGGAGAAAAAAGACAGGACATGAAGAGAGGTGAGCCAAGATTTCAATCTTATATAAACAAGGTGTAATAAATTGGATTTATTTTTGTATTTGTTTTGGTTGTACTTACTAAGCCTTTTTCACATCTAGTGCTAAACAATACCGTAGTTTTGGCATTAAATGACTGAGCCTTTAGCCTCTTTTTTTTCTGTGTGTGAAGTGTAAGAAGAAATAATTATGTTTGTCATTGGATGGGTTTCAGCAAATATAAAATAGTTTGGTTTTAGAAGCAATAGGAATCTCTTGATAGTTTGAAACTTTTCAGGATAAAATGTCAAAACAATTGTTATGATTGATATATATATATATTTAAAATATAATTGCCAAACTCTAGAAAAAGGTATAGATTCATTTGTTATGTGTGTGTGTATTTATATATATGTATATATATATATGTATGTGTATATATATATATATATATATGTATGTGTGTGTGTGTGTGTGTGTGTGTGTGTGTGTGTGTGTGTATATATATATATATATATACACACACACACACACATACATACATACATACATACATGTTTTGTTTTTAAAAAACAGAAAATCCAAGAAGACAATAAAACAGAACATATTACCAACAGGACGGTTGGGAAAATTTAAAAATGGAACTTTAATTCTTCAAAGTTGTGACATAAGAAAGATCAAATCTTCCAAGTTGAATAAATGAACTTATGTTGAACACAGAATAAGATGAACAAACTGTGTAACAAAATAACTCTTTTTTTAAAAAAAATAAATAAAGTCATTTAAAGATTTCATTTGTGAACTGAATTTAATAGTGAATTATTGATTATTGTGCAATAAGGAGAAATCCATCTGAACACTAAATTTTGCAAATGTTACTTGAATTGCATAATTGTTTACCACTGAACTGGTTACCAACATATATGCTGAAGAGTTCGTCAGAAAGTTTTACACTGAAAATAATATGTACCAAAAATATTACGATTAATTGCTCTGAATTCATTATATTTTCTGCTGCTCATTTCTATGAATGTTCTATGGGAAATAACAGTTCCAATATTACTCTTAGGATGACTCTTTAGGCTTAATTTGGATTCCTTTATGATGCGATGATCCATTTTTAAAACTTTGCCTACAGCTTTAATCTTTAGGAAAATATTAATATTTAGTATTTCATTGAAGATCAAATAGTCCTCTCCACACTGAAAAGGTCTTCTTTGCATCTTCAAATGCTGCCCACATTTCTGTTTCATTTATAACATTATAATATTTCATGCTAGGACAATCAGTTTGGTGTAGTGGTGAAGGTTTTGGTCTAGAAACCAGGAGATTGTGAGTTCTAGTCCTGCCTTAGGCATGAAAGCTGGTGTGTGACTTTGGGACAGTCACTCCCTCTCTCAGCCAAACCCACCTCACAAGGATGTTGTTGTTGGGAACATAGGAGGCAGGACTATTAGGTATGTTCACTGCCTTGAGTTATATATTTTAAAAAATGGGACAAATATATAATAACAACATTTCTCTTTAATGAGCTCTAAGTAGAATTGTATTGGTGTCTGTTCTCCCCAGAATAGTAGATGGCCAGAACAAAATCTAAACTTGATTTAATTTTTATAGGCTTATTGTCCAGTTAAGTATTTAATAATTTTTCCTTGCTGACTCATTAAAAATATAATTTGATAATGGCATATGGAGTTCTCAATGGGAGGATTATTGCCAAGTCTTTTGAGTCCCAAGGTGATGTATGTTGCCCAGGCTGCAAATTAACTCAGAAAAAAAGGCTTTTTTTTTTCCTGCTTTGAACCATCTCAAAGAAAAAAGGTAAACAACGTTTCGCAGAAGAGAAAGTTTTTTTTAATATATATATATTCTGCAAATCTGTTAAAGTGCGCAATACTTAAGGGAATAAATGCTTTAACAGGACACCGTTGACTCAGATGTGCATCCTCTTAAATAGTTATTTATTGGTGGAAAACAGAAATGTTACTCATTTTGAATATTACATGCTGCCTTTAGTGCTTCAGTGCTCTTTGGCTATGATAAAAGTTCAACATCTAAACAAAAAACAGATTATATCAACCTTTTTTGCAACTGTTTTATAAGGTAGTAGAGAATAGGATCTTAAGAAACATTTTTGTTATTTCTGTATGCCAAATGTTTCTGCAGTGGTGGTTCAAAAGTAGCCTCAAGTCTGTCATCAAGGAGATCTTTGAAAGCTCTTTACAGAGGATCACCCATATTATAAATCAGCTGGGGACTAAAAGATACAAATCATGCAGATGATATTAAAAAAGACACAATTAGGTGTAGAAAATTATCAACCCACTGTGACAACTTCACAAATATTGGACAATAAATCTAACACCAGCTTTTATTATGATGATGGTCTGAATATAATCCTTTCAGCGCAATTGAAACGAGAGTGCCAAGTAAATTCATAATTTTAAAGAGATGTCAAGTTCAGAATTTTTTTCTTCATGGATACTAACAAGGTTGAGAATTCTTCAAGAAAAAAAGATATGATAAACGTCTTAAGAGAAGATTTTATTCTATGAGGAAGTGCCCCAAGCCAATCTACAACTTTTAACAGAACAACTTTGGGTCTTTTTTTTTTTCATGGGTATTAACAAGGTTGAAAATTTCTTGAAAAAAAGAGACTTGACAGACATTCCTGAGAAAAAAGACTTTATTCTATGAAGATAAGCTGGAGGGAGTAACTTAAATTTAATGATTTAATTAGTTAGGATGGATTTTTATATGTGTTGAAAGAAAGCTCTAAGGTAGTTTTGTATTTATAAAATGAGTTTGTAAATGTATGTTTTCTGTCCTATGTAACATTGAATAATTCCCAAAGTTTGTAAAATATTATTGATCAAATTTGAAAATAATAGAAGAAAAAGATTTTAGTCCATGAGGATAAATTTGAGGGAGATTTAAATCCAATGAGCTAATTGGAGTCAATTGGATTTTTATTGGTGTGATATATATAAGTGAATGAAAGCTTTAATGTAGTTTTGGGTTTTAAATGAAGTTCTTTTTCTCCCTTTATATATAGTATTTGAGTAATTTTTAATGTTTGTAAAATATCATTAAATGTGAACTTTAAAGTATATATGTTAAGAGGAAGTTTAAAAAGGAAAAAAAAGTTTACAGTTTTAAAAGCTAGAAATGTTTAACCCCTCTAGGGTTAAAAAATATCTGAAATAATACAAGGAATTCTTTTAATATAAATTTGACAGTTTATAAAGACTAATGAGTAAACAGAAACATACTATTTCCTGCAGCAAGGAGAAGTAGAGATGGTTAAATTGATTCTTTTATTCAAAGAAGAGAATATATTTAATTTTGTTTCTATTTGTAAATTGCTTTCAGATTTTGTGCTTGCAGTGGGAAAAAATGAAACTTTATTTTGTTTTTGTTGATTAGTTAGGTTTGTTGTTATAGAAATGGCTAGTATATACTGTTGTGTAAAAGTAATAAGTTCAGGTTGTTATGTTGTTATCTTTTATTGTGCTAAAGAGAGTTGGAAGTCGGTGCCTTTTTCTTTCTTTTTCCCTTTTTACTCCATATTTTCTTTTTCTCCGCCCCCCAGTTTTCTATTACTTTTTAAAATTTCTCTATTTTCTACTTTGATAAACTAATACAAACGTATTTTTAAAAAGTAACCAGGTTAACTTGTCTGCCAAAGAGTAAAATATGTTGGTTTTCCATAGAAAAGATGCATAATCTTCAGTGTAATCTAGATCTCACATTGGACCTGAAGGTATAGAATTCCTCCATCATTTATGTAACTCTCAAAAATATTTCATCATTTGAGACTTGTAATTTGGGGAAAGTATTCAGTGTTGTTCTTCTAAATATGATATTATATATCGTTTTTGTATCTCTATTCCAGGAATTTGGGCAGGAAATGACTTGACCACGTTTTTGTTTTTTCTCCAAATCAAGATCACAATCACTTCATGCTTAAACCAGGGGTTTTTCAGAGTGGAAATACTTTTTTTAGTGGAATCATATCAGGAGCTTTACAGGCAATTGGTTTGGGCTGCAAAAACAAGGCAATGGCTGCTAAGAAATTTGAATTTTCTGTATCTCTTTGTGGCCATCTAGTGGTTGTTTGTCACAGCTCCAGATCTGGTCGCCTAACATCACCCCTTCCTTTGTGACATTCTTTTGGGACTTGAAACAAAAATCCAACTTAGTGGTTTTCAAGATTTCATAGGAATTGTGCTTGTGTTGTTCCTCAGAAGCTTCTCAGGGGACCTATTTACTCAAAGCTGACTTGTTCTCTCTGGGATGTTTCTTCTAGGGCAGGAAATCTGTTCACACTGTAAAATTATATGGGACATATCTCAGTAGTAGAGCATGCTTTAAATGTAAAAGATCCCATGTTTTATTCTTTATCCCTCCATTGAGAAGGGATGCTGGTGAAGTAAATAATGCATTCAGTAGAGAAATATATGATCTAAGAGCTTCTGCTTCCTTCGTGTTGGCTGAGGAATTCTGGGAAGTGAAGTCCATGCATCTAAAAGTTGCCAAAATTGAGAAATGCTAGTCTAGATGCTTTGGGAAGACTACACAATTGCAATTCTATCTAAGCAAAAAATAATAATAATAAGTGAGACAATGTCTTTGGATTTGTTGGCAGTGTAGTAAGAATTTATTTTAACTCTGTAAAACAGTGTAAACTTATACTTCATGTTTTCAAAAAGGTAGTACATAAACATTTGAGACAATAGGACAAAAACATTTTGCTTCCAATTCAAAAAATACAAACTTTGCTACAGGTAAAAAATTAGAAAAAAATTGATTTTTTTTTTCTGAACTCCTTTCTTAATCTGGTGACATAGAAGATGTACATTCCACCAGATCTAAGGATATAAACAAAACATATTGTGATTAGGGGTGACAGCTAGTGCAAACAATGTTTTTCTTACTTAACCAGACTTTAACATAACGTGTGACTTTCTTTTCTTTTTTTTGTTTTGCCAACATTTAAGTTAACATCTTCCATGCTTTTATAACTTGAGAAAAAACAGCATTTCTACCTCATGCATTAATTCTAGAACATTGTCATCATACCATGTTTCTGGGCTGTGCTTCCGTTCACTATATTTTACAACATTATATTTTTATTGACAGTATTTATGTAACACAGGGTTAGGAACACTTGTGAAACTCCAAGAGGAATCCTGCTTTTTTAATATTGAAGTTAAAAAGACATCCTTTAGCTTGACCATCTTCCAACAAAAACATTTATAAGGACAAAGCCAACCTTATGGCTTTCTGCCATTTATGATCAAAACCCCGTTACCCTTGAAAACCAGCTATTGATGCTACTTTCTAAGTACTTTCTATCAAACCAGTGAATCTCTGGTGTATAAGGGGGAAAAAATGAACCATACTGTAAGGTGGAATCTTCCCACCTGGTCACTTCCCATCATACTTCCCTGAGACAGATTAGGTGAGTGCAGCAATCCAAGCAAGAGTTTGACAGGTCAGGAGCAAATGCTTGGCATCCCATGAATGAACTTTTCAAAACAGTGGGGGTCAGCTGAATAAAACATTATTGGCTGGGTGCACACAATGCATTGAGTCAAAACCAAACGAGCCATGGTTTGACCTAATGGAACGTGGAAACCCAATCAGGAATGACTTTTTCTTCCTGTGCGAAAGGGAAATGGATGATAAATCCTGAAATTAGGGCATTTTAGGAGATACTGTTCTATGAATCAGATTTTCCCAATTGACTGTTTTTAGGCAATTATACCAGTATCTGACCTTAGTACCACTTGTTCTAGTGCTACATTCCTAGGGCTGATCATGACTGACTTATGTATACTTGATTCGCCCTCTCTGTTATTACATGATGCTGATCATGAGTACATGAGAACCGAACTATATGAGGGTTAAAAAAAAAACATTTTGTAACGTAAATGTAGAGAGTTCATATAGTCTACTGTAATTAAATCCTGGTTGCAAACATGAGTCCTTCTTTACCCACCGAAACCATTTTTACCCACCAATGAATTATGTGGATAAAATTTATTCTATCTGCTTATTCTAGCTCTTGCACTTTTTTCACACCAAATGGCTTATGGTTAGGGTTATCAGTTGGTGGATGGCCTCTGCAAATTTATGTATGCTGTAATCACAGCAAGGATATCACAGTAATCTGTTATTATCTATGGTGAGCAAACCATTTTGTATAGCAGATTTTTAACACTTGGGGTGGTCAAAAGAGGAACAAGAGAGTATGAATAAATGAAATACATAATTAAATTCATTCAGATTTTGGAATGAAAGCACAAGTAATTTGTCCAAGTGTTCTCAGGAATTTTGAAGAAGCCCTGATATGATTATTTCACCCTAAATTTCTATATCACTTCACTGTTCTCTTTAATTTTCAATATTGTCAATAAAAATAGGTAATTGCTTAAAACAACACCAATAATGAGCCACATTTTCTGTTGTTTTTTTCAAATTGATTCACTCTCTTAAATGGAAAAAACAGGTTATAAAGTTATTTTAATACTATGTTCTGTTTCTTTTTTTATATATTAATGCCACCATTTTCTATTTAGGGCTTTGGAAAGTTAAGAGAAAGCCATAATAAAGCTTCTTTAAGCTGGACCAAAACCTTGTCCTACTAGCTATCATCAGCTTCACGATCAAACTGCAAAAATCCTAAATCAGACTTTTGTTTACTTCTGTTCCACACCTTGAACATTAACAGCAAAACTAGAAGTGCAGGAATTGCAAGAATGCAATTAATATATATGTCATTTATTACACATATCAATTTTGTAATTTTGGGATTATGGAAGGTGGGAGGATATAACTCTTTCCTTCTTCATCATGACTGAAATCAAAATGACAGCCCTGGAGCTTCTGTTTTTGTACATTCATCAGTGCTACTGAAGTGTCCTCAAAAATATTAAAAGCCTTTTCAGGATGGTTATGTCTAAGGAAGAGGAAAAAACTAACAAACAAATAAACCAACAAACCACTCTCCACATCTTCATTGGTTTCAAGGCTATTCAAGCTTTCTCTATTTACACAATAAATTATGGGGCATCATAATGATAAAATCTTCTACTTCATGAGGGGGCCCATTTTTTGTGGTTCCTGACCCATTCTCCCTTGAAGAGGATCTGCAATGGACTTTTGTGTGAAGGCCTCAGCATGGAGCATGGCTTCATGTGTTACATTGCAAGTGGAATGGAGAATTACCAGGCATCCGTCACACAAAGAGGACCACTAGACCGAGACATGCATGGTCCAGGCCAGCTGTGTTTGTATACAACTGAATCAGTCTGATTGCAACAGTAACCATAATGCAGTGTCTTGAATTGCAGTGCATAACTCCATCTCTCTAAATAGTGGCCATATTAAAAGCAGATGGAAAAAATAGAACAGCGCATTTCCTCATGCTCTACACATCTAAGTAGGTTGAAAACCAAGTACTTCTTTTCTTTTTTGCTGAAGACATTTAAAAAAATCTACAACACTACAATGGAACTTGACCACTGATCAATAACAGACTACTTAACTACGTTACAATGCATTATTTACACTTAAGATGATAGATATGCATACATTAATACATTACATGTGTAATATGAAATAGTAATGTCTCCTCTTAAACTCTGTTAATAACTTAATAGCTACAACCCTACACAAAATTAGGCACACTTACTGAAATCTATGGTCCTAAGTATACCTATTTGATGGATCATGGCCTTTCTATTTTTTTATTTTGCGGTGGGGATTGGCATTTTCTTTATTCTGTTTTCACCTGGCCAGCTCAATTTTCATGCAGAACAGAATAAGCCATGCAACCCCACTGTTCTTTTACCCTAAAAAGAATGTTTTTTTTTTTTTTCACTCCCAACATCAGACTAAATGAAAGAGTCAGACAAAATTACATTAACAAAACTTCAGGGTTTTCTGTTTTAATCTTTGAATAGAAAAACCACTGAGCAACTGCATAGTTCTCTGACATGTTATGTCATAATTATTTTCCAAATTAGTTGCAAAAATATTACAGGAAACAAATTTGTCATGGAACAGAACGAGCTAAAGAAAGAATGAGAAATGATCATTCTCTATTCTTAACAGTGGTATGTTATGAGTTAAGGATGTCAGTTCATCTTTCTCTCTCTTAATGAAAAAGAATCTAAAGTTGTGGTTGTAGAATTTAAGGCTTTTTTAAAAGCACTAAAAAGTGGCTTTGGTCTTCAAGCCCCTTCTTATTTACCACTAAATCCTCTGTAATGTTTGTGTAATCCTAACAAATACACAAAATTTCTTCTTGCTATGTTTGATCGCAATCTATAGGGGAACAGCAGGCATATAGGGGAACTCAATAGAACAGAAAGATTAACTCTTTTCTCTGAGATTATCAAGGATGTAATTCTCATACTACTCTACTGCCCAGTCCTATTGTCTCTCTAAAGCCATATTGACATGTCTTTTGGCCTAAACCAGGGGTAGGGAACCTTGGCTCTTTTATGACTTGTGGACTTCAACTCCCAGTATTCCTGGGTCAGCATGGCTGGTTCAGGAATTCTGGGTATTGAAATCCACAAGTCATAAAAGAGCCAAGGTTCCCTACCCCTGGCCTAAACCATCTAAAGAGATTCAGCTTACAATTAAAGTGCATTGTTGCATTTTACGTTACGAATGAAGACCTACTTGTCTCTTTAATATTAATGTAAGAATACTAAGTATGCATTTAACAATGTAAGAAAAGAGATAGATCACGGGGGATCTTTATAACATGACAAAATAGCATGGCCAACTGAACCACATACACACATGCATTGTATTTTGGTTGATGGGTGGATATCATACCTGAACCAAATATATAAAAGAACAAGACTTTCCAAACTTGTTGTAACAACATTTTTCATTTCTGCATGATTTTGAACCTCACACTTGCAAAATATAGCCTCGGGACATTCAACCAAGAGCCTCAGTATGCCATTTTATCTGCTGTGGCAAAGTCTCACTCATATATTTCCTCAATAGCCATCCAACTGCTTAGATTCTACAAAGCCACATGAAAAAAATCAAAAGAAAGCAAGAAAAAAAGAGGGAAAAGCAGCATGGTTCTATGGTAGTAGTAGCTGTGGGAGATAGTATCTGGGTATGTTTCCCTGGTCAGATCCAGAGAAACAAAGTACAGACTCACTGAAGTAAACAGAAAACAATTGATACCGTCCAAGCCTGCCCAGTCTGCTATCATAATTCCTCCCTACACATACATACCTGGATAAATAAATTTGAAGGTGGCAATCTTGCTAAATTTATTTATTTATTTTCAGATGATTTCCAGGGAGGAGACTTGTAAAATATCCTTATAAGAAATCTGGATTCATAATTAATTAACATTTGAATGAATTGTTTGTTCTTCATTATTATTAATTAAGAAAGTAATCCCAAAATGAATGAATAATCAATAAAAAATGTATGTTCATTAGGTAGGTCTCTGGTCTGTTTCCTGCCAAACAGATTGGCCCCAAACTAATTCAGGGAATATTAGCTTTGTTCATAGATATATTTAACTTTGTTACTAATACTTACTGGAATACATGGAAAATATATAAAGCAGAACTTTATCATCATTAAAAAAATAGCCCAAAGACATCAAGCTTTATTTATTTGCCAGAGATAACTTAGTCATTTATAAGCTATATTCCTTAGTCTTTCATTAGTGACAAATTTTGTAGAAGTAAAAATTTTTATTTTTACTTGGCTCCATCTAGATCAGAGCTTTTCAACCTTTTCACAGATTGTACCAGTTTTAGGGCATGACAATATTTGAGTACTACCAGTGCTTAGCAAGGTGTCAAAAACGTGATGACTAAAAAAGAGGGGGATTTGGGGTTTTACTGATCAGATTCATTTGTTGTTATAGAAATGGCTAGTTTATAATATTATGGAAAAGTAAAAAGTTGAGGTTCAATGTTAATGCTTCCTTCTACTGCAACAGATGAAGTCTGTTCTTTTTCCCTTCTCCCCCTCACTTTTTTCCCCTTTTTCCCTTCCCACTGTGTCCAACTATTTGCTTTTGTATTTTATTCTATAATCTAATAACATATTACAAACTGTAGAAAAAAAGGAAAAAAGTACCAGTTTTAATTTCTTTGGTGGCTGTTCCTTTGCTGAATCATTTTCCCTTTGCACTGACAAATGTATAATGAATTTATCTATATTTATTAATATGCACCACTACCAGCTAGCTCAGGTGTCTTCAAACTTGGCATTTTAATAATGGCTGGTTAAGGAATTCTGGGGGTTGAAGTCCACAGGTCTTAAAGTTGCTAAGTTTGTAGACCCCTGATCTAGCTGGATGGCCCTTCTTCCTCTCTCCCTTCTGAGCTCTCCTTCCACAGTGTAGTAAGAATGCACCCCCCAATCCCTTTCCTGTACCCTTAAAAACACAGGAATCAAGTGCAAAGCAAAAAAGGCTCACAAAATAAAGAAACACATAAACTCCAGTTTTTTTTCCCTTTAAGCTGCCTCAGGCGTGTCACGTGTCACCATGTTGCAACCGAGACTGAAAGGCTCTGGCAATTGCAAAAAGCTTTAGCCCTAAATTAAGCCTGTTTACTTTCAAAGAAAACTTTCTAAAAGCAAAAACAGATTCAAGATAAGGGGGTAAAACTAATTACATTTGTTTAAAGGGATTAAACCCATGGAAGTCAACACTTTGGACTCATTGCTAACCTAAAATACAGACTAAAATATTCCCAATAACCAAAGCACCAAACCGAGCCTCTGAATTACAGAAAGCTGTAAAAACTGTACAAAAATTCTTATGGTAACCCAATCAAGCTGCCAGCTGATCCAGAACTAAATAAACCCATCTCCTTTCTGACATGCTCATCTGCTGGCTTTTCATTTCATCAGCGCT